AGGGTGTTTCCACCTTTGAGTAAGGGATAGAGCCTAGCCCTGGTGCTCCTCGCTCGCGCCAGCGTCTCCACGATATGCGGTTTCCACGTGAGACACTGGTCCATTGTCACACCCAGGTATCATGTTTGTCGATTCCAGGAGATGGGTTCCTGGGATAGTGTCAGTCTGTCGAGGTAATTAAATTATGGTTTTAAGACGCCGATTTTATTCAAAAGCTCACAGTCTACCTGTCTACTAATCTAAATTTTCCTAAGTCTGTGCTCTGTGGTTGTAGGTTATGTTTATTATTGTTTGGAATTTCTCCATATAAAAAAGAAACAAAATGCAACCAGGAAACTCCAAAGAAATATTTTGTAGACTGTGTCTTAGGATTATAACCAATAGAAATTGCGAAATAACAGGAGAAGCCATAAGAAAGGTTCTGGAAGTAGTTTTGCCGAATCTGGTAAGATTAAGTTAATATTTTCACTTGTATAGGGTAGCTCATTATGCTATTTTTAATTACGAAAATATTGCAGAACTTGTAGGATAGCGATAAACATGTGATGTGTAAAGCGTGCTCTGTAAAATTATGGGCAGCCTTTAATTTTAAATCGACATGTATGATTACGGAGGGTATTACTGTTCCTTATGTTAATGCCAATAAAACTTCAAAGGTTGACTTAAAGGAAGTTTATCTAAGGGAGAAAGGAAATATTCATTTAATCGATATATCGAAAAATCACAGAATTTGTCGATTATGTATTCAGTTGGTGACATATGGATTTGTGTCACTAAATAAAGTGGATGTTGACATAATCAAAACATGTATACCACAAGTTGGAAGTATTTTTTAAAATGCGTCAGAAAAGCCATAAATGACTTCTATGTAAAATCTTATAAAATTATAAATTCATTGAAGTGGAAAATGATTTGAGGTTCAAGCTACATTAGGTTGTTTTTACAACAGTATTAAACTGTTTTTAAATTATCAGATGTACTTGGCCCCTTAAAATGTCATATAGGCACTTTGTCCACAACAAATGGATAAATCGGATAACCTCGCTATTTTTGTCGGTAATTCTGAATTTCATAAAGAAATTCATGAATATTGGAACATATTCACAATGTAAGACAATATTTTATGGAATTCTTTATGAAGTTCAGAATTTTGTACAAAATTAGTGAGGTTAAGTTGTATGTTCGTATTTTTATTTCAGCTTGTTCTTATAAAGAGTGATACTTTAACTGGCAAAGCAGGATTTTTTTTTCATGTTATCTAATTAAAAAAATAATTCTCAACTTATTGAAGGAAATGTGTTCATTTTCAATTTGTTTTTTTTACCATAACCGGTTTGCAAAATTGATAGTAGCTTTTTCGTATCAGAGTTTCACAAAGTTTAGGACAGTGTAAAATGGAACCCATTATGAATAAATTGATGGGTATTTAATATTATCTTATTTTAAATTTAAGGCAAATTTGAAAGTTTGACATGATCCCAAGAGTATTTTTTTGTGTGTTTGAAATTTATGTTTCAGTCATTTTTCTTCTCTTAAAAAACAATATTTTGTAGAACATCACTGCTATCAAGGATCCTATTATATGCAGTTCGTGCTTTGATTCGCTGCGTACTCATGGTGGATTTTTAAAGAACTCCCTTAATGCTAACGAAAATTATAACAATACAGATGAGCAGTTTTGTATAAAAACTGAAAAGACTGAAATAAAACTGGAAGAAGAAAGCCAGGATGCACAAGAGAAATATGAATGTGATGAAAACCAGTCTTATATTAAATGTGAAGATATTGAGATAAAAGTAGATGAAGAGGCTCAAAATAGGTAAATTTTGAAATTTAGTTTTTTTACGTAAAGGAAGCAATCAACTTGAAAAGAAAAGTTTTCTATTCTCTTTATTCAATTTGTCAAATCACGTTGATTTATTTTTATTCCATTTGAAACGTTTAATTTTTTAGTGACTCTTATGTCTTATACGATGAATCAGTTGAGGGAGAAAAGAAGTGCACCTCAGAAGACTTGGGAAAAACAATGACTAAATGTGTACTTAAATATGAGACAGGATTAAATGAAAACTGTACAACATCGATGTTTGGTCACAACATCGAAGTATCCAAAAGTATCCAATATGACCCTTTACTAGACAAGCGAATCTACCAATGTGATAAATGTAAATTTAAAACTAAATTTAAAGCTAATCTAAAAAGACATCGGTTAATGCACAAAAATACTTCAGTGCAAATTTACAGGTGTGATACGTGCTACTATGAAACTAAACTGAAGTATCGTTTAAAAATGCATCAGTTATCACACAAGGACCCTTCAGAAATCCAAATGTACAAGTGTGATACTTGCGATTTTGAAACCAAATATAAGGGGCATCTAAAAGTGCATCAGATAACGCACAAAAAACCTTCGGAAATCCAAATGTACGAGTGTGATACATGTAGTTATAAAGCTAAATATAAAAGTAATTTAAACAGTCATCAGTTGATTCATAAAGACCCTTCAGAAATACAAATGTGGAAGTGTGATATTTGCGGTTTTGAAAATAAACTCAAGAGTCAATTGAAAAGACATCAGTTATCACACAAAGACCCTTCGGAAATCCAAATGCACAATTGTGATACATGTAGTTATGAAGCTAAACATAAGAGTCTTCTGAAAAGGCATCAGTTATTGCACAAAGACCCTTCAGATATACAAATGTGGAAGTGTGATAAGTGTAGTTTTGCAACTAAATACAAATGTCGATTGAGAAGCCATCAGTTATCACACAAAAACCCTTTAGAAATCCAAATGTACAAATGTGACACTTGCACTTATAAAACTAAGTATAAGTATATTTTAGACAGGCATCAGCTAATGCACACAAGTATTTCAAACATCCAAATGTACAAATGTGATACTTGTGTCTATGAAACTAAATATCAGCATCGCATAAAATATCATGAGTTAATGCACAAACGCACTTTGGAAGTCCAGATTTACAAGTGTGATATATGTAGTTATGAATCTAAATATAAGAAAGCTCTAAAAGTGCATCAGACAACACACCAGAACACTACAGAAATCAAAGTACAAGTGTAATGTATGCAGTTGAAAACCCTTTATTTTCCTTCCTTGGACTACGGTGATGAACTGAACAATTTGAAGAATTAATGTATCTTTCAGCATTTAAATGTCTTAAGACAGAGTATAACTAAGGCAATTATACTGTTTGTTCTGTCTTATTCGCCTAAAAAAAATAATTATTTTTTTATATTAGAAAATAATTTATGTTAATCAGATTCATATTTTCATTTATTTCTTGTTAATTTTTTAAAACATCAAACATTTTTTAATTTGAAACATAAATTAGCTTTATTTGCAATTAGTAAGGTATCTACACACCAACATTGGATAATACGTAATAAACCACGTGAAAATTTTTAATTTTTTTAAAACAATATATAAAATATGATGACATTAAAATAACACATCGTCATACAAATGCAATTTGTATTATTCATTAAATTATTTTTCATTAGTTTGACAGTCTACTTGATTAAAAAAAATTATTTACAGTTACAAACATATCTACATACCAATATTAGTTGATATTTAATAAATGAAAGTTGGTTTAAATACACATCATTTATATTTGTTTTGTGCATAGATACTCAACAAATTGTTGACACTCCACCTAACTTTTTATTCGGTTTTAAATAAAAAAAACAAACCTGTGAATATAATGATTGTTGAAGAGTTAGATTAAGAAATATTTATTTTTTTGTGTAGATATATTTCTTTATTCGATATTTATTTAAAAAATCTAATATTTCTATTTTTTTGTTACATTGTTACTGAAATATATTTTTTCTACTTGCTAAAACAGACTTTTAGTACACTTACCTGTCCAATACTGGTTCGATTCAAAATTTATTAAAAAAAAAAAAAATTCTAATCTTCGAGTCAATTTCATTATTTAAAATTTGATGTAAAAAAGCTTCAGTCTAACTTTTTTCAAAAAATTAGTAGTTTTCTTGGCAAGAAATAAAATATACACATCCATTTCCAAATAAATTATCTGAGGGGTTATTAGGTGAAACAGTCAAGTAGGCTGTTGTCAAAGACATGATGTGACATGACAAATGTCATTGTTTTCCCTCAAGACTTATAAGATATTTAATGTTTTTAACTAAATGCGAAATGTTTATATTTTAATGATTTATTAAAGAGATAAATTTATCAATATCTTGATGTATTTCATCTCATTTAATAAGTAAAAAATTTTAATAAAAAAAAAGTAATTTTTAAGGTTATCGTCAACCGTATAACTGGTGAAGTCAAATTGCAGTAGATCATTTGCATCTCTGTAACTAGAGTCCAGTTAGTAATCACTGCATTGGCTTTATTTAAGAGAGTGGCGACAGTACTGTACCCACTTTTTAAATGGTTGTGATCACGTGGTACACGCCGCCATTAGCTGTTGAAACTTTCCAACTGTGTCTATTATAGCAGGCAAGGGTAACTTTTAAAATTTTTCTTATGAAAATTATATTTCTGCATTTTGCAGTGATACATCATCTGAAGATCCCAGCGCTCTACTCAATAAGTTAATGAAAAATGTATGGAAAATTACTTAAAATAAACTTTTTATATAAAAAATATGCTGCTTAACAAAAAAAGGATACAAATTTCTCTTAACTGCACGATTGTCCCACAACTGTCTAGAAAATGTTTTTTATATTTCCAAAAGACAAAAAGATAACCACCAATGCTATACCGTTAAAATATCAGAATCACTTCTGTGAATTTATTGATATGATTAAAATCGGTCCTAGGCATCAATATCATACAGTAGAATTACCAGACAGTTTATAAAAAAGTGTCATTTAATCATTAAATTCGCGTGTTAAACTAGTATAATATTGCTGGATATATAATAAAAAGTATAAAAAAATTAAAAAGCCATTTGAAATTATATTTACAAAATTTTCTTATAGGTATTCAGCGTTTTAAATCAAAAACATTGTTTTTATCATGAGTGTTTATTTTTTTATAGAATTATAGAAAATATATTCGGAAAATGTCTAAAGTACGGGAACAAAATATAGATCTAAAACAGTTTTTTATTGACTATATGACAAAAATTTAAGCTCCTATTGTTAATAATTGTAACATATTAAAAAACAAGAAAAATAGCAAGTAAGAAATTTCAGGAGAAAACGGTAGTATATTGTGTACCTAATAGTAAAAGCAATACCTGAAGGACAATGCAAATTGTTGGCCCAGGCGTTAGCTAAGGACAACAATCATCGAGTCCCTAAATGCGCTTTTACTACGAAGTATACATCCTACTATTTTTTCTGAAATCGCGAACAATATTAATTAAATAATATGACCTAAGAAATTTGTTTGAAATTGTTTTTTTGATAATAATAATTGTTTATTTATTGTTGGAATAAAAGTCAAATTCGTTTTAATACCTATAAATGCTAAAATATATTAAAAATGGACAGTGGTGGTGATGTTCGCGAATTTCACCTGCCTTTCGAAAATTCTCCCGCCACGATGACGAAGAAGCCCTGATTTCCACCAATGCGAGAGAAAATAAGACAAAAATTTTCGCCGATCTTTCCAAAAATGGCCAAAATGAGAACGTCACAGGACTTCCAAAGTCGCACGCGTTAGAGACATTCCATACGACAGCCGTACCATGGCCCGTTCCATAGAGTACGCGTGCCATGGCACGGGGTCGTGTGAAATTTTAACAAAAATGCCTATCTATGACATAGCAAATCGTCGGTTTGCAAAAGACAGTTTGACTTTCGGACGAAAACCACAAAATTACACCAAAAACTCGTCAAACAAATGACAGACAATACACCCCGGACACGCGCGCAGACACACACTACATATACGCACAGAGAAGCGTAAAAATACATGGCGGAATCCTCCAGACAAAAAATCTGACCAAACAAACTATAAAAACAATCACAAACACCAAACATGCGCCCCCCGACACCCAAACCCTCCACAAGCGCCCTACAAAACACTCCATAAAACACACAAAAACAAACAGACAAAACCAAACAAGTCTCCCCCGGTAATCTTGCGAAAGCAAGAACGGTGGACACAAGTACAGAAACTACTCACGACAAGTTAACTACACAAAAGCCAAACTAAACTAAAGACGGTATAGCCAATACCCAAACACTCCATACTAATTAAAATGATTTTCAGCCCTTCAACCTCTAAGCGACGTCCCTGTAGTTTCAAAACTCCAAAAATTAGGTGCATCAGGGTCAAAGCGGGAGCAATCTTTGGGGGGGGGAGCTTTCGTTTTGGCAAATAGTACCTATTAGCAACTAATGTCAGTTCAGAGTAGCTCTAAGTTGCTATTAGCGCTACTATTGTTGCCAAATCGAAAGACCCTGAGTGACAGTTATATTTTTATCAAATCGAACACAACACAGGGTTTTATACTCTGAATTGTCAATAGATGCTAATCTAATACCAAAAGCACCTATGGTTTCTGCCTATTTCTGCGTGGGCTACTGGGTTAACCATAAAAGAAGAAGAAGAGAATATTAAATGAGGACAATGAGGTTATAGAATAGATTTATGGAATAATTCTCTAGAGAATGTTAGGTTTAGAAAATTCGGTATTGCTAATCAAAAGAAAAAATGCAATCTGAAAATATGACAAAATCATGCAGATTATGTCTAAATACTGTATATGACACAAACCTCCAGGTAATAGGAGGACTCATAACAGACGTTCTAGAATTTGTTTTGCCGAATGTGGTAAGATCAAGTTAGATTACCCACTTTTGTGCGTGGATTTAGTCAAATTGTTTTAGTAATAAGTGTAAACAACAATAAGCGTAAATATATAAATAATTATTATAAATCATAACGAAGTGACATATTTGGATACTGATTCTGTGTAAATTATTAATAACCACACTTTTATTCAAGCTTATAATCACTATTAAAAATCTGTATAATTATCACGAGTAAATGTTACATCAGTGTTAGAACCATTGCAAACAGTCATACGCGCTGGTTTAAAAAGTATTGTTAGACAATGTGAAACATTTTTAACATTTCATTGTAATCTGAAGTTTTGTAACAGGTACCCAGCTTTACAATAATACATGAAAAAAAAAACAAAAACGAATATCATAAATAAAAATATGTTTTGAAATCAATGTTTTCTGTTATTAAACATTTTTCCTTTGTATTTTAGAAACACTTCATAAAGTATGGCAAATTATCTACATTAGTTTTAAAGTTTGAAAATGTACAAAAATTTCATCGTTACAGGAATTCCAAGCTTTTGGTGCCATCTGCACGAACTGGCAATCCTGGTATTTATGCTTATTACTAAAACAAGCTGACCAACCCCACTTAATCTGTAGTGTTATTCGCATGCCTATATATGTATGCAATTATGAACCCTGTTTCAGAATTTGGAGGAAGAGTATAAATATTTCATATGTAAAGCATGTACCGTAAAATTATTGGCTGCCTTTAATTTTAAGTCGTCGTGTATGGATACTGAGGATATTATTTTTTCCCATATTAATGCCAGTAAAGGGTCATCGGTTGACATAAAGGATGTTTATTTAAAAGAGAAGGGGAATATTAAGTTAATCGATATATCAGAAAATCAAAGAATTTGTCGATTATGTTTACAATTGGTAACTTACGGATTTGTGTCATTACAAGAAGTTGACGTAATCGATATTTATATACCACAACTTGTAAGAATGAATGTCAAAGTCAAATTGTTTTTTTTTTCTTAGAAGAGAACAATAGGTATTCTGACAGAAATTAACACCAACATTTTTTTTTTATTGTAGAACATCAGCGCTACCAGGGATCCTGTTATATGTGGATCATGTTTTCATTCGGTTCATATGCATGGCAGTTTTTTAAAGAACTGCCTTGATGCGCAGGAAAAATATAAGTATGCTGATAGGAAGACTTATGTTAATTCTGAGGAGATTGAAATAAAACTGGAAGATGATCTGGTTGCACGGGAAAAATATGAAAATGTTGATAAACAGTCTTACGTTAAAACTGAAGAACTTGAAGTAAAACAAGAAGGTGGACCGGGTGCGCAAGAGAAATATAGGAATATCAATAGGCAGTCTCGTATTGAATCTGAAGAGATTGAGATAAAAATAGAGAAAGATAATCGGGATGGGTAGGGAAATATTAGCATTACTCTCATCTCTTTTAAGAAATAATTACCAATTTTTTAATTAACTCTTAAGTTTTAAAATTGAAATTTCAGTTTGTCTAACAATGTAGTACAATATTTACATAATTAATTTAATTTTATTAGCACTTCCATGATTTGATTAAAAATGCAAGATTTTTACTGGTATCATAATCAGATTTGTTAAAGAATTGTATAGGTTTAGAAATGTATACAAATCTCTCATAAATGATAACAAGCCACATGACCACCGAGCTTAGGCAACCAACACTTCACCACTGGTATTATCAACTAAAAATTCCTAAATCTTAGCGTCACCAATATTAATGGTTCGTTTACAATGAACAATAACAAACTGCTGCGTTTACACTCGAGATAATGCGATCGCTGATTGATTGTATAGAATCTCGTGAAAAATTACACCAATCTCAGAATGTTATGTTTTAATATTATCTTGATCTTATTGTTTTAATCTTTCTGAAATTTAACTGCATGAAGGAAATAAAATTACTCTTCCAAATAAAAGGTCATGTGGCTTATTATCATTTATCTCTGTATAAGAATATATAACCAACAGTTTTAATTTTTTCAGCAATTTGTCATACTACTTACATGATGAAACAATTGAAAACATAAAGAGTTCAGAAGACATAAAAGAAGTAATGAGTGAAGATATGTATAAATATGAAACAGAATTTAATGAAAATTATAAAGTTCAAATACCCTCAAGCGAAAACTCTGGCTTTCAAAATCCAGAAACTTCATCAACAAACATGTGTGATGTCCATTGTCTTGATACAAGCTGCAGGAAAAATTTATATAGACAACAGTCAATAATAGATCTCTCAAAATTGAGAACATACACAAACGATATGTGTAGTTTTGAATATAAATTTAACAGTCATCCGAATATGCATCAGTTAATACACAATTCTTTAGAAATCCAAAGGTACAAGTGTGATATGTGCAGTTTCGAAACTAAGTTTAAGAATAATGTAAAATCGCATCAATTGGTACACAAAGATTCTTCAGAAATCCAAATGTACAAGTGTGATACTTGTACGTATGAAACTAAATACAAGAGTTACCTAAAAGTGCACCAGTTAACACACAAAAAGCCGTCGGAAATCCGAATGTACATGTGTGATATGTGTAATTATGGAGCTAAACGTAAAAGTCATCTAAAAGCGCATCAATTAATGTACAAAAATATTTCAGAAATCCATATGTACAAATGCGATATTTGCAGTTTTGAAACTAAACATAAAAGTTACCTGAAGGTGCATCAGTTAACGCACAAAGACCCTTCAGAACTCAAAATGTACAAATGTGATACATGCAGTTATGAAACGAAATGGAACAGTAACCTGAAAATGCACCAGTTAACGCACAAAGACCCTTCGGAGATCCAAATGTACAAGTGTGATATGTGTAGTTATGAAGCTAAATGTAAGAGTAAACTGAAAAAACATCAGTTATCACACAAAGACGCCTCAGAAACCCAAATGTACAAATGTGATATGTGTAGTTTTGAAACTAAATATAAGCGTGATGTAAAAAGGCACCAGTTAAAGCATAAAAATACTTCAGAAATCGAAATGTTCAAATGTGATTCTTGTACCTACAAAACTAAACATAAGAGATATCTAAAAGCACATCAGTTAACGCACAAAAAGTCCTCAGAAAACCAAATGTACAAGTGTGATACTTGCGATTTTGAAACCAAATATAAGGGTCATCTAAAAGTGCATCAGATAACGCACAAAAAACTTTTGTAAATTCAAATGTACTAGTGAGGTATGCGTAAATTACGAAATTAAATATAAGGATTTGAAAAATCACCATCATCAGGATTGTGGGATTGTGATACTTCCTTAAAGGGAACCGTTGAACTAGAAAAATTAGTTTCAATTAATATTAAAACATGGCAACAACTATATCATTTTATAAAATAAACAGAAAATAAACGAGGGAAGCTAGTTTTTTTGTTTTGTTTTATTTTATAATGATAAGATAACGCAACTTATTAAACTTATGGTTCCAGAGAAAGTAGTAAAGATTTATTTGTTTTACTTGAAATTAAATTGTATAAATTTCACTCAATAAAAAATCAAATTTTAATTCAAAAATATAAATATCCATTGGCATACATAAAAAAGTGATATGATAAAACAATTTTATTTCCTAAATTTGTATTTTGAATTTTATTTAAAATCATCTTTCTCTTACTGTCTTTTTTTCCAATTAAATATTCAATATCGACTTGCTCACAGTATATTCTGACTCGGTGTTAAGTGGACAGACAATATTTTGCAGGTGATATTTTTATTATATATCCCTTGTAGCAGTACGGGGTGTCTTGTGTTTGTTTCTGTCGACCAATATTGTGATATTGTACACAAATAAACAAAACATAGAGTAATAAAGTGTAGTTAAGTTGGTCTGTGTTATAGATTAATGCCTGTGAGGTATGTGTATGTGCTTGAAAAGACGGAGAATAATGATTTTATTATCCAATTCTTCACTAGTTTTTATATTTTGTGAGTTAAAACTATAAAAGAAGAAGAAGACAAACATTAATGAAAATTGGAGGAATGTGGTTATGGAATAATTGTTTACGTTCTTTTTCTTATCTGTGTAAACGTCGTTGTTTAGAACGTTTAGAATCCTGATCAAAAGAAAAAATGCAACCAGAAAAGTTGAAAGAAACATTTTGCAGGCTGTGTCTAAATACTATACGGGATATAAATTGCCAAGTAATAGAGGACGACATCATTGGCGTTCTAGAAAGTGTTTTGCTGAAACTGGTAAGATTCTTAGATAATTGATACTGGATAAATTTATTAAGATTGCTTTGATGTGTACACAGTGTGTTCGCGAATTGTATTAATTATATCTGTAAAATTTTTTATTTTTCAGTGTTTCTAAACATTTTTGCTTGTATTTAAACTTTGAAAATTTTTTGAACATCCTGTACAAATTTTTCGATTTATTTTTTGCTTCAAGACAAGCAGAAATTTTTACAAAGAATGACAAAAAAATAAAAATAAAAATTTTCGAGTATAATTTATACAATCTGGGAAATGCAGTATATCTTTAATTATGAATCTATTTCAGAACTTGGAGGAAAGATGTAGTCATTTCATGTGTAAGGAGTGTTCCGTAAAACTATTTGCTGCTTTTAATTTTAAGTCGACATTTATGAATACTGAGGATATTATTTTTTCTTATATTAATGCCAGTGAAGCGTCAGTAATTGATTTAAAAGAAGTTTATCGCAAGGAAAAAGGAAATATTAAGTTAATCGATATGTCCGAAGATCAAAAAATTTGCCGATTATGTTTTCAGATGACAAACGGATTTGTACCACTAAATGAAGTGGAGATTGACATAATTCGAACACATATACCAAAAGTAGTAAGTATACATAGATCAAAATATTTCTCAGGAAAATGTATACATATATAGTCAGCCCCATAAAAAAATTTTAATAATTTGTAAATGTCGCACTATTTTATTTATCTTGTTTCAATAGGTTTGTTCATTAGTGTGGCTCGAATCAGAGCTGCTGATAATAATTGACAAATTTACAAGTTAGAAGTTTGTTAAGTTTTAAACAGTAGTTAAATAAATTGAGGTTATGTTTATAGGTAGAATCTCAGACTAACAAATAAAGGGGACGCCGTTATTTACATTCGATAGTAAAGTGTTGATATATGTGTACATATTTACAAATATTGGTACTTGTGACGTCCTTGACGTTGCTACCAATGTTACATTTTTATCTTTATAGCTAGGTACAGTGTTCATTTTAATTGATTAACATACAAGGATATACCTCATTCTTGACCTCGACTTACAAATTAATTACTTTGTAATATGTATAAGACTACGACACTATTTTCTAGCAACTTGTTTTATAATTATAGATTCTCAGTATCCAAAAAAAAAATACATTATTGAAATTCCTAGCAATACAAACGCCGTAAGTGGCATCATTGCCATGTATTAAACGGTACTATAACGAACGCCATTTTTATAGTCTATTATTATGAAATTGATATTAGCCGAGTTCAGTGTTTTGTGTCTGTTTAAACTGTTTTTTTATTTAATTTCAATAAAAATGCCAAAGCGGTGTATAATATGCCAACAATTACAGGAAAGAGCCAAATATGTGCTACTTCTTTTCACAAGTAAGTTTGACATTGTTTCCATGGGCGTTCTTACAAGGGTGTAAGGTGTNGAATGCGGCCTCCCCTTTATTTATTACTCTGAGGGAAGAATTTTATTTTCAGTTTGAACATTAAAAACATATTATTTTCATTTCATTTAAATCATTTCCCTGTTTTCAACAAAATTATTTTCTTTATATAATTTAAGTAGTTTCTCTGCAAACATTTTAAATTCTTTCCAAAATCCTGACAAAAAATGCAGTAAAACCACAAAATAAAGTTCTTTTTATACTCAGTACTGAAGGCACTGATGTTATGATTCCTGCTCTATTGTGAAATATACCCCATTCTTATGTTTTTTTTATGATCTATAATAAGCTCTTAGGTACAAATGAATAAAATCAGGTCATTACTCTAACTTTTAATAAAGGAAATATGTGTTTTCAAATATTTTTTATTGTAGAACATCAATGCTACTAGGGATCCTGTTATATGCGGGTCATGTTTTGATTCGCTTCATACTTATCGCGGTTTTTTAAAAAACTGCCTTGAGGCACATGAAAAATATAAAAACGATAAACAGTCTTACATAAAAACTGAAGAGATTGAAATAAAACTGGAAGATGGTCAAGATGCTCAGGAGAAATATAATAACACTAATAAGCAATTTTATTTTAAATCTGAAGATATAGAAGTAAAGGTAGAAGATAATCAGGAAGGGTAAGGAAATATTTGGTCAATGCTTGAAATTTTTTGTTTTTGTTTTTGCTGTCGTGCTGACAGGTCGGGTACGAGTTAGATCAGTATGAAAAGGTCGGTGGTGGGAGAAATTGCGCCACCTGCTTGTTGATTATCTTTCTTCTGGCGCTCAAGTGTGGAAACTCTGACACTTGTATTCTTTCCAGCTTTTTGTTTTGTTTTGTGTACTTGATAGTGCCTTTATTTTTTACACAAGTTTATCCAATATTTGTCCAATCCGGCCCGAAGGACCAACTTTGTAGGGTTAATGAAACCCCTTTTGTTTGTGGACTGTATTTTTGGAATCAGATATAAATTCTGTTAAACTATATATATTTGGAGTGTATTTATTTAACAGGTCTGCAGGAGGTGTAGTGACTCCCATCGCGGACCTTTTCATACTGATCTGACCCGTCCTGACCTGTCAGTACAACAAAAACAAAAACAAGAAACATCAAACATTGACCAATATTAATAAATGTTGTACTTTTCAAATTTATTGTTTATTTCTTGTTTTTCAATAGTGAAGTATTTCCTAAACAGTGGTACGTAGGTTGCCACCATTTTTATTTTGGAAGGACAGTCATATTTGAGCTTCCATGTTTTTAAATTAGATGACAGATGAAATTTAATTTAATTTTTAGGAAAGTCACAATTATGAAAAAAATTACTTCACCCATTCCCTCACTAACCCCCCTCCCTCCTCCCCCCTCAGATTGGCAATGTAAACCAGGTTTAGTTTCTGTTTCTCTTAATGATTTTCTAAAACTTACTTTGATTTGTATTTGTGTGACTAAAAAAAATATAATTTATTTCAGTGATTTAAATTCCTGGGACTTAGGTGACGAAACAAATGAAAATAAAAAGATGTACGCTTCTCAAGATATAGAAGAAATAAAAAATGAATATATGCTTAAGTGCGAGACAGGGTTTGTTAATCATTTAAAAGGTCATCAATTAACACAGAAAGATCCTTTGAAAATCCAAATGCACAAGTGTGATGAATGTACTTACGAAACTAAACATAAGAGCCATTTGAAGAGACACCAGTTATTGCATAAAGACTCTTCAGAAATCCAAACATACAAGTGTGATATGTGTAATTTTGAAACTAAATATAAAGATGCCTTGAACAGGCATCATATAAAGCATAGAAATATTTCAAAAATTCAAATGTACACATGTGGTACATGCGGTTATGAAACTAAGCATAAGAGTTATCTGAAAAGTCATGAGCTAAAGCACAAAGACCCTTTGGATGTCCAAATGTACAAGTGTGATGAATGTAGTTATGAAACTAAACATAGGAGTCCCTGGACAAGACATATGTTAATACATAAAGATTCTTCAGAAATCCAAATGTACAAATGTGACACTTGTGCTTATGAAACTAAATATAAGAGTACTCTAAATGTACATCATTTAATACACAAAGACCCTTCTGAAATCCAAATGCACACATGTGATAAATGCAATTTTGAAACTAAATATAAGCGTGCTCTGGACAGGCATCACATAATGCACAGAAATATTTCAAAAATTCAAATATACAAGTGTGACACATGTAGTTATGAAACTAAGCAAAAGGGTAATCTGAAAAATCACTTAAAGCACCATTCGGAAATCCAAATGTTCAAGTGTGATGAATGTAGTTATGAAACTAAACAAAAGAGTCATTTGAAGAGGCATCAGTTACTGCACAAAAACTCTTCAGAAATCCAAATATATAAATGTGGTATGTGTAGTTTTGAATCTAAATATAAGGAAGCCCTGAGCAGGCATCAAATAGTGCATGGGAAAACTTCAGAAATCCAAATGTACATGTGTGATTCATGTGGTTATGAAACTAAACGTAAGGGTGATCTGAAAAGTCATCAGTTAAGGCATAGCGACCCTTCAGAAATCCAAATGTACAAGTGTGATCAATGTAGTTATGAAACTAAACATAAGAGTCATTTGAAAAGACATCAGTTATTGCACAAAGATTCTGAAAATGCAAATATGCAAGTGTGACGTGTAGTTACTAAATATAAAGATGCTCTAAACACACAACATAATTCACAGAAATATGTAAAAAAATACAAATGTACACATGTGATGTATGTAATTATAAAACCAAACATAAGATCTGTAAATATATCAGTTAAGGGACAAAGGTCCTTTGGAAATTCAATTGTACAAGTGGGACATACACAGTTAAATGCCAAATGAAGGAGTAGTTTGAAGAGGCATTTTTCAACACAAAGAGGAAACTCAAAATGTACACGTCTGATGTGTGTACTTACAAAACTAAATATAAATATGATGCAAATAGATATCAGTTAATGAACAAATATATACTGCAAGGTTAAACATAAGAAATATAAAAAAATCATCAGTAAATGCATGTAAAGTTTTCAGAAGTCCGAATGTACTGTCAGTAGAAGGCACAAATAACTTAAGCATTTTTATTCTTAACTTCATATATAGTATCAATATTTAAAAAAATAAAATAAACAAAAATTTAAAAATAAAGGAAATTTAAAAGTAAAACTTATTTTGACTCATCCTATCAAAGCATAAATAAATTATGAACTCTACAAAAAACCTTTCTATAAATGTTGCACAATTTTTCATATTCAGAACGGCCTTTGTGGAACCACACACATCACGTAAACACTCAATCCAGTTATCTTTCTTTAGAAGTGCTCAGATAAAATTGCATCCTGAACACTATACATCAGAGTGTCACTTTGAATGGAGGTCATATTTAACTGAAGGCTACTTTTGAACTTTAGAAACATGCAACAGAAGTTTGTTTTCTGAAATTCCCTTGTGAAAACATTTTTTTTAAACCTTTTTTTCGTAATTTTCATATCCCGTAAATAAGTAAATTTCCTCTGTTGCTGTCCAAACATGCAGTTGAGTTGTCTTCTTTGCATTTTCCCCTGTACCATTCACAGAATTCTACAGGTGATAAATCTAATTTCAACGCTTGTATTTTCTGAACAAGTTACAGCTATAATTCATGAAACTGCAATATTCGCCCTACAAGCATATAACATACTTGAAATCTTGTAGCTAATCTTCGTATATTAGCACTGGATCTTCCACGTCGTTTAAAATTTATAGTTCCAAGTTTCTCACTAAAAGTTTGCTCCCATCCAATATTTCTTAATTTTGTATGTTTTTTATAATATCACACAGAACCTCGAAAATAAAACAAAAATGTACCAGTGGTATCAAGGTCGTGAAAGGCTGGTGTTAATATTTAAAGTACCCAACGTACTTTTTTTCGGGTTATGAGCTGACTTATTTATCTGGACAGATACGGAATTAGTTTTCACTTAGCTAGCAATCTGACCTGCCTTTGTTGTTCTTGAGCTAGGTTCTATGGGGGCGGACACGTCAGAACCCTTAGGCCCGCCCTAATTATAACGGTTTTTGTTGGTTCTAAGGAGTGGGGTAGAAGGTCTTACTTGTGATGCCGTTGACTATTCGGCCCACCAAAATAAGTTTTTCCTTGCTGCTATTAATATGTTAGTAGTTTGATACATGGAGTAAAATAAATTAGTAAGTTAAACCTCTGCATATTTTATTAAAATGTTTGAATTTTCCTACTTTTTTTAATCTGTATTCTAAAATTCCCAATCTTATAACTGTAATAAAATAAACAAACAGGACCTTGATTTTTATTTCTGTTTATGGGTAAAGCTTGTTTTTCGTTTCAGAGTACATTTTATTTTATTTATTGGCTATATAACTTTTTTTTGTCAAGTGTGAAGAATATGTTCAGTGAAAAAATTTCATATAGCAACACACTTTCAGCGATGTTTTATAGTTCAGTCAATATGTATGCCAAGCCAAAAAAAGACTTTAAAGTAGGTACATGTGTTCCTAATTATAAAGTAATTTTTCAATTTTAATTGATAGATTTCATTTTATTATTTTTTTAGTAACTCATTTTTCGATTTAAAAAGAGAGCATATTTGAAAACTGAAACCTTCCCAAAATTACTATTTTTTTGCCTGCTAATTTTTGAAAAATTGTTTTAGCAATTTAACTAATATCTAATTAGGTATATCATGTTTTTGCCAAAAAATGACAAAAACGTAACAATTTTTGCTGTATTTCCATTTACATAAATTTTTATGTTTTATTCTTTTATTTTCTTAATTAAGTAATCGGTCATTTACTTTTTACACTTTCTTTGCAAGATTTTTAATATTAAAAAAATTGAAAATTTAATCCTAGTGTAAAGTGTGTAGAATAACGTATGGTTACTGAATTCCATATAGAAAAACAATTTATAATTTGTTTTTTACTTTTTGTTTTCATAACATACATCTACAAACCGGAACAGCCTGTATATTTAAACCAAAATTAATAACATGGATTTTAAAATTCACAACGAGCGCAGTTCGTTCCCTTATAGTACGCGAACGCGTCAAAAGAGGCACTAATGTAATGCGAATTGTCAGGTAAAGAAGAAGAAGAATTTTATAAATGCTGACTATGGCAAATAGATGTTTGTGTTATTGATTGTAGGTTATGAATGTTTTTATCTTTATGTGGAACATTTATAATAATTCCTGATCAAAATAGTAAAAAAATTCAACCAGGAAACATGGAAAAGACATTGTGCAGATTGTGTTTAAATACTATAAGCGATCCAATCTGCCAAGTAATAGATGAAGTCATAAGAGATGTTCTAGAAATTGTTTTGCCGAATTTGGTAAGATCAAATTATTAATATTACTTTTGTGTTTATATCATTTTGATATCTTTAATTTGTTCCAGAATTTGGAGGAAGAAGATAAACATTTCATGTGTAAAGCATGTTCTGTGAAATTATTTGCTGCTTTTAATTTTAAGTCAACATGTACGGATACCGAGAAGATTATTTGTTCTCATATTGATACCAATAAAGGATCAGTAGTTGATTTAAAAGAAGTTTATCTAAAGGAGGAGGGAAACATTATTATATCGGAAGATCAAAGGATTTGTCGATTATGTATACAATTGATAACAAACGGATTTGTGTCATTAAATGAAAAGAATGTTGATATAATTGATACATATATACTAAAATTTGTAAGTATATCTCTCAAAGTACTTGGATTATAACTGGAAGAAATATATTTCAAACACTCCTCGTCTTCTATAAAACTAAAAAATTCAATCAATGATGTCTTTTACATAACGTGAGTTCAAGAATTGTAAAGAAGTTTATAAAATATCAGTTTCAAACTTGACCAATATTTGTATATCATTATTTCACGTAATTTAAAAAAATTTAAAAGAAACGAATTTGGCAAACAGTTGTGACTTGCTAAACTATAAATAAATTATTATATTATTATTAACTATTAACAGAAATAGAACTAAGATCTTATACCTCCATCTTTCTCTTTTCCTTAATAATAGAGAGACGGAGACGAGTTATTTAAATAAGAAGTTTTCTGTAATAATATTTTCATGGTCTATTACGTCACAAGTTTGTTGACATGGTGTATGATTCGAATATAAATTTTTTAAATCAAATAAAAATTTGTATAGGCTGTTATTAAAAAAATTGCTTGTACAATTCGCAGGTATTTACTTATTGGGACATTGAACAATTTCTCGCTGTTTTCCAACAGATGGCATTACCAGAACTGCAAGCGTGCAGTTTAATACAGTAACGCACCTATAAAGAAGCGATATTAAGCAAGCTTGAAATTCATTGTATTATTTCCCCGAAGTATAAACTACTTTATTTTCATGTCCATATCGTAGAAGCCTTCAAATTCTTCTTACCTTCAAAATATGCCAATAGTACTTTCTCATTGACGTGTTTTACTTTCTTCTGTTCACCCCATTTCTCAAATTTTTCATAAGCCAAGTCATATACCGCTTTAGATTTTTAAACAATTTCTGCATTACTTTATTCAGAAGAAATCTGCAGTTGAAGGACACAGAATTCTTATTGAGAGTTACGGCGACTACAAAAAACAGCTAGGACTTATTCAACATCTCATTCCTTCCTTCATAAACCTGAAATTCTGTACATCTACTCCTGGAATCATACAATTGTGTAAATGTAAATGTCTTTTGTATTTTGTGAGAACTGAGAAATTATCAATATTTTTTTTCGTAGAACTTCAGCGCTACCGTGGATCCTGTTATATGCGGAACATGTTTTAACTCTATTCATACTCATGCTGGTTTTTTAAAGAACTGTATCGAAACACAGAAAAGATGTAAAAACATTGATAGACAGTATTGCGTTAAAATTGAAGATATTGAAATAAAACCGGAAAATGGTCGATGTACACAGGAGCAGTATGAAAGTATTGACATGCAGTCTGATATAAAACCCGAAGAAATTGAAATAAAAATAGAGGAAGATGATCAGGATTGGTAAGAAAATGCCCATAAAATTTTTAAATTTAAAATGTATTGCACAACTGCTTTTCAAATCTGCAGAAATCTGTTTTAATTTTTCAGTGATTCAACTTCATACTTGGGTAACAAAGCGACTCAAAACAAAAATATGTATACTTTTGAAGATATTACAGAAATAAAGAGTGAGTATATGTTCAAAAGTGAGACAGGATTTAATGAAGACTTTGCAACATCGACATCGGTTCAAAATGTTCAAACCACCAAAAGCGAAACGGCTGGATTTCACAAATACGATATAAATAAATCTGATAATGAGCTTGAAACGAATCTGATAAGGCATCAGTTAATACATGAAAATTCTTCAGAAGATAGTACATACGAGTGCCATATATATAAACATAAAAATCATTTGAAAGCGAGCGAGTTATTGCACAAAGACCTCTCGGAAATCCAAATGTGGGAGTGTGATGAGGGTAGTTTTGCAGCCAAACATAATGGTTACTTAACACACAGAAATATTTCTAAAATGCAAATGTACAAATGTGAAATGTGTACTTATGAAACCAAGATTAAATGGAATCTGAAATCGCATAAATTAAAACACAAAGACCCTTCAGAAATCCAGATGTGGAAGTGCGATAAGTGTAGTTTTCAAACTAAACAAAAGGCTTCATTGAAAACACATCAGTTAGTGCACGAAAATGTTTCTAATGTCCAAATGTTCAAATGTGATATTTGTACTTACAAAACTAAATATAAAAGTGATTTAAATAAGCATCAGTTTAAACATAAAGATTCTTCAGAAATACAGACGTACAAATGTGATACTTGTACCTACAGTACTAGGTATAAGAGACTTCTAAGAGATCATCAGTTAATGCACAAAAACCCTTCAGAAATCCAAATGTACAAGTGTGACACGTGCAGTTATGAAACTAAATATAAGTATCATCTAAAAGTGCATCAGGTAATACACAAAGACCCTTCAGAAATCCAAATGTACAAATGTGATGCTTGCACCTATGAAACCAAATATAAAAAAGGTCTGAGAGCTCATCAATTAACTCATAAAGATTCTTCAGAACTCCAAATGTGGAAGTGTGATATGTGCAGTTATGAAACTAAATATAAGCGTCGCCTAAAGGTGCATCAGGTAACTCACAAAGACGCTTCGGAAATCCAAATGTGGAAGTGTGATACTTGCAGTTTTGAAACTAAATATAAAAAAGGTCTAACAGATCACATGTTAAAGCACAAAGATCCTTCGGAAATCCAAATGTACAAATGTGATCTTTGTACATATGAAACTAAATACAAGAATTCTCTAAAATATCATCAATTAATACATAAAGATCCTTCAGAAATCAAAATGTACAAGTGTGAATCGTGTACTTATGAAGCTAAATACAAGGAGAATTTAAAAAAACACCAATTAAATCATTGTACAGGACGAAAGTGGGAAAGTTCTTCAAAAATCGTAGTGTTCAAATGTAAGGAATGTGTCTTCGAGGCCAAATATAAACAGCACATGAAAGTTCATATGTTAAAACACCAAGATGCCTCGTGTGTGCAAATGTACAAGTGCAATAAATGTGTTTTTCAGACAAGGTATAAATGCAGTTTGGTTAAGCACCAGTTAACACACAAAGACTGTTAGTTTCTTCTAACCCATTTAATGGGTCAATTCCGCTGTAAGGTATTCTCAGAATAGTAAATTATGCAGTCCTCAAAATGTCTCTGTAATGATCCTATTTACAAAAATGCAAATAAACTGCTGGAACTTCACCGAACACTGAATTGACTCTCAATCTAAAAAGTTTTTTGTTTACCTGCATATACAGGCTGTTACAAATTTGCTTCTTACTACAGGGATCTTGAAAACGGTAAGAGATACAAAGTAGCTTAAATGGGGGCAAAGTTGCATAATCAGGGGACCAACATAACACCTCTAAAAAATGAAGGCTAACGTGATTAGTTTTCGAATTGCATAATAAATTTTATATGTAATGTTTCATCTCTCCAGGACCATCATCAACTTCATTTTTTTAAATAAGACCTTGAAAATTTTATTATATTTGCAAATCTTCATGACACCCAATACTGTACTGCTCCAGCCCGAACCAGATTCAGTCGTTTTGTCTTGAGAAATGCATCTTCAATGTATTTGTTCCAAATTTATCTATTTTTTTTTCTAGATTTCTATGTTTATTGAAGTATCGTATTATAGTGTCGTTAGACCCTGTGAAATCCACCTAGTTATTTAAACTATTGCCATCACACGTTACAATAAAACATTATTAGAGTTTTAATCCCATGCTCATATATCGTTATTTCTAGGGTTCTCGAGTGCTCAAAATTCAAACAAATTTCAACCTAATTTTTTTCAGGATATTCATACAAATACATTGACATGCACTTTCACACGCGGTTACAGGTATAATAAATTCCGATCATATTAAACTTATCTTCATTTTCAACATTTGACAAAACAGAAACGTTTTTGAACATTTACTGTAATTTGTTAAAGTATAATATTCATTTGGCTTTTGGTTTTTCATATGCGTTTTTCAGAATTAATTTGTCATAATGAAATTAAAATTGTAATAATGTTTTAATTTTGAAACTTATCAAATTATGTATGACCAGGTGATGTGGATTAAAACTCTAATAATGTTTTATTGTAACGTGTGATGATAATAGTTTAAATAACTAGGTAGATTTCACAGGGTCTAACGACACTTAGAGTGTACGATAATTCAATAAACATAGAAATCTAAATAAAAAAATTGAGATATTTGGAACGAACAAATTTAAGATTAATTTTTCGAGACGAAACGTCTGAATCTGGTTCGGACTGATGCAGTACAGTATTGGGAGTCATGAAGGCCTGCAAAAAATGTAATTAAATTTTCAAGGTCATATTTAAAAAACGAAGTTGATGATGGTCCTAGAGAAACAAAACGTTACATGTAAAAATTGATTATGCCGTTCAATAGAGGGCAAGTAGTTGCCTTGAGAATGTTCTTCTTTTTTCAATATCACCTCAAACAAGGCTAAAATGAAACAAAAATGCATTTTCAAAATTTCGGTTTTTTTCAAATATTTCAAAAACTAATCATGTTAGCCTTGATTTTTTAGATGCATAATGTTGATCTGCCGATTACGAAACTTTGCCCCCATTTAAGCTACTTCGTATCTCTTACCGTTTCCGAGATCCCTGTAGTGAGAAGCGAATTTGTAGCAGCCTGTACTGTTTTGTATATAAAATTAGTTAATGTACATCAATAAAAGATAGTTTTTTTTTTTATATTTATTAATCATAAATATATAAACTTATTGGTAAATGCACTGCCTATTTATTTCTATAGTAGTGGTAAGTAAGCAGTCTGAACAAAAATTTTACAAAATTATTAGAAATAGACTTATAACTAGGTGCAAGATAGCACTGCGATAGATACATTTCTGTTGTTCTTTAAACTTCCGTTAGTTACAAGTAAATATAACAAAATTTATTTACATATTTGATGAGTGAATTAATCATTTCCTATAGGAAACCTTATCAGAATGTGTGCTAGAGACTATCTCATACATTTAAAATAGCTAACATCTTTTGGAACAACTTTAAATAATTTTAATACTAGTCATTTAATGGTGAGTTTTGATGTGGTTAGCCTATTCACTAATGTATCAGTAGCTAAGACATCAATTATTATCAAAAAATAAATTAGAAAATGATAACAATTTGGCAATTATTTTCTTATGGTGAAAGATGCGTCAAATTATTCTGTGAACTTGAATCTTTGCTGACTGCAAATTCTAAAAGATGAAGTAAGTATGTAATAATAGAATAAACATCATATGATATCCCTAGAAACAGACAGAAATAAAGAAATTTAAACTGTAAAAGCTATTAAAACAAAAAGTAAAAAATTTCAGAAGGCGAAAACAGTGAATTTTCGGAACGTTAATGGCCTTTTCAAAGTATATTATAATTATATATAAGTATATTTATATTAAGTGATGTGTTTTTGTATTTTGCATTTGTCAGCTTTTTCATTGTGAAATTTTTCGGTTGGGCAAAACTATTTTCATAAAAATAACCTGACCTATTTGGTGTAAGAGTTTATTATATTAATTTAAAAATTTTTCAGAAGTAGCAAATACCATAAAAAACTGTAATTTTAATATAAACAATTTTTAAATCCTATTTCACGTGTCATCTCTTTATTCTTTGTGCTTAATGATATTTTAATTATAAACGTGAAATATTTTGACTTGATTTGAGGTAGAGGCGACTTGAGCCCGTCAACCCCCCGCAGTCGACACCTATGGTGGATTAATTTTTGATAACGTGATGCCTCAAGTGAAATTAGTAACGAGAAAAAATGTATGCCTGGCTAAGTATACAATCGAGAGAGGTCATATTTATAGAAGAAGAAGAAGATTTTTTATTGTAGGATTTGTAGGTTATGTAATGATTGATTTTGAATTCCTCCTTACCACCTTGTTGGAAAACAAATAAGATAAAAAATGCATCCAAGCTACTTTAAAGAAATATTTTGTAGGCTGTGTCTTAACATATTAAGCGATAGAAAATGTGACATAATAGGAAAAGCCATAAGGAAACTTCTGGAAGTAGTTTTGCCAAACCTAGTAATATAAAAATACTAATATTTATAAAACCAATTTTTATGTCTTTAATTGCAAATATATTTCAGAATTTGGAAGAAGGAGATGAACACGTAATTTGTAAAGCATGCTCTGTAAAATTGTTCGCTGCCTTTAATTTTAAATCGACGTGTATAAATACCGAAGATATTATTTTTCGTTGTCTTAATTCCAATAAAGTGTCAGCGGTCGACTTAAAAGAAATTTATCTAAAGGAGAAGGGAAATGTTCACTTAACCGATATACCAGAAAATCTGAGAATTTGTCGATTGTGTATTCAGTTGGTGACGGATGGATTTGTGTCACTAAATGAAATAGACATTGGCATAATCAATACATATATACCCGAAGTTGTAAGTATATTTCAAAATACTACTTAGGAATTTTTCTCTTTGTCGGAATAGAGCTGCTTCCATAATTGTACAGGGTTCTTCACTAGTGACATATTAAATGTTTCAGAGAAACCAAAGACAATACGACCCTGAAATTTTTTTTACGTGGGTTATCAGATATGTTCTCTTCAATAAAAATAATGTTATCAACGTAGCACTTCCGGTTATACCGGAAGTAGCTGTCAACTTCGTTATTTTAAATAGAGCTCCCTATATATTATTGCATTATCAACAAGATAAATTAAAAATAAGTCAAAAATGTTAAAGCTTCCCTGTACCTAAATCTAATCGTTTTCGGGATAATAATCGACATTTTATAAAAAATTTTGACAGATGTAAACGTTTCGAAAATTCCTTATATCTTTCTTTGGTCTGGAAGCTTTCAGTTGCTTTTTCAAATACACAAAGAACAGCACTACCTTCTGCTATCCCATTTTTTATGTTACGTTTTGAAAACGTAAAACCGACAAAACTTTTTAAATTCAAATAGAACACAGTATTTTTTGCATCGTATTATAGAAAACCAAATTCTCTTTTCAGCGATATTGGCATTGTAGGGGTTACAGTTTCCATTTTCTCAGATATTTGCGATTTACTTACATTCTCGAGAATATTACGTTTAAAATACCATCAAATTAGCCTTGAAAGGCAAATATTGGTACCGTCATTCAGTATTCTATAAAAAATATAACCCCTATATCGCTGAAAAGAGAATTTGATTTTCTGTAATATTGTGCAAAAAAATAGAAGGTATTCCATTTGAATTTAAAAAGTTTTGTTGGTTTAAAGTTTTCAAAATGTAACGAAAAAAATGGGACACTTAATATAATTTTCTTCGGGTAATTTTGATAGCAGAAGGTAGTGCATCTTATATCCATTGTGAATACCGAAAAGCAAGTGAAAGCTTCCAGAACGAAGAAAGATATAAGGAATTTTCGAAACGGTTGCATCTGTCAAAATTTGTATAAAATAACGATTATCTCGAAAATACTTAGATTCAAGTACAGGAAAGCTTTGACATGTTTAACTTATTTTTAGTTTATTGTCGATAATGTAGTAATATATAGGGTGTTCCATTTAAATTAACGAAGATGACAGTTAGTTCCAGTATAACTGGAAGTGCTACATTGATGGCATTATTTTCATTGAAGAGAAAATTTCATATTGCCTTTGGTTCCTCTTAAACATTTAATAGGCTACTTACCGTGAAGAACCCTATATATAAAATGTTATATAGGGAAGCATAAAATATTTAAGAATATACATTTTCTCAAAAAAGTATCTGGAATTTGTCAAAAAACAATAAATTCACGTAATCATCAAAATTTATTTTGTCGCCTTTAAGATAGGCTTTTGAAGCAATACACTTCTGCCAATGAACAACCCAGTCATCAAAACATTGTTTAAATGCATATTCCGGTATGGACTTCTACTCCTTCAGCTATTTTTGTTTTATGGCCTTTATGAACACGAATCATTTTCCACGAAGTAGGGAATCCAGAAACATATATTGGATGTTCATTCTGCAGATCAGCAGATGGTGACACGGACATCGCTAATTTGAACTGTTTTGGAGATTGAAAATCGACAAAGAATTTCAAGGGTACATCGAAGATTCTCTTCAACAAAAAAACAAGATCGGGAAGAAAATTTTGCACGACAACAATGCTGACACCTCTACTACTTGTGTTAGGGTTACTACTGATGCTACTTTTACAGTTACAGTAGCAAATATTTATGGAATCGTGTCTCACAAAGAAAATGAGCCCCTCACGTTAGTTTTGATAGCGGAATCCAATTTCGTAATACAACTTTACATTTTAATATAAATACCACTAATGCAAACAATTAAAGGGTCAAAAGAATTTCCGAAATTTTTCTGTGATATTTAACAATGTATTTAGCTGAAAAATTGTCGTATCGGGAATTAAAAAAAAGCATTTTGAAGAAAAAATTTTTTTTTTCATCTTTTACACGAATTTTAAAAAACAGGGAAAAAGAAGGGTATTAATTTATGTTTTTTTAGGCTTTCTCACATTTTTACCGCAAATAACGTTAAAATTGATGAAAAAAAAAAATTCTAAAAAATTTGAAATTTTTCAAAGGTTTGTCTTGTTTTTTGGAAAACCTTCCAGACATTGAAGAAAAAAAAATCCAATTGTTTTCAACACGATTCGACTTTTTTGTCCTATGCTTCTGTTCATCAACTTTTAATTATATTAAAATTAAAGTTGATGATCCAAACCAGATTTCGACCCCGATTCATACTGTTTTTTGAGACAAATTTCTAATTAATTTTTGTGCAGTCTGTATACTAATCACTTAAAAAACAGTTCTTTTCAAAACTACCCTTTTTCTTCTGATTTTTTTTCCATTTTAATCATGATTATGAAGTGTTTAAGCTCAAAAAAGTAACCTTTAATTTTTTTCAAAAGTTTGACTGCATGAAATAAAGAAACGGTTCGCTATATCGAGATGAAACTTCATAGGGTTCTTCTGGGTATATGGAACTGTAAAACTCATGCTTAACATTAGTCATTTCGTGAATATTTCTAATTTAGCCATCAATTTTCTAAAAAACCATAAATTACCCTTTTTTCCTGTTTTTAAAAATTCGTGATGTAATGAACCGGTATTAATTTCCAGTTTTATGCAAGGCCGTGGGCCAGTTATTTATTTAATTAGTTTAATTAGGTGAGAGCAATTAACCGCGAGTCGAGCCGAAACCGTCCGCTGCCCCACTGTCGAGGGCCGCGCGCATAGTCCCACCACGACTCCTGCCTAGTCAAGGGGGGATTGAGACAATAAAACCAACGATTCCAGACTAAAATCCTCAGTTCGCTGCCAGAACTCGAAGAACTCCAACGCCAACCTGAGGACCACCCCGAGGACCTGAACACCGACCAGAGACCGCCACCCGATCCAAGGAGTTCGCTGCCAGAACTCGAAGAGCTCCAGTTCCAACACCAGCCCGAGGACCACCCCGAAGACCTGAAGACCGACCAGAGACCGCCACCCGACCCAAGGAGTTAGCCGCCAGAAGCAACCGTCCGGAATAAGTAAGCAAATTGTATTTTCCTATTCTCACTTGTCCTGCTATGGTACAAGTCTGGCCGTTTTGAACTCTGGCAAGACAGTACGACCACGGCGTTGTCGGCGAAGGTTTGGCTGGGTCACCCACCGCCCTCGTTCGACGAACGTTGTTAGTCACATCGACCGAACTGCTGGTTTGGCTGGGCCACCCACCGCCAGTGGAAGACGTTGAGTGCAGGTCCGTACGGCAGCAGCGTTATCGGCGACGGTTTGGCTGGGTCACCCACCGCCCTCGTTCGACAAACGTTGTGAGCCCCTTTACTGACACTGCTGGTTTGGCTGGGCCACCCACCGCCAGTAGAAGACGTGAAGGTGTCGAAGTGTACAGCAGCAGCGTTGTCGGCGAAGGTTTGGCTGGGCCACCCACCGCCCAAGCTAGATAAACGCTGTAGGGCACAATAACCGAAACTGCTGGTTTGGCTGGGCCACCCACCGCCAGTAGAAGACGTTGTGTGTCGGCTGTGCAACGACGGATAGACCCCCGAAGTTTGGCTGGGCCACCCACCGCTTCCGGGAGAAGTCTGTCGGCCGCCCCGCATTTGAACTCGCACCTCGTCCAGACTTTGCCTCCTGTTTACCAACAACATCATTTTCCTGATTACCGTTTGCTTATTTGTGCCTGATCTAAACCGCTTTGCTTGGCTTTTTCTCCTGGCTGGTCGCATTTCCGCTTAATTTCCGTCGCTTTGCTAGAAACTGCCGCCGATATTTATTTGTAGAATTAGAGTCACCCGTAATTATTTTTCTGTTTCAGAACCATTGGGAACAATTTATTTATTGCTCTAATTTATTAATCTTATTTTTCCCTTTCTAGCACCGACCGAAATTTAAAACCGAATATTATTCTGGCGTACCGTTTCGTAAAGTCTTAGATTGTTTATTAAATAAACCAAACGCCAAAGACTCCGTTTTCTACCGTACCGATTTTGTGTCCTGATCTTTTGACTAATTTGTATTTATTTACAGCTCCGAAAAACCGTATCGGCATTTTAAATCCGTCGTACAAATAATAATTGCTCTAACCAATTTTGTTATTCTTACACCGCTTGTAAAGTATTTTTACATTCCTGAATTTTAGTTAGTTATTTATTAATTGTAATTAGAATCTATTTTACTTTTGTTTGTTTGTTTCAATAGGCCTTGTTAATATAAAATAAACCTAGTAAATATAATTCCCGTTTGTATTCATTCTTAACGCCGACAAAGTTGATAAAATTCCGATCAGTAAAAAAGAGGTCCGCTTATCTTTTTGTGACCTACACTGATAAGACCGTTTATTTTGAAAGGAAAATAACACTACACTCAGAGAACTACTTTGCTTGAAATTAAGAGAAATATAACAGACCCCTGGAATTAAACTTTCTTCACTGCAGCTATCCCGAGTACTTACTCTAAACCGAGGGTAGGTTTCACGTGGAGTTTCCCCCACGTAACAGATTGGGAAACTGGCGCCCGAGACAAAAACCGAACAAAAAGATTCAATCCGGAGTACGTTCCTGTGACGTCACTCACCACCGCCGGCTGCCAACCACCGCTGCCGATAAACTAGTAGTCAAGGGTCGTCATAAAATTAGACGTCCAAATAGGGACGTCAGTGACGTCAATAAATCTAGTAAATTAGAATTCGCAATTGTGAATTAAGATTCCGTTTAGAGTTGGTAGTATACCGGGGGCAGCCACAAGTAACGTCTGAACCGAACCGTCACCACCGCAACATCAAAACCAAGTAAAGTATATAAAGTGTGTTACAAGAATTTGGCAACCGAGTAAAGTACGTTACAGTATACAAGAATGTTATAGAAAATTTATTCCAGTTTTCAAAACTGCCCTTCAATTCTCTGTACGACCATTTGTCGCTGAGATATCGATGATTGAAGACAAACGGATCCTTTTCCATTAAAAGTCTGATATTTCTATGAAAAATAGTCATATCGAAATTTTAAAAAAAGGAAATTGAAGGTAAATAAACAAGCTATCTGGTCCATCCAACGGCTTGGCTGAAAAAGAATCTTCCAAGTCCGTGGACTCAGAAAAAAAAAAACTATTTCCTAAAAAATTTTGACCAAAAGATCTAATTAGAATCTTGGAGCTTCAAAATGCTTTTTTTTAATTCCCGATACGACCATTTTTCACTTAAATACAGTCTGTCAAAAATGACGGAAAAATTTTGGAAATTCTTTTGACTCTTTTTTGCGTTAGTTAATTGTTTAATATTGTTTTCTTTAGTTAAATTATAATTAAATTTGATTTTCAGAAAAATTACTGTAACTTTCGTATTTCCCATTTTTTTAAAGAATTAATAACCGAGATAACAAATTCTTTTAGTTGTTACAATTTTTGATACTCTTTCTGTATATTTAATAATCTTAATTTCCCTAGATGCCTGTTATTTTTTTATTGTAGAATATCAGTGCGACCAAGGACCCTGTTATATGCAGGCCGTGTTTTGACTCGCTTCGCACTCATAGTGATTTTGTAAACAATTGCCTTGATGCACAGGAGAAATATAAAAGTGCGGATAAGCAGTTTGATATTAAATTTGAAAAGATTGATATAAAACTGGAAAAAGATTGTCAAGATGCGGAGGAGAAACATGAAAATATCGACATTCAGTCTTATATTAAGTCTGAGGAGATTGAAATAAAGATAGAGGAAGACGATCAGAATGGGTAAGGAAATAAGTTTAATTTTTTTTTAATTTATTTTTCCATGCGATTAATTTAATTTTGAGCAATTCGGATTTTTTTCAGATATTCCCTTTCGAACGACTCAGACCATGAGACAGTTGAACACGAAAAGAGATATACTTCTGAAGATACAGGAGAAGTAAATATTGAACGTACGCTTAAATGTGACTCGGGATTTATTGAATATCGCACAACATCAATGTTAGTTCAGAAGGTCCAGACGCCCAAAAGGGAAAACCTTAGATTTAAGAAACGAGAACCTTTAGAGGCACGATTATGCCGCTGTAATAAATGTAGTTATGAAACTAAGCTAGAAGTGAATCTCAGAAGGCATCAGTTAGCCCACAAAACTATACGTGTTGCAAACAGACGTAAGTTAAGGCATAAAAATATTCCGAAATTCCAAATGTACACGTGTGATACTTGTACCTACGAAACTAAATATAACGGACATCTAAGAAGGCATCAGTTGATGCACAAAGACCCTTTGAAATTCCACATGTACAAGTGCGATACTTGTACCTATGACACTAAATATAAAAGCGATTTAAATAAGCATCAATTTCAGAATCATAAAGATTCTTTAGAAACACAAACGTACAAGTGTGATACTTGCACCTACAAAACTAGGTTTAAGAGACTTCTGAGCGATCATCAGTTAATGCACAGAGACCCTTTGACGATCCAGATGTACAAGTGTGACACCTGCAGCTTTGAAACTAAACATATGGGACATTTAAGAAGGCATCGGTTAAGGCACAGGGATCCTCCGAAATCCAAACGTCCAAAGGTTGTTAAGAAACCAAATACAAGCGACGCGTAAAGTCCGAAACTGCCGACGAATGATCCTAGTTGTATTGTTGGTGTAATTTAATGCTAGCCGAGACATGTAACCCGTAATTATTGTTTCTGGCAATATCATCACTTAATACTGTTTTTTTAAGAACTATTTACAGTATTATCGTTTTTCGGGTGATTAGAAATCCTTGACTTGCGTTTGCCGTTCTCGGGCAAAGATCTGTGGGGGCGGACACGCTATTGGAACTCCTGGTGTTAATTTCGGTTCTTATTAGGTTTAAGGCTGCTCTAATTTTATCGCATTTAAAAAAAAACGGGTACTTTGTACAATATTAATTTATTTTTTATAAAACTAGTTCTGCAATAAAATAAATAAATTATCAACACACATAAACAAGTAAAATGTACCATTTTAAACTAATTCAATAAAAAAATAGCAGTTTTAGTTGGAAATATTTGCTAATGATAATTGTTCCTCCAAGTATTCCACTCTTTCTTTCAACTGCAGGTTCTCGGACGTCAACTTTTTGTTTTTATCTTGCTCTTCCTGTATCTCTGACTGTAACTCGGAATATGCCTCCTTGGCTTCTATTAGTGTTACTTTTAAATTGCTCTGGTCTTCCGTTAAATTCTTAATATTCTCTCTCAATTTCGGCACGACTTGGACCTCTTTTTCTAACCTTTCCATTTCAAATCTCACGTCGCGGAGCTCGCCCCGTAGGTTATTTATTTCACTATTTTGTTCCGATATAATTTTTTCGAGGTCCTCTTTCTCTTTCTTGAAAAGTTTCGATGGTGAATCCTCATCTTCGCTGGAACTGTCCACACTTATAACGTCCTCCTGGTCTAGGATATTGGAGTAATAGTTGACGAGTTTATTCGCTTCCTCCAGTTCTTTTTTCACTTCATTAATGGCCCTATCTTTGTCCTGAGTTAATCTGTCGATGAATTCTTTGTAAGAAGATATTATGTAGTCTCTTTCCATTTTTTGTTCGATTTTGAATTCCCTTCGCATGTTTTCGATTTCCGTGTACAAATCCGATATAATCTCTTTCAGTCTGTTCATTTCGATGTCCTTTTCGTCCTCCTCCTGGACTTCCTCTATGGCACCACCTTCCATGTATAGAGAAAATCGATTCTTCTTCTTTGGCTTTGTCAATTTGGGTTGATCTACCGATATTTCCTTCGCTATAGCTGAGAAATTCAATACGTGCTGTGATTCGTCGAACATGTCACGTGACGGGTTGATATTCACGATCATCATGATATTCTCCAGACCCATCAACGCTTTTTGAAATAATTGTGTGAGCTTCGATTCACGAAATGGTATTAATCGGTTGTCTTTTAGCTGTTGGGCAGATCTGATGTTGCTGATACATCGTCCTGTAGAAAAAAAACAAGATTAAAGTAGATGTACTGGTAATATCGGGTTAAATAGAGAAGGGCTTTATTTTTATTACCGTCTCCTACAAACTGCAAATTTATTAGTATTCCTACTTGTATATAATAAATATACATCTGTAAATCAATAAGTAAAAATTAAATATGCTGGTACATTTATTTTTTCAGCAAAATTTTTTGACAAAGTCCAAATTTTATGGCAGTTATGCACTTGATATTACATATTAGAAAAAAGTAAACAAAATCAGAACTCATTTTAGAATCAATCCTCAAAGGTCGCACTAGTGCGAATTCGCGTCACCGTTTCTTTTGAACAGCTGGCATTTCTCAGGTAGCATCTGCCGAGGGTTTCCCCCAGCATGATAATTCCTTCTACAGCCCAAACAGTCGAGCCGTACCACAGCTGGCCTCGGTCTGTTATTGTCGGCCAAACTAGAGTCTGAAAGGTGCGATCACTGCGAATTCACCTCATTTTACGTTTCGAATAGACTAGAATATTGTTCATTTAGCTATTGTTAATAATGTGAAACATTTTTTTTTTTTCATTAATTTAATTGTAACATGAATTTGTCAATATTTACGGATAATATTTTTATACAAAAGAGTGAAAAATAAACATGAATTTACAGAAAAAGAGCCAAAAATCACAACTTCAAAAAATGCTACCGGAAAAAATTTATAATATTTTATCAATATGGGGTATTTTTTTCTTAAAAATATACACTTTGAACTTCAAAATCCTTTTATTACTTTTTCTGTAGCCATTATTTATAAAAAGAAATACGAATTTAAAAAAGTTATTTTTCGAAAAAGATTTTTTTTTCAATCGCATTTTTTATTAACAAATTAATTTTTATTTCAAAAGTAATTACATCATTCGTTTTCTTGGAACCCCAGTTTTGATATAAATGCGTTGTTTTCCTTAACAAATAAAGAAGACCTAAAGGTTCAAAATTGACAAAATCCCAATTCGCATTAGGTGACCTTTAATTACGTTAAAAAAGCTCTACTAAATCGTAAAATGGTACAAGTAAAACTGGGCGTAAATTTTGCTGAATTAATTCACTTCGAATATTTTCCCAGAGAAAAGAATTAGATTCCACATGTCATAAAACCCCTGTATACCAACTTTAGTGATTCTCGTACAACAGGGTTCTGAGATATAAAAAAAGATTATTTTTTGGGGCAGATTTCAGGGGGCTGTAACTCCGAAAGAGGGGGCCAGTTGGCAAAAAGAAAAAATACGGGTCTCCTAAATTTGTCTTAAGAATCTATGACCAAATTTTGTTGCATGAATTTCGGGACACCCCGTATGTACAGGTATTTGTTTAAATATAAAATATTTTACAATTAACATTTTTAGTAATTTCCTATTTGCACCTCCAATTTCTATAAAAATCCCATATTCCTGGCTGAGAAATAGTCAAATTTCTGGCGTTTTTAGGTACTGAAGTCTTGAAAAGTAAAACGTGTAGAACAAAAGTAAGCACAAAAATAAAATCCTTGATGTTCTGTTTATTCATTGTTCAAATTTACTCAAATAAAAAAATAACTTAAAAAAAGCGTTTGTAAAACATGCGTTTGCTGTTATCCTAACCCCACATTTTAAGAATTATTTTCGCGTACTTATAAATAAAAGTAAACAAATTTTATATGTAGGACTAAGTAAGTAAATATTATAAGAATATTTACATATGAAGTTATATATAAAAAAGTTAGTATTTTCGTAGATTTCGGTATCTAAAACCTTGTTGGTATGACATAACATTCCTATTATTTGATAAGCTTTACATTATTCAGTTATTAAATGTTTGAAATTATTTGTATTTGTAAAAAAACACTATTTAAAGAATATGTCGCCTTTAATTATTCCTTAATTGTAATTAAATAAAATTTCCCTTATAAATATTTGTTAAATGAACAGAAATAGAAGTCAATTCAGTTTGCATCCTCAACTTTTGCCCACACTAATTTATATTGGCACAATACAGTTCAGGCTAGTCCAGTAGTTTATGGGTCTATGATTTGGACACACTTCAAAGAGTGACCCAAAAAAACCCAATTTTTCGCCCGTTTCCTGGACCTCAAGAATTCAATTCAAAAGTGGTCTAAATGATAGTTTAAAGCGATAGGGTGACCTCTTGTGTTATCTTAAGATTCTCAACAAATACAATCGGTAACATTTATAATGTAAAATGTTCCGTTCTTTTCGAATCTTCATTATATTTTTCCAAAAATATAGTACAAAAAAGTTATAAATGATTTTTGTAAACAATAATTTGCATTTTTGCTAAATATCTTTGATTTAACGATATTTTTATACTGAAAACAGCAAATCTTGATGGATTTATATATCCACTTAAAAGATATAGCAAACACTTAAAGAAGTCACTCGGTTTGGCAAGCAATCAGTTTTTTCAGCGTAAACCCTCACAACATGATGTTTTCTTAAAGAATATCTAATCTTGCATGCATGCAATAGAATCAATTTTAAAAAATCGTTAATATACATTTTGATTACTCAATTATTTTTTTCTTTCGTTATTAATCTTACATCCAAATTATCCTAGTTCAAAGTCCTTCGGATACAAGGTTTAGAGTATCTATTGAGATTTTGTAAGTCTCCAGAATAAAAATAGCAATTAATTGAATATTTTCAGCAAAAATCCTGATTTTTTTTGTAAAATCGGCAGTACCTCATTAAAACAAAGTGTTTGGTAAAATCTAATGGTAGATTCATAAAGAATGAAAGATTTTACATAGGAAATGGTACACTTTGCATATTTGAGAATCTTGAACACAATGAACAAGTGCGCCGAGAATGTTGGATTCATCTTGGCGTGATAAAGCCAATTAAGGGCGCCATATTCTTTAAATGGTGTTTTCCACAAAGACAAGTAATTTCAAACATTTAATAACTGAATAATTTAAAGCTTATCAAATAATAGGAATGTTATGTCATGCATCTGAGTATTTTCAAAGACGCTGCAGTAAAACGAATAAACAAGTGCAAAAAACGATCAAACCATCAAGGTTTTAGGTACTGAAATCTACGAAAATACTAACTTTTTTGGGTCACTGCGGATATAGTGTGATGCTGATTCTGAAAAAAATGGAAAGAACTAGACTAATTATTGTTATTTTGAAAATAAGGTTTTTAAAATAAAAAACAACATGGCTGATTTGTAATTTCATAAAAAACAATATTCTTATTTAACCCTTTTATAACATCCATTTTATATTTTAATTTTTTTCTCCCCTTTTTTCTAATGAGGCAAAAATTCAATGTGGCGTCCATAAAATAAACAAAAGTTAACGACTGCTGAGCGCCACATTTTTAGATATACGTTAATATTGACAACAAAAATTGATTCTTCACATCATTCCATATCAGACTACACATTTGTATCCTAAAATTTTGAAAAACAAGTGAAACACGATTAAAAAAAAATAGCATAAAAATCGGTTTCCTTCGAATATCTCCGGAACTATTCGGAATTTTCTAAATTGCACGTTCTTGCTCATTTAACCATTTATGTAAGTATCTCTTAAAATAAAAAGAATACCTGTATTGGACAATTAAAAAGTTGTATGCCTGTATATAATACAAAATATGTACTTGTCTCATTTAACATGACTAAAAACATATACCTTAAATTTAATTTCATCGGCATTATACAGTCTGTCCCATTTTTCAGGTTAACACCTCTGGAAATGTGGACTTTCCGCAAGCCAATTTTTTTACAGATAGTACCCTGAAAGTAAGTTATATTCTACTAATCATTTTATTGATGTAACAAAAGCCTGGCCTACTATGATTTTTTAAAAGGGTTGTTTTTCCAGAAAGTAGTATAAGGCATTTTTTTATCAAAAAGATAATATTACCAGGCTATTCAACACCCATCAAAATACCCATATAGCAAATTTGAACAACAAATGTCTATGGAGTGTTTTTTTATGTATTACCAAACATTATACAACTAAAAATTATAATAAGCAGGTCTAAGATTGCCATGAAAGTGAAAACAAGTACCAATCTGTATTTTTTCTTTATCCGATTGGTATTTGTTTTCACTTTCAGGGCAATCTTTGACCTGCTTATTATAATTTTTAGTTGTCTGTTTTTTCGAAGTTTGGCATCACAAAAAAACTGTCAACAGACATTTGTCGTTCCAATTTGATATATGAGTATTTTAATGGGTGTTGAATAACCTGGTAATATTATCTTTTTAATAAAAAAATGCCTAATACTACTTTCTAGAAAGACGACGCTTTTAAAAAATCGTAGTAGGCTTTTGTCACATCAATAAAACGTTTAGTAGAATATAACCTCCAACAGGGTTCTATTTGTAAAAAAATTGGCTTGCGGAAAGTCCACAGCATTCTCACATTTCCAGAGGTGTTAACCTGAAAAACGGGACACACTGGTTGTACCAGAATCACAACTGATTAATGACAACTATCAAAAAATAAATTTGTTAATTGCCAACGCCAGCTACCTACGATTAACACGTAGAATTTCATACGAGTCACGATATGCATTCGATCACATTTTGCCATTTTTCTCGAAAACATTGCGTTTTACGAAAAAAAATATCAAGATAAAAAAAAGTTTCTAAATTCAATAGATTTCTAGCGGACTTATAATTTTTAAGAAATTCAAATATTCCACCAAATTTTTTTGGATCCAAAGACAATACCATGAAAGTGTCTTAAGGGGGTTCCCCGCCGAAAAGCATAGCACTATCAGATTCCACATATCATAATACCCCTGTGCACCAAATTTAGTGATTCGCGTACAACACGGTTCCGAGATATAAACAAAAGACTATTCTTAAGGGTGGATGTCAGGGATTGCAACTCTGAAAGAGGGGGCCACTTGGCAAAAATAAAAAATACGGGTCCCCTAAATTTGTCTTAAGAATCTGCGACCAAATTTTGTTGCATTAATTTCGGGACACCCGGTATAGGAAAAACATCTAGGAAAAATTGAAGATCTATGAGTGAGTGGTGATATAAGACCCTATAACGTAAATTAAGTGTATGGACATCTGTGCGATAAGTTATTTTATTTATCAAATAGGAGGCCACTTGTAAGATAATAAAGCGTGAAATAATGCAACAGAGTTAGTACAGTCAGTCATTGAAGCTTTTCACCTCCGAATTCTTTGAAACTGAACCGATCAACTTGAAGTTTGGCAGATAGTTAGAGAAAAGGCCAATGAACATTAGTGACATGGCGCCGATTGACGCTTCTACCCTGTTGGGGGTTGACACCCTTTCTCGGGGGTGGAAAATTTTTTCAAAAATAACGCTGGAAATCGATAATCAAATTTTGAGCAAAAAAAGTTTTCGAAGAATTTTTTCGAAAAATCAATAGTTCTTTAGTTATTCACGATTGAAAACTTGGAATTTTGAGTGAAAAAAAAACACTTTTTCAAAGTATTTTTCGCGAATAACTCAAAAACTACGCATTTTATTAAAAAAAGTGTAATGAACAATAATGTAGCTTATAAATAAACAAAGAAAATCGTTTTTTAAAAAGTGTTGTACGTCTTATACAAAGTGAAATATGGTTAGTGGAAGGGGACTTGTTTTGGGGGAATACTCGAATCGATGTATTCAACGTCAAATAACGGAAAAAGGATTAATTTTACGTGTATAACGCTCCGGGAGTTTTTTGTAGTACTCAAAAAGGCCTTCAAAATGAGCACTTATAAAAGTTAATTAGAGCAACATTAAAGGAGTTATCGTCAAAAACAGATGGGTTGTTCATATTTTTTAAGGAAAAATGAGTAGTGAACGCTGTACCATTTCCATCAGAATTAAAATTAATCGTAGACGACCCTTTACAATTAGTTTTGCTTTAGTGTTTTTCATACGGTCCTGAAGTTAGACCGGTTTATAATGCGTATTTTTTGAATAATGTACGGTAAAAGTTGAAAACGTACTTTTTCATTACTAAAAAAAAATTGTCTTATTTATATAATAACTCTGAAACTACGAAAGATACGTAAAAAATGATAGACAACAAAAATGTAGCTATTTTTCAACAAATATTTTGCTTTTTTTATTCCTACATCATAAAAAATAAAGGAGATATTGCCGCTTGAAGTATCCATTTTAATGGAAAAACGACCTGTCTCGAGCCCTTCGATACTATCCCTTTAAAAAACAAAGGAGTTAAAAGGTTTTATATTTTTTGTAGGATACTATAGCTTCAAAATTAATCGAGTTATAGTAAAAAAATCAATGACATTTTTTCGGACCAAAATAGGCTTTCTCATTTTTGGAGCAAAATGTTAGGATTCAATAAAAATATTTTACATTAGTATTGGTAAAAGGGTAGTTTATAAGAGTTGAAAATGGCAAAAGTAAAATATTCTTTCATAAACAATATAAGGGCATTTTTATTTTAAATTATTGCACAATTATAGCATTCCAAGATTTAAAACGTAATTTTTTATCATTTTTTTAGCACAGGGATGTTTTTTAGGGGTTGAAAAGGAAAAATTCTTTTTAATTGCACGATTTAATCATTCCAAATCTTTAAAAAGTAATTTTTTATCATTATTTTTTCCATAGGGGTAGTTTTTAAGGGTTAAATAAAGGATCGAAAAAATCAAATATACTATAAAACATGTTCGAAATCATGGAACATTATTTAATCTTTGTGCTTGAACAAGATTTTTATCAATGAAATGCTTAAAACTTAATTTTTTCAATGATTTTTCACTTAGGGGTAGTTTTTAACCCTAAAAAACAAAAAGCGTCAATCGGTCTTATGTCACTTTTGAACTTGAGCCTAAGATTAGCCTTATTCTAAATTGTCGTGCAAATCCATGCAGTTTCAAAGAATTCGGAAGTTACAGCAGATTTTCAGCTTCAATGAATGTAGATTCCTTCTTTTCTGCATAGTTATCGTTTAGCGTCAATTAATTTATAAGAAGTAGACTTAAATTTCCTAATGCAATAAACAAACAAAAATAAGGGGGATCATATTTATGCGTAATTTTCGGTGAATTTATACAGTTTACAAGCGGATGAAACGTTCAGAAAAAGGAAAAAAAAGGGATATTTTTACTTCTTACATCTTTCATTACAATTCCTGAACTTTACAGGCCTGTGGAATATACAGAAATTCGCGGAGGGTATTATAAACACAATCACACCTAGCAGAATGCTTTTATGAAACTATTAACACATGAATTAATCATAATTATTGAGTATATCTACCCTTTCTCTCTCTGTATTAAAATTAATACAATTTTTTTAGATTATAGCAAGAATTCACTTTATTCATTCTGGACGTATCGTCAAAATAAATAGAACTGATTTCATAACAAACCAACTTCACGAAAACTGACTTGAGTCCAGCGTAACTAAATCAAAATAGTAGACTCGCTAAAGACGAAAATTTTAATACGTTTAAAATTAACAGGAAAGTCAGAATTGCTCTCCCATAAAACCATTTAAAACAAACATACAAGTATATCTTACCTAAAACTAGCAGAGAGGTATTTATGTTATTGGATTCCTTCAGTCTATCGCCGACGTTCATAGTCTTTTTCACACGCTCCGATCCGGCCAGGTCGCAAAAATTAAAGGTGCTGATATACATTCCTTTGTCCGTCTCGGAGACCTGGATTAATTTGATTGTAAATATGCAGTGCGACCTACTGGAATGGGAATTCACCGAAGTGGCGGCATATTTGAGGTTATGAAGACCGAACTGGAGAATCTGGTACGCCTCGATCCCGGACGTTACGTGGACGCTGGTAAGGTCTTTTATGAAGCAGCCATCTTTCGAGTTGCCGAGACGTAGCCTAGGACGTTGTTTCCCTCTCGGTGGAGGCGTTTTTAGTAGGTCGTAGATGTTCTCGTTGTATATTTCCGCGAAGCTCACCCATATGCTGACGGATACGTCGGCGAGATCGTCGATTTCCGCCACGACTTCCGAACTGAGCCTTTGTTGCATCTGCCTAAAAAAACATTAAAATTGGAGAGATGCCAATGATAACTTATTCATTTATTTTCAACAGATAAAATAATTTTTGAAAATGTAGGTATATATTTTTTTTAACTGTTGACATTGCAGGACCAAATACCGTGCGATTTCCAAAAGAAAACCAGCCGATAGGATGCTACTTCTAGTTTTATTTAAATCAAACACAATAATGTTCTATAGATATCGATTCATTTATGAACGTCAATTTTCAATCCCATCCCCAAGCTGATATGTAAAAAATATCCTACAGGTTGGTTTTCTTTTAACAATCAGACTATTCTTTATGGGATACTATAAAAAATATAAACTAAAAATGATATTTAAATATTATTAACAAAAACAAATACATAGTGAAATTATTAAACAGGGGTCAAAAGTAATACAGAATTCCCGGACATTTCCAGGTTTTCCTGACTTACAAAAAAAATCTAGGTCACTTGTAGTTCATTTTTACATACTAATTGTTGTTTACGCGTTAAACTTTCTAGACTGGACTCCATAATATTTTTATACCCAAAGAACCTCTTATAAAGGTTCCAAAACCACAAATAGTTATCTCTTTCAAGATCGCAGGGCCTACTTTCACAAAATTTCCAGCAGCCAACGTCAAATTCTCTGACATTCATGAATACTTTTAAAATTCCCTGACAATTTCTGTTGTGGTGTATACGTTGTCCACCAAAATAATTATCACACCAGTTAGAACTCTAATTCTTGATTAAATAACTGATTGACATACAAAAATTTAAATAATAAAGGTGCTGGGTTACAACTAGGGTTTCTGATTTCTCGGCCTACTTTTTTCTCGGGTCTCGAGAATTCTCGACTAGGAATTCCCGGGAATTCTTGAATTCTCGAGAAATTTCTAAAACTTAAAAAAGTCATAATTTTGATATTGCAATGCGAAATATAAACATGCTATTATACTTAACAATCATAATTAACATTTATTATTTATTCAGTATTTTTATTAANTGGCCGCAATTAAAAGTGTTAAATTTATAGTATCTGTATTTTTTCTTTGTCCGATTGGTATTTGTTTTCACTTTCATGGCAATCTTTGACCTGCTTATTATAATTTTTAGTTGTCTGTTTTTTCGAAGTTTGGCACCACATAAAAAAAACAATCAATAGATATTTGTCGTTCCAATTTGGTATATGGGTATTTTATTGGGTGTTGAATACCCTGGTAATATTGTCTTTTTAATATAAAAATACCGAATACGACTTTTTGGAAAAACGACCCTTTTAAAAAATCATAGTAGGCCAGGCTTTTGTCACATCAATAAAACGATTAGTAGAATATAACCTCCAACCAGGGTACTATTTGTAAAAAAATTGGCTTGCGGAAAGTCCACAGCTTTCTCACATTTCCAGAGGTGTTAACCTGAAAAACGGTGGTACCAGAATCACAACTGATTAATGACAACTATCAAAAAATAAATTTGTCTGTTAATTGCCAACGCCAGCCACCTACGAAAAACGTAGAATTTCATACGAATCACGATATGCATTCAATCACATTTTGCCATTTTTCTCGAAAACATTGCGTTTTACGAAAAAAAATATCGAGACAAAAAACTTTATAAATTTGATAGATTTCTAGCAGACTTATAATTTTTAAGAAATTTAAATATGCCACCAAATTTTTTTGGATCTAAAGACAATAAGGGGTACCACGGAAGTGTCTTAAGGGGGTTCCCCACCGAAAAGTATGGCACTATCAGATTCCACATATATTACTCCTGTGCACCAAATTAGTGATTTGCGTACAACACGGTTCCGATATAAAAAATATTATTCTTAAGGGCGGATGCCAGGGGACTGTAGCTCTGAAAGAGGGAGCCACTTGGTAAAAATAAAAAATACAGGTCCCCTAAATTTGTCTTAAGAATCTGTGACCAAATTTTGTTGCATTAATTTCGGGACACCCGGTATGGAAAAACATCTAGGAAAAATTGAGTGGTGATATAAGACCCTATAACGTAAATTAAGTGTATGGACATCTGTGAGATAAGTTGTTTTATTTATCAAATAAGAGGATCCTTGTACGATAATGAACCGTTAAATAATGCAACAGAGTTAGTACAGTCATTGAAGCTTTTCACCTCCAAATTCTTTGAAACTGAACCGATCTACTTGAAATTTGGCAGATAGTTAGAGAAAAGGTCAATGAACATTAGTGACATAGCGCCGATTCACGCTTCCACCCTGTTGGGGGTTGACGCCCCTTCTCGGGGATGGAAATTTTTTTTTTAAATCACGCTGGAGATCGATAGAGAATCAAATTTTGAGCAAAAAAATATTCGAAAAACTTTTTCGAGAAATCAATAGTTTTTTAGTTATTCACGATTGAAAACTTGGAATTTTGAGTGAAAAAAAAACACTTTTTCAAAGTATTTTTCGCGAATAACTCAAAAACTACGCATTTTATTAAAAAAAAGTGTAATGAACAATAATGTAACTTATAAATAAACGAAAGAAAATCATTTTTTAAAGTGTTGTACGTCCTATACAAAGCGAAATATGGTTAGTGGAAGGGGAATTATTTTGGGCGAATACTCGAATTGATGTATTCAACGTCAAATAACGAAAAAAGGAATAATTTTACGTGTATAACGCCCCAGGAGTTTTTTTGTAGTACTCAAAAAGACCTTCAAAATGAGCACTTATAAAAGTTAATTAGAGCAAAATTGAAGGAGTTATCGTCAAAAACAGACGGGTTGTTCATATTTTTTTTTTAGGAAAAATGAGCAGTAAACGCTGTACCATTTCCATCAGAATTAAAATTAATCGGAGACCCTTTACAATTAGTTTTGTTTTAGTGTTTTTCATACGATCCTGAAGTTAGACCGGTTTATAATACGTATTTTTTTTTTAATAATGTTCGATAAAAGTTGAAAATGTATTTTTCATTATTCAAAAAAATTGCCTTATTTATATAATAACTCTGAAACTATGAAAGATACGTAAAAAATGATAGACAACAAAAATGTAGCTATTTTTCAACAAATATTTTGCTTTTTTTATTCCTATAGCATAAAAAATAAAGGAGATATTGCCGCTTGAAGTATCCATTTTAATGGAAAAACGACCTGTCTCGAGCCCTTCAATACTATCCCTTTAAAAAACAAAGGAGTTAAAAGGTTTTATATTTTTTGTAGGATACTATAGCTTCAAAATTAATCGAGTTATAGTAAAAAAACCAATGACATTTTTTCGGACCAAAATAGGCTTTCTCATTTTTGGAGCTAAATGTTAGGATTCAATAAAAATATTTTACATTAGTATTGGTAAAAGGGTAGTTTATAAGAGTTGAAAATGGCAAAAGTAAAATATTCTTTCATAAACACTATAAGGAAATTTTTATTTTAAATTATTGCACAATTATAGCATTCCAAGATTTAAAACGTAATTTTTTATCATTTTTTTAGCACAGGGATGTTTTTTAGGGGTTGAAAAGGAAAAATTCTTTTTAATTGCACGATTTAATCATTCCAAATCTTTAAAAAGTAATTTTTTATCATTATTTTTTCCATAGGGGTAGTTTTTAAGGGTTAAATAAAGGATCGAAAAAATCAAATATACTATAAAACATGTTCGAAATCATGGAACATTATTTAATCTTTGTGCTTGAACAAGATTTTTATCAATGAAATGCTTAAAACTTAATTTTTTCAATGATTTTTCACTTAGGGGTAGTTTTTAACCCTAAAAAACAAAAAGCGTCAATCGGTCTTATGTCACTTTTGAACTTGAGCGTAAGATGAGCCTTATTCTAAATTTTGATGCAAATCCATGCAGTTTCAAAGAATTCGGAAGTTACAGCAGATTTTCAGCTTCAATTAATGTAGATTCCTTCTTTTCTGCATAGTTATCGTTTAGCGTCAATTAATTTATAAGAAGTAGGCTTAAATTTCCTAATGCAATAAACAAACAAAAATAAGGGGGATCATATTTATGCGTAATTTTCGGTGAATTTATACAGTTTACAAGCGGATGAAACGTTCAGAAAAAGGAAAAAAAAGGGATATTTTTACTTCTTACATCTTTCATTACAATTCCTGAACTTTACAGGCCTGTGGAATATACAGAAATTCGCGGAGGGTATTATAAACACAATCACACCTAGCAGAATGCTTTTATGAAACTATTAACACATGAATTAATCATAATTATTGAGTATATCTACCCTTTCTCTCTCTGTATTAAAATTAATACAATTTTTTTAGATTATAGCAAGAATTCACTTTATTCATTCTGGACGTATCGTCAAAATAAATAGAACTGATTTCATAACAAACCAACTTCACGAAAACTGACTTGAGTCCAGCGTAACTAAATCAAAATAGTAGACTCGCTAAAGACGAAAATTTTAATACGTTTAAAATTAACAGGAAAGTCAGAATTGCTCTCCCATAAAACCATTTAAAACAAACATACAAGTATATCTTACCTAAAACTAGCAGAGAGGTATTTATGTTATTGGATTCCTTCAGTCTATCGCCGACGTTCATAGTCTTTTTCACACGCTCCGATCCGGCCAGGTCGCAAAAATTAAAGGTGCTGATATACATTCCTTTGTCCGTCTCGGAGACCTGGATTAATTTGATTGTAAATATGCAGTGCGACCTACTGGAATGGGAATTCACCGAAGTGGCGGCATATTTGAGGTTATGAAGACCGAACTGGAGAATCTGGTACGCCTCGATCCCGGACGTTACGTGGACGCTGGTAAGGTCTTTTATGAAGCAGCCATCTTTCGAGTTGCCGAGACGTAGCCTAGGACGTTGTTTCCCTCTCGGTGGAGGCGTTTTTAGTAGGTCGTAGATGTTCTCGTTGTATATTTCCGCGAAGCTCACCCATATGCTGACGGATACGTCGGCGAGATCGTCGATTTCCGCCACGACTTCCGAACTGAGCCTTTGTTGCATCTGCCTAAAAAAATATTAAAATTGGAGAGATGCCAATGATAACTTATTCATTTATTTTCAACAGATAAAATAATTTTTGAAAATTTAGGTATATATTTTTTTTAACTGTTGACATTGCAGGACCAAATACCGTGCGATTTCCAAAAGAAAACCAGCCGATAGGATGCTACTTCTAGTTTTATTTAAATCAAACACAATAATGTTCTATAGATATCGATTCATTTATGAACGTCAATTTTCAATCCCATCCCCAAGCTGATATGTAAAAAATATCCTACAGGTTGGTTTTCTTTTAACAATCAGACTATTCTTTATGGGATACTATAAAAAATATAAACTAAAAATGATATTTAAATATTATTAACAAAAACAAATACATAGTGAAATTATTAAACAGGGGTCAAAAGTAATACAGAATTCCCGGACATTTCCAGGTTTTCCTGACTTACAAAAAAAATCTAGGTCACTTGTAGTTCATTTTTACATACTAATTGTTGTTTACGCGTTAAACTTTCTAGACTGGACTCCATAATATTTTTATACCCAAAGAACCTCTTATAAAGGTTCCAAAACCACAAATAGTTATCTCTTTCAAGATCGCAGGGCCTACTTTCACAAAATTTCCAGCAGCCAACGTCAAATTCTCTGACATTCATGAATACTTTTAAAATTCCCTGACAATTTCTGTTGTGGTGTATACGTTGTCCACCAAAATAATTATCACCCCAGTTAGAACTCTAATTCTTTATTAAATAACTGATTGACACACAAAAATTTAAATGATAAAGGTGCTGCGTTACAACTACTAGGATTTCTGATTTCTCGGCCTACTTTTTTCTCGGGTCTCGAGAATTCTCGACTAGGAATTCCCGGGAATTCTTGAATTCTCGAGAAATTTCTAAAACTTAAAAAAGTCATAATTTTGGTATTGCAATGCGAAATATAAACATGCTATTATACTTAACAATCATCATTAACATTTATTATTTATTCAGTATTTTTATTAATTACTTATGTTTCTACTTCTACTAACAAAACTAAATTAAACTTTGAGTTTCTTCTTAAAAACCTTTAACTTGTTTTTTTATTAAACACTTTCAATATACTTATGTTTATTTCAATGTTTTTGAATCGTAGTTTTCTTCCAATAATAATTATTAATAATCATTAATCATGCAGTCTTTTAATTAAATAAATAGTAAATAAGGAATTTAACCGAAGAAATCTTAAAAAAAAAAAAGCTTTAATTTAAAGATACAGAAGCGTTCTTCCTATTAATTTATCACTTCAACATTAGGTATCTGCTTATAATAAAATTTCTACACAGACTTATAACTAGGTACAGGGTGATTCACTATATTTTGACCCCCCTTTAACTTTTTTGTTTTAAGAGTTATAAAAAAATGTGAAATACAAAAGTTGCACGATTTTTTATGAAATTTTCGAATATGATAGTAGAAAAACAAATGAAGTTCAAACAAAATGGCCGCGGATGTTAACTTTGTTAATTTAAATGGAACACCCTGTATATTTTTACACATTTGGATAGAACGTTCCCTGTCGAGCACAGTCATATATGGTTTGTTGGGTCCATCTCTAACAATAAGCGAGATAATATTAAAAAACGAAAAGAACGTTTTTTATTAAGAAAATAAAATATTTTGTAATTGTTGGACGTTTTTCGGGCATTTCTGCCTTTTTTCCAATTACGTAAGGATTTAGATTTATTTGCAATATATTTTGACATATCGAACATTGATATAGTCCAAAATGGGTATAAGTATTTTAACTAAATCGCACTAATTAGTCCGTGAGGGGCTTATTTACTCATGGACAATGTTATATGGTAGGCCGTGACAGTGACAGGTAATATTATGACAACATTGTTATTGTTTGACAGTTTGTATTATTATTTATTTAAAATGGGTTACACAGAAGTAGAAAATTTAAATATTATAGGAATTAAGATAGAGTAGTTAAGATATTCTCCATAGTTTATTTTAATTCCTAATAATATTTCAATTTTCTACTTCTGTGTAACCCATTTTAATTAAATACTAATACAAACTGTCAAACAATAACAATGTTATCATGACATTACTACCTGTCACTGTCACGACCTACCATATATAAGATTGTCCATGAGTAATTGGCCTCACACGGTCTAATTAGTGAGATTTACTTAAAATACCTATACGCATTTTGGACTATATCAATGTCCGATATGTCAAAATATATTACAACTAAATCTAAATCCTTACGTAATTGGAAAAAAGGCAGAAATGCCTGAAAGAGGTCTAACAATTACAAGATGTCTTATTTTCTTAATAAAAAAACATCATTTCGTTTTTTAATATTATCTCGCCTATTATTAGAGATGGACCCAACAAACCCTATATGACTATGCTCGACAAGGAACGTTCTATCCAAATATGTAAAAATATACAGGGTGTTCCATTTAAATTAACAAAGTTAACATCCGCGGCCATTTTGTTTGAACTTCACTTGTTTTTCTACTATCATTTTCGAAAACTTCATAAAAAATCGTGCAACTTTTGTATTTCACATTTTTTTATAACTCTTAAAACAAAAAAGTTAAAGGGGGGGGGGTCAAAATATAGTGAATCACCCTGTACATTAAAAAAATAAGAATCACCAAAGTAAACTAAAGCCTTAAAAACTTAAAATAAATAAATCATAAGCTGGTAAAGAAACCACTTTAACCGTTCAGTTATTTGTTGAGAAACGAATTGAACGAATGAACGAAACGAACTCCAGTCAAGAACTTAAGACGCGCGTGATTTTTAAATTTCTCGATTTCTCAACACTTTTTTCTCGTCACGAGTAAGGCCAGATTTCCTGGGAATTCTCGCTTCGAGAAGTCTCGACCAGAAACCCTAGTTACAACCACTTGACGTGCCGGTCAACTAGAGAGTGTCACAGATTGCCCGCCTAAGGGAACGGTCAGCTACTAAGAAGGGTCGTTATTATTTAAGATTTATGGCACGACAAGTGCTCCTGAGACAGGTAAATCTGCTTCAATACAATTTCTTATTTATAAATATTTTCTATGAACGCAGAGGCGTACCAGGGAACGTGTGTCCCCACACTGTTCTTTATGAAAAATAATGAATTCCCTGACATTCCCCGGTATTCTCTGTTTTCCAGTCCACTACGAACCCTATTAAATAGTGCAATCTTTCAAAGATATTATATTATACCTTTGTTTTTCTAGAATCGCCCTTGACGAAGTCACGTGAAAATATCTACTATAAAAAGATCCTACCATGTCAAGATTTTTTTGAGATTGTTTCTTAAGACAACCAACTTAATTTAAATAACTTACACCTTTAATTTTAATAACTAGATACTGACATACTAAATTAAATAACAAATGTATCCTTCCAAGCACCTCAAAAAGAAAGGGATAGCCACCCAAGGAGCACATATAATACACGTTTTACGACTAATGCTATTTGAAATATTGAAACTAAAACGTTAACGATGATTGTATCAAACTATCAAAAGATCATAGTTGAGTAAAATAAGATTTTGACTTTGGAAAAATTTGCATATCGGATAACTTTTGAGGACACACTTGTGAGGGTGTCAGGAACAACATATAAAAAGTTAGCAACCGTAGAGTGTAGGCTTAATTATTTATTTAACAAATTAGTTGCAAAATTCCATTGTTTATTGTATATCTTAACAAATTCAATTTTTTTTAAACTAATTGCGCCAATCGAAAGAACGGGAAATTTTACATGAAAAATGTATATAAAGTTATTTTCTAAAATCAAAACTGTAGGTTGTAGAATTTTTTATAAATCGTATGAAAATATAAAGCAGGACTCGAGGCGCGTGCGGCCTAGCGCGCTATCCACTAAATTTGTTATAACTTTTGATCCATCTGATCAAATTAAGTCCACAAAAATTTAAATGAAAGAGCAATCTTGTAGCTAACAAGTTATCACGATAGAGGAATAGTGTGTAAATAAAGTTACGTAACGGTAGAATTTTCTACAAAATTAATTAAAGATCTGCCATTTTTAATTTTTAAGAAAAAAATCTAAAACTTTCAGAGATTACTCTTGAAATAGTATTTAAAATAGTGAGTGATATTTAAAAAATCTTAAAATTTTAATTCGAATAATACAATGCTCGAATTATTCAATAATTAAAAAAAAGGCAAATTTGATGTTTTAGGTCACGTTTCAAAGTCCAATAACTTTAGTTCAAAATATGATATTGCAACTTTACAGGAGCATTTTTTGAAGCTTGAAAACTGTACTTTAAAATGGTCCATTTTTTTTTATTTAAAACGTATAATAAAATTTAAGGAAAAAGAAAAAAAAATTTTATTCTAAAACGATGAAATTTGTTGTTAAATAAACTTTAATAAGGTTAAAGAAATATTTTTTTTGCTTGCTTAACCAATATATTTTCAAACTATAATCTTAAAAAAAGTATAATCAACGAAAAAAAAAATTATTACTATAATATTGTATAAAATACGAAAAAATAGGGTTTTTCAATAAATTGTCGCGAAATTCAGTTTTACCTATATTTTTTCATGATGAAATTATGTAGTAGAAGTTTATCTGGTAATGTAATTCACTTTTTCATTTAATAAATTTGTTAATTATTAAGAATCCCATATATCGTTTTTTGCACAACCCTAAACATCATACCCAAATTTCTTTGAAATTTAATAAGTTGTTCATTTTATATTTGTTCAATGATCTTAAAAATCCTAAAAATATCAATGAGAATAAAATTGCTCTGAAAATGTAATTTTTAAATAAATTGTTTAAAAAAGTCGGCCATATTGGATCAGCCACTTTGAATTTTCATTTTCTGATATAATATTCTTGTTCAGAGACCACAAAAACCCCTATAATGTCAATTTAACTAAATTTACTTTGAAATTTGTAATTTTTAAATAATGTTTTTTTTTAAAGTCGGCCATATTGGATCAGCCATTTTGAATTTTTATTTTCTGATATAATATTCTTGTTCAGCGACTTCGAAAACCCCATAGTATCAATTTGATTAAAACGGGTTTGACATTTTTTTGATATATTTAAAATAATCTTTGAAAAGCCATTTTTTATTGTTTAAACAATTAAATAATAATTAGCCTACAAATATAAGTGTATAACTTTTTTCTATAAGCCATTTCAAGGGGATTGAAAAAGGTTTTATGAAAATCCAAGGCCCTGCTAATTATTCCAAAATAACGCATATTTTTAAGCTACCTTTACTCCACTATAAGTTTTTACGAGTATTTTTTGGTTTTAGTTGTATTAAACTCTGTATAACGTTGTAAAGGTGAATTGTCTTTTAGTAATTTTAGAGACCTAATAGAGTTTTATTAAAGTTTACAGTATGAATTAAAGTTGTACTGAATTGTAAAGTTTGAAATGTTTATGTGTATATCATAATAAATACGTTATTGTGTAGTTTTATTTGGAGTTTTATTATAATTTCATTAGTGAACAAAAAGACCAGGTGTCATCATAACAGGGGGTGTTAATAGTGTAGTATAGATAAAATTGCCTCATATACACAAGAAAAGTGATTCTAAATCTTATAGAAATACTGCAAATTATTATAAAAAAGAAAAATGTTATTTACATCTTCAGAGCAAAGTGGAAAACAATGTAATTAAATTAGCCTCCAATGGGCATTGCATACAAACTGCAGAAAATCAAAATAGAGTTCAGCTTCATCCTATGAATTGAAAAAAATATAAAAATATATTCACAAATTTTTTACCAAAAATTTATTTTTGAAATTTTTTTACAATATTCACAATGCTGCACAACCATAAAAAAAAGGCCCTTTTTTTTCAACAGCAGTTTCCACCTTGTCGCTCTATTTCCTTACGCAAATCTCGAATACTTACTGAGTTCTCTGGCGCACAAATTGTTTTCACGAGATTTAATTAGATGACAGTTTATTAAAAACTGCCTGTTATGGAACCTAATTACTTCAGATTTTATCGGGATTGAGATAGAGATTACTGGACTTATACCAAGCCCCCACCGACTTTAATAAAGCATTAGTTGTTGTTTCCAAAGACTCGTCTGTGTTATCAGATACTAACAAGGATGTATCATCATACACAACAAAAGAGGTGTCAGAAAGTACGTTACCTAATTCATAGGTATTGTGTAGCATTGTGAATAAATTTTCAAAATAAACATTTTTTTTTAATTTTAATTTATTTTTTTATTTTCTTTGTTAAATATATAATTTCCTGACCATATAATTAATTTTTGAAAGTTATTAATCTTCTGGGTTATTGGTCAAAGTAAATAATTTGTTTATAAAATTATTTTTCCTTTTAACAATTGTTTATTACTATCGTTTTGGGTTTTATCCCATCTTCAGATAACATCACAAAGACGAATAAAAATTTTTTCTTATGCAATTATTAAAATCTAAAAATATTTTTTTCATCTAGTTAAAACAAAAACATTATTAAAAACAATTTAAAAACAATACTGTTTAAAGTCATTCTTTTCATATCTTTAAACATATTATGCAGAACATTATTATTATATTAGTGATTATACTTCTATAAATCAAAAAAATGTTATTGATGCCCTAAATTTATGTCTAAATTCTACATATTTTACATATAATAAATTTTATTCTGAGACAATTGCTCATTGATGGGTTATCACATATTTATTTCGACCTAATGAAGTAATTAAATAATATTGCAAATTTTTACATTTTCTATTACTTTAAATTAAATTTAATATCTACTGCCTTGTATACAATCTATGAAACTTAAAAACACACAATGTAATAGAAATATTTTAATAGTATTATGTTCTGCATAACATGTTAAATATAAAGATTTTAAACAAAATTGTTGACCAATGTGTTTTTAAATTGTTTTTAATGTTTTTGTTTTAATTAGATGTAAAAACTATTTTTAGATTTTAATAATTACAGAAGAAAAATTTTGTATCCATGTTTTGCCTGAAGATGGGATAAAACCCGAAACGATCGTAATAAACAACTGTTAAAAGGAAAAACAATTTTATAAACAAATTATTTACTTTGACCAATAACCCAGAAAATTAATAACTTTCAAGAATTTCTATTCTTTGTAAAAAAAAATAATTTTTATCAAAAATATCATTTTCAATTTAAAAATGAATAAAAGACACAAAAGTGACAATCAATCGGATCAAAATGAAAGAAAAATCAGAGCGGTTTGAATTCTTGGGGGTTTCTTTGGGATATTTTGAAGTTAAAAAGAAACAAAAATATCCTTAGTTCATTCATTATATGTAAAGTTATCTCCAGTTCTCCAGGTTAGCGAAAATCCATAATAATTTTTTACCTTTGAATCAAGAAAATATTTTTTATCATTTTGTTTTGCTTTATCTATGTCGTTTTGCATGTTGCTCTTGTTATTGTTATGTAAACAAAGATTGCTGTGTTAAAAAGTATTAAAAATAAGAAATATTAAACTAAATTATAGAAAAAAATTAAATGTTTCACATTAAAACTACAATTATATTCAATATCTTATTTATGAAAACTCCATAAATTATATATTGTTTAGAGAATTTCCCTTTTCTTCTAACGAAGCAAAAATTTAATATGGCGTCCATAACAAAAACAAAAGTTAACTAGCGCTCGACGCACATTTTGGAGGTATGTTAATTATGACAGCAAAAATCGATTTTTCATATCATTCTATTTCAGACGAAAATTTTAAAAAACAAGTTAAGTACAAAACTAAAAAAAAATAGCATAAAATCAATTTCCTTTGAATATCTTCCAAACATCTTCTGAACCATTCAGAATTTTCTAAATTAAAAAACAAATCTGTGATAGACAACAAATTCTGCACATTTTTGCCCATTTAAGCATTTCTGCATCTCTTAAAATAAGAAAGATACATTTATTGAATAATTCAAAATTTTTTATCCTGTATAATATTCAACGAATACGAACAAATAAATATGTAAACATATTTTAGAAAAACTTATTTCTCTTTATTTGGATACAAGCTAGGCCAATTCGATTATTTGTATTTAAATTTCATTAAAAAAATTTGTATCCATTATTACAAAGCGATTATTTCAATTTCAAATCATAGTAACTGTTTTATTTTTATGTACATGGAAATAAATTAAAAGTGATTTTCATAAAAAATGTCAAGTCGCTGCTTTCGTTCCCAATTTTTTTTTTTAATATTATTAAACCGTCGTATCGGCCAATATAGAACATTTATTTATAAGGAGGAATTTTAAAACAGAGGATTATTTGACGAATTGTTTTGTTCTGGCGATAAGTTCTGGTTAAATTTTTTTACACCTATGTATTCCCTTTCATATTATTGATCTAAATGTTTCTGTTTATTTAACGAGTTTGGTCCCTGTCGTTTTACTACTTTTACTGACAGCTGTAAAAATGTATAACGAGAAAATCTACGAGACACTTCCTGAATAAACGCCGAGCTGAACTAACGTCTAGCCCTAACCCACGAGTATTAGTGAGAAGATATCCAAATATAATTATTCTATAAAATCATAATCTTACCTGTAAGTTTTAATGTGCGTCGTTCGGTCAATAAGGGTGGCATTGAGGATTGCAGACTTCTGCAATCTTTCCATTTGGACCATCTGTTCGTCTATATACTTCACATCTCCGTTGGGCATGGGAATAACTTTTGGTGCCTCTTGTAACTGAGGTATCGTCCTGAATACGTATTCCAGCGCTCTCGGTATTACACCTGGTTCCTCAGCGGTGCCCACAATAGTAAACGTTTTACCTAAAAATATTGCCAATAGCATTTTTATACATAAAAAGAACATTTGTGTTACCAGAACCGGAAGCGCCGTATGCGAGAAGAGTGGAATTTCTTCCATTAATGAAACCTAACATTTTAGCTCTTACGATACTGTTAAATATTTCGATCTGTTTTATTTGAGGGTTGAAGATTTTTGTGAAAGAATACATTTTGGTCATCGACTCGCCTTCCTTTATGTTTCTGAGTGCGCGGGACCCATCCGGCACATTACAAATTAAGTTGTCTCCATCGATGCTGTACAGGTTTTCAAAGGGAATGCCATCTTTTATCCTTAAAAATACTTGAAGGTTGTGTTCTTCTGGTTTTTGCTGTGGAATGAATCGCGATAAGAATTTTACATTACAACATATTTACAATTGCAGTTTGAAGATTTACTTATTAGTCGTTTGTGCTGAATACTGACTGAATGACATTATGTAACATTTTAGTATTATGTTTAAAAAGTAAGTACATAACAGTTTTATGATAGGAAAAAAATACACATTAATTTAGGACACCTACCAGTCTTGAACCAACATCAGAATAATCTAATGAATTTTGATTTTCGTCAGTATCTGTATCACTGTCACTACTAATAATTATTTCAGAACTAGACATTTCTTTAACACAGGAACAAGTACACAGCAAACAAACTGATAGCTTTTATTCTGCTGTACAACATGTACAGCCACAAAAAAAAGTGTAAAAAATGAGGGAAAAAAGTTAAAAAACGCTATACATTCAACTTCTAAGTAAAATGATTTTACTATGAACGTTTCATTAAGTTTTTATTTAGGTACTTACATCTCCAGAGTTTTCTCTAGTATTATCATTTAATAATTCATCGGCCAAGTTTATCCTAACCTCATCCAAGCAGTGTCTATTCCAAGCCAAAATACTAGGATCCCTTGCATGGAGGTAAGAAATATTTTTTAAAACAATACTTTCAATGTCCAGCATTGTGATTCTGTTTACACTAAATTAAATACCACTTAAACATTCACATCCAAATGAACAAATTTCCGTTAAATTTAAACTTTCAAGCTTTCAAATCAATGACGTTTGAATTTACAAACACCATAGAGGAAGGAAAATAAAGGAGAGTGATTAAACATTAAACCCATTGAATACAGGCCGCGTTCAGCAAATGGTCGGACCACTTACTGGATGGAGCGTCCCAGTGCCCGAGAGTGTAGCGAAGGTTTAAAGAGAGAGATATAGGAGAGTGTGCTCTAGCAGTACGCGATTATATGTTGCTAGAGAGAGATAGCACATGCACTCCTACAGCCCTCTGTCTTTCTAAACCTCCGCCACTGAAACACTGCCTCCAGGAGTATATATATTCCAGTAGCCTCTTTCCTGATTTTCTTAGTAAAAATAAATTAAATTAATAAGTTACGATATTTTTCTCTATGCAAAACGTACGAAAAAGAGTTAAGAATTATTAAATTTTGGTTATCTCTGTCCTACATCACATAAACGAGCATGCATGGAACCTCGCAGTAAAGCGGAAGTGGATGGATTGGCTGTCTCTAGAATGTAGTCAGAATCAGAATATCTAATAATGTTATTCTGTGATTATAGGTTATGTAATTATAAACAATATAAATATTATAAACATAGATTTATTAGTATACTATATTAGATCTATAAACGATTACAAAATGCAACCAAGAAACTTTGAACAAATATTTTGCAGACTGTGTCTTACTATTATAAACGATAGAAATTGCGAAATAATAGGAGAAGCCTTAAGGGAAGTTCTGGCAGTAGTTTTGCCGAATCTGGTGAGATCAAATTTTAACTCATTTTGATACATTTAATCACAAATACAGGATTTCAGGATCTTAAGGACATAGATAAACATGTAATGTGTAAAACGTGTTCCATAAAGCTATTCGCGGCCTTTAATTTTAAATCGACATGTAAGGATACAGAGGGTATTATTTTTCCATACATTAATTCGAATTCAGGGTCAGTAGTGGATTTAAAAGAAGTATATTTAAAGGAAAAAGGAAATATTCACCCTATTGATATATCCGAAAACCAAAGAATTTGTCGATTATGTATTCAGTTGGTAACATATGGGTTTGCCGCACTAAATGAAGTGGATATTGACATAATCAATGCATACATACCGCAAGTTGTAAGTATCTTTTCAGTAAAATATTTCTATATGCCGGAAAAAGAGTTTCCATAACACAACTTCTAGGCTGTACCACGTTTAGGGCATTCGTCAATAGATATTTGATGAACTTCTACGAAAAATATTGAACCTCTACATTTGGACTATTTTTATAAGACTCGGTCAATATTTAAGTGTACTATAAGTAAACGTAGCATGAAGTTTTCCAAGGTGGTCGGAAGTTAGTTTGGTGTTTCATTCTGTAATTTAATTTTCACTTTAACCTTAAACTTTCAATGTTTATAAATACGTTTAAGTGAAGATATTTGTTTGCTATTTCAAAGTCATCGTTTCATGAATGTCGTGTTTTCAAAATATCTTGTTAAAATTGTACATTTTTGGAAACTCGGAGGTTTTGACAAACCGTAAATATTTTTGGTATGTTTTGTTCTTCCATGTCGTGGATGGCTTATTTTTTTGTGCTTAGGTGAGATTGTCATTAATTTTTTGCTGTAGTTCCTCATATGATATTTGTTTTTCTCTCTGATCTTGGATCGGATTAGGTTGCCTTGTGTTAAGTTAGGTTGGGTTAGGTGAGGTGAGGTGTAATATGTATTTTTAATTATAATTTTTTATTTAAGTGTCTTTCGGGTCTATTCTGTAACGTTTTTGGTTAAATTTTAACGTCAAGGCCACAGTTAAATTTTTAACCTCCCCTTTTTAACCGATAGGTACTGTATTCTGTAAAAATTTTAATGGGTTTATTTTAACCAAATATGTTAAAATTTAGCGGAACAAAAAGAGATGCTTTTAAAATTCAACCTGGGTTGACAAATAGTATAATTGATCTTTATTTATAAAAATTATTCAAATTAAATCATTCTAAGCTTTATTTGTAACCACAATTTAAATGTGGCTGTAATGTGTTGTTTAGCAAAATATTGTTGACTTCCAAAAAGTCAATAATTAACTGGATGTTTTTTTTTTCATGCATGGGGCACGTTTCTTTTTTTCATCCCGCACAACTTGGCTAAATCACAAGAATCTTATAAATTGTTTACTAAAAGATAAACAAATTTGTACTAATCCAGCAATTGACGTTATGTTATCAGAAATCAATGTCTTTTACCCATAGAATAATATAAATATGTTCTAAGCTTTTACCTTACTTCACTAACACTGAAAAATTAGCATACCATACGGTTTACAAAATTATTTTAACTGAACCGTTAAGGAGCGGTAGTGTTTAGCGGTAGGATTAAAATTAATATTTTAACGGGATGGTTAATTTTAACCTATAAGATACAGAATACATCTGTATGAACCCTTTCTTTTTATTTTTTCTTTCTGTTTCTATAAAATGTTTACTTTATTTGTTTTTCTTCAAGAATAGAGATTTAGCCCGATATTAGTACTAATATTTTTTGTGTTGTCTATAGAACATCAGTGCTAGCAAAGACCCTGTAATATGTGCATCCTGTTTGGATTCGCTTCGTACTCATGGAGGTTTCTTAAAGAACTGCCTTGACTCCCAGGAAAAATATAAAAGTGCAGATGAGCATTATCATATCAAAACTGAAGAGATTGGAATAAAACTGGAAGATAATCAGCATGCGATGGACGAATATAAAAACATTCTTGATATGCCCTCTTATATTGAACCTGAAGATATTAAAATAAAACTGGAAAGTGGTGAGGATACGGAGGAAATGTATAGAAACATTTACAAGCAGCCTTATCTTAAATCTGACATTGAAATAAAAATCGAAGATGTCGACAATGTTCAGGAGAAATACCAAAATGTTGATAAACAGGCTTATATTAAATACGAAGAGATTGAAATGAAGTTGGAGGATGATCATGGGAGGTAAGAAAATGTTAATGAAATTTTAAAATTTATCGCATTATTTACTGTCCGGTTTTTTTTTTGATACAGAAAATAAAATTCAAAATCGATTGGTTTAAACTAGTTTAATTTTTTTTAAACAGTCAACCTTTGATGATGTAATCTTCAATGTAACTTTCATATATCTGTTTCATATTTCAACTTCATCATGAAAACACTTTTTAATAATCAGAAATTGCGAAAACCATTTGTTAACAATATCAACAGAAGTAAAAGTAATTGTAAAGGGATGTGGGAAAGAATTTATAGTTTAATTTTAATTGAGACTTTTATATGAAAGCACAATTATACTAAGGTAACTTGTTCTAAATTGGCTTAGTTTCATCCAAGGAAGCTAACTTTTAGTTATGACCGAATCGTTTCTGGAAACCCTCCATATAAAAAAATAGAAGCTAATTGAGTTTTGTATGACATTTCTCTTAAAAATGGAATGACTTAATTTCAACAGAAGAATGTTTTATGCAGGCTGTTACAAATTTGCTTGTCATTACAGAGATCTCGGAAACAGTAAGAGATACGAACTTAGCCTAATTGGAGGCAAAGTTACATAATGAGTGGACCAACATTATGCCTCTAAAAAATCAAGGCTAACATTATTGGTTTGCAAAATATTTGAAAGAAACTGAAAATTTCAGCCTTGTTTGAGATGATATTGAAAGAAGAAGAATACTTTCTCATGGCAATTTTTACCCTGTCTTAATCAATTTTTATATGTAACGTATCGTCTTTCCAGGACCGTCATCAACTTCATTTTTTTTAAATACGACCGTTGAAATTTTATTATATTTTGTTTTCAAGCGTTCATGACTCCCAATACTGGACTGCCTCAACTCGAACCAGATTCAGACTAATTGTCGCTCCAAATTTATCTAAAATTTTTATCTAGATTTCTATGTTTATTGAATTATCACACTCTTAAGTGTCGTTAGACCCTGTGAGATCCACCTAGTTATTTAAACTATTACCATCACACATTACAATGAAACGTTAAGAGTTTGAATCCCATTAATTAATAGTTATTTCTACTCGTAGGTTTCACGAATGCTCACAATTTTCCAGGATATTCATACAAATACATCTGGCATGCTCTTTGATAGTTGCGGTTACAGGTATAATAAATTCCGATCATATTATGCTTATCCTCATTTTCAACATTTGCCAAAACGGAAACGTTTTTCAACATTTACTGTAATTTTTTAAATTATAATAGTCATTTGGAGTTTTGGTTGTTCATATGCATTTTTAAGAATTAATTTGTCATAATAAAATTAAAATTGTAGGCGATGATGTTTTAATTTTGACACAACAACTTATCGAGTTATGTATGGCAGGTAATGGTAACAGTTTAAAGAACTAGGTGGATTTCACAGGGTCTAACGACACTTAGAGTGTATGATAATTCAATAAACATAGAAATCTAAATAAAAATTTAGATAAATTTGGAACGAATACCTTGAAGATACATTTTTCGAGACAAAATGTCTCAATCTGGATCGGGCTGAGGCAGTGCAGTATTAGGGGTCATGAAGGCTTGCAAAAAATGTAATAAAATCGCCAGGGCCCTATTTAAAAAAATGAAGTTGATGATGGTCCTAGAGTGACGAAGCGTTAAATATAAAAATTTATTATGCCACTCGATAGAGGGCAAAAAGTTGCGATGAGGAAGTGTTCTCCTTTTTTCAATATCCCCTCAAACAAGGCTGAAATGAAACAAAATCGGATTTCCAAAATTTAGTTTTTTTTCAAATATTTCGACAACTAATCATGTTAGCCATGATTTTTTAGAGGCATAATGTTGGTCCCCTGATTATACAACTTTGTCCCCATTTAAGCTACTTCATATCTCTTACCATTTCCGAGATCCCTGTAGTGAGAAGCGAATTTGTAACAGCCTGTATAAAATAAAATTTTATATAAAAAATTACATAAACTGTAACGAACCTAACCTCAAAAAAATTTTGTTATAAAATGTCACAGACTACCAACATTGATGTTAGCGCCTTCAAAAACGTGTCTGTATCAAATTTCAAAACATATCATTGTTTTTCAGTAAAGTTATGGACAAAATTATATTTTTAAAAGCCATCTTTAACGTTCTCTATCTCAAAAACAAAACACAATAGAACCATGGTCCATAGGAAAGTATATTATTTTGAATTGAATATATCTCTTTCGAAAACATCCTGTATGTTAATAATAGAAATGTTCTATTATATAAATTTTTCAAAACACAATTTATAATATTTATCCCATTGTAAACAATTTCAATTTTTTTAGTAATTCTTTTTCGTATGGCTTAGTTGATGAAACAATGGAAGACGAAGTGAAATGGAGTTCAGAAGATGTAGGAGAAATAAAGACGGGACTTAACGAAATATATGCAACTCCGCTGTTGGGTCACGATGTCCAAGTACCCAAAAACGAAAACTCTAGGTTTCAAAAGTGTAAACCTTCATTAAGTAAACGATTCTATCAGTGTAATATATGCAAGTATGAAACCAAATTTAAAACGAATCTGAACAGTCATCAGCTACTGCACAAAGACCTTTCAGACATCGAACTGTTCAAGTGCGATACGTGCAGTTTTGAAACTAAGTATAAGCGTTCTCTAAACAGACATCAGATAATGCACAGAAACGTTTCAGAAATTCAAATGTACAAACGCGATACTTGTACATATGAAACTAATCATAAGGGACAACCAAATGTGCATCAGTTATTGGACAAAGACCCGTCAGAAATCCAAATGTATAAGTGCAATGCTTGTACCTATGAGACTAAGTTTAGAAGCAATCTAAAATCACATCAATTAATACACAAAGATTCTTCAGAAATCCAAATGTACAAGTGTGATACATGCGGTTTCCAAACTAAGCATAAGAGACATCTAAAATCGCATCAGTTAATACACAAAGATTCCTCAGAAACTCGAATGTACAGATGCGATACTTGTACTTTTGAAACTAAATACAAGAGTGGCCTAAATAAGCACCAGTTGATGCACAAAGACCTTTCAGAAATCCCAATGTACACGTGTGACGCCTGTAGTTATGAAACTAAACGTAAGAGCGATTTGAGCAGACATCAATTAAAGCACAATAACATATCAGAAATCGAAATGTACAAGTGTGATACGTGTACCTATGAAACTAAATTTAAAAAGGATCTAAAATCGCATCAACTAATACACAAAGATTCTTCCCAAGTCCAATTATACACATGTGGTTCTTGTACCTATGAAACTAAGTTTAAGAGGAATCTAAAATCGCACCAATTAATACACAAGGATCCTTCAGAAATTTGGATGTACAAATGTGATACCTGCAATTTTGAAAGTAAATATAAGCATTGTCTAAAACATCATCAGTTAACCCACGAAGACCCATCAGAAATCCACATGTACAAATGTGACACTTGCACTTTCGAAACAAAATTTAAGCGTCACCTAAAGCGTCATCAGTTAACACACAAACATATTTCTGAAATCCAAATGAATAAATGAGACGCTTGTACTTATGAACAAATTAAAGGGTGTCCCAAAATTCATGTAAGAAGTAATTTTGATAGAAAATGCAGGTTTTTAATTAAACATTGTAAATTTTTTATTGATTTATAAAATATACAGTATAGGGTATGTATGGAATAGTATATCGGGCATATGGCCTCCACAGCTTTGCTGGCACATGCACACTCCTTTGTTGAAATTTTCCATGACCTTTAAGGTGTAGATGGTCGTGGGTTTGTTAACATAAACCTTATACTTCAAAAAAAAACCCAAAGAAAAAAGTCCAACGATGTTAAATCACTTGATCTGGGCGGCCAATGCTGATCATCAAAATGGGAAATTACACGACCGGGAAATGACTCTTGCAGTAATTGAATTGTTTCTCGGTCTGTATGGCATGGGCACCGTCTTGTTGAAGCCACGCGTCGTTTATACCCATATCCTGCAATTTACACACTAAAACTAGATTATCATTGATTGAGCTAACTGCTATTGCCTGACCAGTTGCATTTTCGATGAAAGTTCCGATTATGCTCCCAACCCAAAATCTTCACCAAACAGTAACACTTCCTTGCATTTGTTTACCAACAATCACTAGTGGATTTTCTGAACCCAAATGTGACAATTTTGTCGATTAACGAAGCCGTCAAGATGAAAACGAGCCAAATCGCTGAGAATGATTTTGTTTGAAAAATCAGCCTTCGTTTGTTCCATAAACCATTTAATGAATTCTCTTCGTTCTGTGTGGTCAGTAGGCTTCAGTTCCTCAGTCCATTCGACTTTGTAAGCATGAAGATGCAAAACTTTCCTGAGAATACGCTATAGAGACCTTCTTGAAATGTCCAACTCTTGACCAGAGCCGAATTGATGTTCCTAGATTCTCAGCAACACTCACAAACTGCTTCGATGTTTTGTGTTGAACGACTTGTTGAAGGACTTCCTTCAGTCTTCCTGAATGTTTCAATTAATCTTTTCACAGTTGATGACTGTTCTGCCATATTTTCTATGAAAATTGCCATCAACAGTAGCTGCCAAACCTTCATTACTTTTAAGATATTGCTCAACAATGAAAACGCATTGTTCTTTCGTGTAGTGCTCAATTTCTGAACTGTCAGCTGTCACGCTGTCTGTTTTTTTAGTTGCCAACAATTTACGGCACAAATAGCGCAAAATTCAAAACTTGAACAGATTTTGGTACACTCATTATAAGGAAGATACACTTAGACACTTTACCAGTTCAGATCATCAAATGTAATATGAGAGGCATCTGGAAGAGACAAGAGTTTTTTATAAATCTAAATGTACAAGATATGTTTTCCTGATTTAAATATAATGATCCGAAAAGACATTACATTGCCTTTATCAGCAAATCCCTTGAGTCCACATTTTGTTACTTATTAGAGAGAGAGGTCTTTCACAGCTATTCCATAAAAAACAGTAGCTCCTATGTATTAGGCGACAGAAACTCTTGAAAAACTGTGCAAATTACTGAATATTTGGAATTCAGTAAGTACCGAAAGTATTATAGTTTTTTATTTCATGTTGAATTTGAGGCATTTTGCGTGCTGATGCAAATTTGAATGGAAAAAACAAAAAATTTCTACATGAGAGTAGGGTTAGAGAAATACGTAGTGGATTTTGAAAACATTAATTTTTGTGCGATTGGCGAGCATTGAAAAAGTTCAATTTTTGACAAAAAAAGGGTAATCATTTGTCAATATACAGGGTGTCACTAAGGATGGACAACGCTTGACCACAGGTTCCTTGGATGAAAATAAGACTATTTAGCCTAACTTACCTATATACAAAAGTGCACGCCTACTGAGATATAGCCTTCTAAATATAGAATAGATAACCTAGTTTTTTTTCAAATAATTTGAAAACTATTTTTCTCAAAAACTTGAAAGATACACATATTTTTTATATAAGGGCAACGTAAATAAAAAATTTGGTGGTAATACATATACAGGATGCTCTCTTTCTAGTGCCTGTGCACCACTGGCTATCCCGTAATTTTTTTGTGCGTACGCCAGTGAGGTCAAAATTTATATTTTAAAAAATAAGCACTATTTTAGAAAATTTTTTTGCTCTTACAAAATTTTGATATCGTTTATGGATTTCGAGTAAAATTGGCATTTTTATACATTAAATACATAGATAAAAATTCCGNTACAGGATGCTCTCTTTCTAGTGCCTGTGCACCACTGGCTATCCCGTAATTTTTTTGTGTGTACGCCAGTGAGGTCAAAATTTATATTTAAAAAAATAAGCACTATTTTAGAAAATTTTTTTGCTCTTACAAAATTTTGATATCGTTTATGGATTTCGAGTAAAATTGGCATTTTTATACATTAAATACATAGATAAAAATTCCGATTTGTAAAAAATAATTTATTACTATAGCCTCAAAGCAGGGAATAATAATGAAAAAACGTCACATTAAAAAAAGTAACCACATATTTTTAATATTAGTTTTATCAATGAATAAAATAAAAAATTAACACTAGTATTTTAAATAAACAATATCAACTAATAATGTAAGAAAGTTAACATTAACATTTTAAATAAAACTAAATTGATATTTGTAATTACATTAAAATAATGTTACAGTAAATGCTCAAAGTGACTTCCTTTGTTTTTAAATGCAAGTATTAATTCTTAGAAAATTAAAATGAATTTTATCCAATAATTGTGCATTACCTCTCATAACATTAATTTCATTTTGTATTCTTTCCCATAATTAGTTTTCTGTATTTACTAAAAAGTTATACACTGTGGTCCTCAACGCTCCCCAAAAGAAACAATTAAATGGGTTTAGGTCCGGGGATCAAGGTGGCCATTAGGATAGTAACCTGCAATAACTGATCTTTTAATACTCCATTAACGGAACTTTTTGAAAGCCAACCTCTGCCGCTAAACGCTTAGTATTTACTTGTTCGCAATTTAATGTTACAGGTAAAAAATATCCTGTTTCCTGAAGGCGTCTCTTTGCATTAGAAATGTTTTGCGGTTTAGAATTCCTCGATCTGGAAATCTTTCAGCATATTATGTTCGAACAGTAACACGACAATTTCCTTCAAACCCAAAACTAATAACATATCAGTTTGTTCAGCACAAGTATAAATTGCAATAAAAAACAAAGTAAGCTAAAATTAAATCACACCTAGCTTGACACTGAACCTTTTAAGTATTGTTATGAATTTGTTTCTTTGTTATATGGCCCCTGGTACTAAACTGTTATCTAAATTATCTTAAACTGATTTTATATTTAATGTGTAAAAAATGCAAATTTTACTCGAAATCCATAAACGATATCAAAATTTTGTAAAAAATCTTCTAAAATAGTGTTTATTTTTAAAAATATAAATTCTGTCGTCATTGGTATACACATAAAAAAGTTACGAGATAACCAGTGGCGTACAGGCACTAGAAAGAGAGCATCCTGTATATGTATTCGCGTAAAATTCTATATTTACATTACCCTTATCTAAAAAAATTTGTGTACCAAATTTGAAGTTTCTAAGAAAAAGTTTTCAAATTATTTGAAAAAAATAGGTTATCTGTTCTATATATAGAAGACTACATCTCAGTAGGCGTGCACTTTTGTATGTAGGTAAGTTAGGCTAAATAATCTTCTTTTCATCCAAGGAACCGGTGGTCAAGCGTTGTCCATCCTTTTCAGGGACTACCCTGTATAATGTAAAAGTCAACTTATCGAAAATCCCCGTATGTACTTCTATTTTAAATAATTGGTCAAAATTTGGAGTGAAGAGAAAGAAAATTGTTGTTTAAAAAATCGTGTTTCGAAAAAACATTTAAAGTTTTGAGATATACGCTATATTGATGTACTTTCGTTTGAAAATGCTGGTAATTGAATACAAACTCTTTCTAACACCATCTGTTAGTAGTATTAGAGAAGTTAGATGTAAAAGGTAAGTCGTTAAGCTGTACCCTTCCTGCAAGTATCTATGTATGTGCCGCAAGTAGTCATTTCGGAGCAGTCCGACGCGCTCGGTACAGCTCGGAATTTTAAAGAAAAAAATTTGCCCAGGCATAAAATTTCTCTCCCCATATTCTAGAAGATTCGAAGCATCTGTTAAATCAATAAAAAAAAATAGATTTTCCGAAAATTATTATATGACATCTCATACCTATGGAAGGAAAAAACAGTGGGGAATATTTAAAGTTATTATATTGCATTTTAAAATCAACTATTTGGCTGGTCTGGTTGGCACAAGAGATTTTATATTTAATTTTTTTTAATACTCAAAACATAAAACCTAAAAATGAAATATGTTAAATATTTTTTAAACTTCATAACAACCGAAGTTGACAAATTTGACCTATAATAAAGTATAAACAAACAATACCGTAGTTTAGAAACTAGTGTTTGGACTGTTTGGTTCTGTTGTAGAATATATTCTGAACCATTGGCTTTATAATCTAAGCCAACAGATAAGTCAAAATAAGGGCAGACACCCCCACAAATTTTGACGAATAACAAATGTACAAAGGTGATACCTGCACTTACGAAACTAAACATAAGAGCAATGGTAGAAGTGGAAACAGCTTTCAGAAATTCAGTGTATAAATGTGATGAAAATCCAGTTAATAAATGAATCATTCTGCAATACGATTCCGGTAATACTAAAATACACCGGTTAACGGTTATGATTCTTCTATGTATCCTTGTGATTCTTTGGTCACATTTTCTTGAAAGTATTACAAATTATAGTATGTAAAATATTTAATTTATGTTAAATTAATATTGTTTTTTATTAAAAATTAAAAAAAAATGAAATGTATTTCCTTGTCTTTAATAGGAAGCGCCACTTGCAGGGCCCGAGAACTTATACTTGAAAATGTGGGGAAACTGGGAACAACGTGACTTGAGATGGATATACAAGTTGGGGAAAGAGTCTATAGATGTCGCAACAAAGATTTTGTAGAATAAATTTTGACAATAAGACAATTGCAATTTGCAATTATGAATCATTTCATGTTGTTCGTGTTTATTGTTGGTTAGGTTTGGCGAGTGTTGTTGTGTGTTTTATTTGTGTTTTTAGTGTGTTTTATTAGATATTTCATTTACATTTATTTATATAACATAATAATATGTCTGATCATCATATAATCACATTTTTTAATTAATAATAAAATGTTGTTTTTTGTTTTTTTTTAATAAAAAATGTGATCAAAGGTAGGTAGTTTTTTTATGGATATCAACACAACGAAAAATTTAAAGTTGCATAATAAATCTCTATTACAAGAATTAATCAAGTATTGGTTTAGTAAAATTATTTACTTGTAATATTTTTTTATTCACCGTGAAAGCTAATACAATAGAAAGCACTGAAACTCGATAATCATTTCCACTCCATTTGCCACCCTTCTTTGAGAATGTAACTCAAAAACTATGCAATAGATGTCGCTGCCTAATATACTTTATTACGCAGCTGTTGGCGGTAAATTCAAATATACCATAATATTCAGACTTCAGTGTAACTTATACATACATATATGGAATAAAATTCATAATCATTGACTACAAAGTTTTGTAAAAAAAACATATCAGTTCTAATGTAAAAATTGACCAGATTTTTTTTTACAAAATTATGTAGTCAATGATTTATGAATTTCATTTCATGTAAGTTACTCACAATAAAATAAAAGAATAAATTTTTAGTAGGTATATCTATTAAGAGGCATTGGTTTCACATTTTAAGCAAAGACTAAAAAATTCAAAAGCAGTAGTTGTTTTTTAAATGCATATGTACTTAAATTTATTGTTATAACTAGGAAAATTACTAGTAATTAACTGTGATTACTATGATAAAAAATACACATATATGTATATACCTACCTTTCCTCTCTTTAAACATAGATATTTGTCATAAAAATGGAATAAATACGAATGGGATTAATAAATATGCCAAGTAATGCAGATTTTAATGATACTACGACTAAGATCAAAACGATGGTCATGTAACTTTCGTAGACCATGGAACCGTTTCGATTCGTCCATTTCGTAAAATTGAACTATATGAGTAAATTTAGCCGGTTTATTCTGTGAAAATTGTATGTTATATTTGTATAAAGCATTTCTTGTATTCTTCAATAAGTGAGGAACATCAAAAATAGGAATAATTTCTTGATCATTAACGTTATTAAAAGTAGATTTATTTAGTGACACTAAAACTAACTGATGATCCATTAGTGGAGCCCTGATCACAAACTGTACAAATTACTGTCAAAAAAACTTTTAAATCATGTGTTTTTACCACATCCTTAGTAAAATAATATGAAAAAGGTCGCTTCCAGTGCTTACTAATACCTTGCACCAAAAACACTAAAGCGTGATTTGCTACCACATTTTGTCTACCCAAGGAACCAAGAAAATTAGCAGACAATGCTGTTTCATCGAATACTAAACGACAAACCCGATCTCTTGAGTACATTTTCTTTACACGTTACAATTTATTTAGTCATATGGATTTACCCCTTGTATAAAGATCTTGGGATTTACCTTCAAGAGTGCTGTAGCGGCGACAGAGCAAAATGTAGCGAATTTTCATTTTTTTAATGCATATTAGTACAACATCTAAAACGGATTTATCATTAACAGTTTTCATTATTAGAAATAGACCCACCCTTTAACTAATATCATTGATTAACATCCTACATTTAAACAATGCCAATATTAAATTGAATTTGGCAAAACTAGCGACATCTTTAGAATAACAGTTTAAACTGCCTGCTCTTGATTAGCGGACACTGACTACAAATGAAGGCAAGTCCACACTACGCTGGCTGAATTGACTGTATTGTCGGTATTACGATTAGAATAAATACGGTATCGGTATAGATTAAGTAATTTCTCGGTGGTTCCCCAATTCCTTTACTTGCAAATAATCACGTATTAATTATTGCACTTTGTACCGTTTAGATTTTGTTTGTTAGAGATAAATGTTTCCTCTTGTGATATATTTTATTTTTATTAGAGATTAAGCTTATCTTTGTGGTTTGTTTATTGTTTACGTTTATGTTTTGTTTTACCAGAATAAACTGTTTACTTTACTTTAAGTTTTCTCGCTTTTATGTACCTATAAGAAAAAATAAAATTTAGATTACAAAAATAGCCCAAAATAGAGTGGAATTAGAAAAGGTTCGGCTGTAGCGGACAGTAGCGGAATTTTGTAGTGACGTAACGATATTTGTAATTTTCTAGCTGGCAACAGTATATATGCCTCCGGCAGGGCAGCAGTGGCAACACTGGTTTTAATTGTAAAACAAGCAACGCAAATTCACAAAATATCCCCCCTTTTTGTGCATTTACGATTTACGTTTCAGAGAAATACTGTGGAAATGGCAAGTGTTCAAGAAACTTTGTGTAGGTTTTGCCTTAAAACTATAACCGATAAACGTTTCAAAGTGATAGACAACGACATTAAAGATATTCAAAATTTTCTTTTGCTGAAACTGGTAAGTTGGTGGAAAATCAGTTTTTACTGTCTCAATTCGTACACCTCTCAACAATCCCAACACGCGTGTAACTACAATAGTTATTTTCTGCCAGTTATTTTCCGATTTTGTTAAGAGTTGCATATATTTCAGAAATTAGATGATGAGAGCGAGGTTATATGTCTTGCTTGCAAAAGAAAATTATATGCAGCACTGCAATTCAAGGCAATATGTCTGAATGCCGATTACAGCATTATTCCATATTTGAATTGCAACAAAGCGCTGCAGCTTGACGTAAGGTAAGTGTATATGATGAAGGAAAAGAGCAGTAAGTTAATGGATATTTCTTCCAGTCAGGAAATATGTCGATTGTGTATGATCCCAGTAGAAAATGAGTTTAGGTGCATACGTGAAGATGAACTCGAAGCTATTCAGAAATTGATTCCTGAGATGGTATAAATAATATTTAATACTTATATCACAATTTCAAAATATTACTTTGCAGAATATATATATATTCAAAGATCCTGTTCTATGTAAGGAATGTTTTGATTCTCTGTGCACCCACAACAGTTTTCTAAGAGAAGTAGAAGAAAAATGTGAAGGCCTTTTTGAGAGTCAAGCCACAGAAAGCCAAATAGATACGACACCATCTGATTTATGCGTGAAGTCTGTAAACCCCGATGAAGAATTTGATATTAACGAGATGGAAATGTCGATTCAATCTGAAAGTGTGGACACAAAATCTGAAGATAAGGAAAGAAGGTAAGGGAAGACTATTTTAACATTAAATTAAAAACGTAGCTTGGTGCCTGGTCGTGGTACTGTCACGATTTATATAATTAAAGGGGTGCATAAATATATCGTTAAATTTTGAATGCATAATATTAGTATGGTACCAAAAAGTAGAATTATATTTGCAGGAATTGGAAAAATATCCACTCTCCTAAGTACCTAAATATACATATATTTTTTGCAGATAACCTTATAATTTCAGTTCTTATTTTATTTTTTCAATTTTTTTTCTTATATTCTTGAAATTCTAAAGTTTTCACTTAATTATTTTCATAATCATTATTAACATATTTATTTCATCATAAAATTGGAATAATGCCATGTTTTGACACCTATAAATGCATTTGACATTAAATATAACCCCTTGAAACTAAAACCTTGCTTTTGGAAAATACCCTGTATATGCAATTTTTTTAGGTTACTGCAGAACTCCGATAATGAACCATTCGAGAAGAGTGACTGTAGAGATGCAAAAGAAGATGGATATAAACACGAGAATAGATCAGGGATCAAATATAAGATCAAAACCAAGCAGAAACGCAATGTACTGTACAAATGTGATAAATGTATTTACGAAACTGGAAGTGAGATCCATTTTAAAGCACACTATGTGAGACACGTGAAAGATTTGAAAGTGTACAAGTGCGAAAGGTGCAAGTATGAAACTGAAAATAAGAAATTACTTCAAAACCATCAGTTGAAGCATAAAGATACTTCCCAGGTCCGGATCTACTGGTGTAACGACTGCAATTTTGAAACTAAATACAGCAGTGATATCAAACGACACCGACGGGAACATGAAGATCCTTCATGGATTCAAATGTACAAATGTATCGACTGCAATTATAAAGCTAAATATAAAAGAGCTATCAAACAGCACCAACTGAAACATAAAGTTCCTTCACAGGTTCTAATGTACAAGTGTAACGACTGCGATTACGAAGCTAAATATAAAATAGCTATCGAACGGCACCAACTGAAACATAAAGTTCCTTCACGGGTTCAAATGTACAAATGTAACGACTGTGGTTACGAAGCTAAATATAAAATAGCTATCAAACGGCACCAACTGAAACATAGAGATCCTTCAGGGGCTCAAATGTACAAGTGTAATGACTGCGATTACGAAGCTAAATATAAAATAGCTATCAAACGGCACCAACTGAAACATAAAGATCCTTCACGGGTTCAAATGTACAAATGTAACGACTGTGATTACGAAGCTAAATATAAAATAGCTATCAAACGGCACCAACTGAAACATAAAGATCCTTCACGGGTTCAAATGTACAAATGTAACGACTGTGATTACGAAGCTAAATATAAAATAGCTATCAAACACCACCAACTGAAACATAAAGATCCTTCAGGGGTTCAAATGTACAAGTGTAACGACTGCGATTACGAAGCTAAATATAAAATAGCTATCGAACGGCACCAACTGAAACATAGAGATCCATCACGGATTCAAATGTACAAATGTAACGACTGTGATTACGAAGCTAAATATAAAATAGCTATCAAACGACACCAACTGAAACATAAAGATTCTTCACGGGTTCAAATGTACAAGTGTAATGACTGCGATTACGAAGCTAAATATAAAATAGCTATCAAACACCACCAACTGAAACATAAAGATCCTCCAGGGGTTCAAATGTACAAGTGTAACGACTGCGATTACGAAGCTAAATATAAAATAGCTATTAAACGGCACCAACTGAAACATACAGATCCTTCACGAGTTCAAATGTACAAGTGTAACGACTGCAACTATGAAACTAAATATAAAAAAGCTATTAAACTGCATCAACTGAAGCATAACCATCATTCGCAGGTTCAAATGTGCAGGTGTAACGACTAAATACTAGAGGAATATCAAACGACACCAACTGAAACATAAAGATCCTTCACAAGTTCAAATGTACAGCGATTGTGCTTAGAAATATATATTTTTTTAAACCAATATTAAGAGAGCATTTTAAATGTGTATATGTGTATTTTAAATAGGAATAAAGTTTATGTAGAACATGTAATTAATTTTTTTTGTAATTTTTAACACCCTGTATATTACTAAATTTATAGTTTTTGTTCAATTTATACATTTTCTAAAAATTTTTAACATTTTGGACTTGCTAAAAAAATATTTTCCCATGATAATTCAGGATTACCTTTAAAAATCATGCAACAATCTCCAACGTGGTATTGAAATGTCTAGGAAGTTGCCAATATTCCACTGGCAAAATACAAGTGACTCTTTGAATAAAAATAGGGAAAAGTTAATATGTCTGCTATAAGGTTCAAAATTTATTGTTTCAAATTAAATGCAATTGTGTCTAATACACTACGAACAAAGCTATTATAGTTTTAGTTAACTCATTCAATTTGCTACATCCAATATTTCTTTGAAGACTGACAGAATATACCAACTACCATTCAAAATAGTCTGGAAAGTGATATTTTTTAAAACCCTCTTGAGTGTTTTTATTTTAAAAACACTTGTTTTAATACACAAATTCTTTCTTTGTGCTATAACTTGTGATTTTTTTATGTATTTAACTGTTTGGGTGGTATTTATCAACACACTGAAATGGCAAAAAAAATAACATAATCGTTAGTTGAACATTCTTAGTGACAGGGTAAGTAGTAACAATATTATGACATATCGAATGAATGAAAAGCAATTTACACTATTATTTAGCTTTTATCAAAATTTTTTTTTAGATTTCGGAACAACCGAAGTTGACCAGTTTTGTCTACAATTCGAAATTTTGACATAACAACTAATTCGAAACATTTTTCTCTACAGCATTTTTATCGAGAAAAATAAGAGCACCTTTCTCTTTCGTTAATTTTCATTCGAACTTTAATAATCTTTTGACATGAAGATAAGTACCTACCCACTTATACAGGATGTTGACGAAGTAAGTGCACAATATTTAGTTGGTGATAAAACAAAGAAATAAGACGATTTTTTCCTACGGACCCTGGGCCTATCGTTTTTTACTTTTTAAGATGCAAGATGTCAAAGAGTAATAATATAAGACAAACATTATGAACAACATAAATTCAAACAAGTTGTCATAAAATGTCACTGAAAGAGACAATCAATCTGATGGTGAAAATCTACGCTCAAAAACTTTTCTGTACAAAATTTCAGTAAAATACACCTTTTTTTGGAAAAGATAACTAAAATTTGATTTTTTGCACTCATTTCTGCAACACCCTGTATACTACAAGCTTCAGACAACAAAATGTTATATTTAAAAAAATTTGAACAATATGAAACATGAATCAAGACATTTTTGGCAACTTTTTTAATAAAAAGCCTAATTGGTCAATTTATAAATGTTCCCAGTTACTGCTTTTACAAAAAGTTGAACCAAGAATAACTTTTCATTATAGCTCCTTTCTTTTATTCATGATTTCAGAATCATGACGCGTTACGATCCGAAATCAAGCAACCTGATTGGTTTCCATCGGATTGTAATGCGTTATGATTCCGAAATCATGAATAAAAAAAAGGGCTAATATGTATCACCCAGCAGAATAGAAAACTACCAGCAGCGAAAGCTAACGGCGGCATCTTTGATGTCGAATTGTCAGAAATATTTGACCTTGAATTCAAAACTTGACGTTTATAAAACTTATTACACTGAGAGAAAGTTACATATTATATTTACACGAAGAAACAAATTGACACAAATTACGAAATTATAAAATATGGGAAAAATAATTTAATGAGTTGCGTAAAAAATTGTAAAAACTTTTGTTATTCCCTTACAAAGATATTTAAAAAACATTAATTCTGTTACAAAAAGATAAGCGTAACTCTTTCTGACAATATTTCATTTAAATGTTTGTCTAATTATTTGTGCATTGCAAAAATTTCATAAGGCAATGATTGTTATAAATAGTAGTCAGCATACTTTAATTCTTTGAATTGTCGAAACAATTTTCGTTAAACGTAAGCTGATCATACATTTTAAAATGAATGAAAGCAATTTATTTTTCAATTCTTAACAGGATAAGGAGGATGACTAAAATAAAATACAAATATAGTTAATGAAATATACATATTTATACAATAATTATTTTTAATCGAATAAACAATTTTTAGAAAACATTTATTCTAATTTATTTTCTTCTGCGATAGATCGCTTTGAACTCAAAAAAATGGTGGGTACTGCTTGAGCCAACAAAGTTTTTCGTTTTCCTCCTTTCGAAATATACTTTTCATCGAAATGCAATTGACAGTCTATAATTCTGCAAATTTTTGGTAAGCAAATCTTTTCTATTGCAGGCTTTTAACCAAATTTCCGCACTAAAATGTAACATAAAATATGTATTTTTTTCTGATGAACAGAAATATATATGTACGTACTTACTGCGATCTTTTGGCAGGGTAAATAAGCTTATCCCTTGCCGCGCTTTAGACATCCAACCACGACAAATACATGCGTATCCTCCTTTTGTAGCCATCATATTTAAAGGGCAAAACCTAGGATTAGTTGAAAAAATGTATTAAGGAACACGCACACCTGTGATACAAGATTGAATAATATTACCTTCTTCTATAACACCAAGTTTAATAATTTTAAACACTAAAAGGTCTATCTATAAAAATGCAGAACACCACCAAACCACTTTACAAAACTCACAACGCCAAACCAACATACACAAACAAGAAAGGAAAGTGAGGTTGATTAATAAACAACTTGTAAAATGGCGGCGCAAGACATGCGCACTAGAATTGAGATTCGGCGGTAACCTTCGCCTTCGCTTCTGGAATATCCTGTGGTATCAGTTTAAGCAAAGTTCATATATACCTAGCTATTTACTCCTTATGTAAACTTGTACGCCTTGGTACGATTGAGCACAAGCCCGCCATCTGTCTGTAATAAGCTAAAGTTTAGGCCGCCTCATAATTTCTAGATGATCCATTCATAATTTAGGACCGTGTGTATAGCAAGAATGATTTGGTTCATTTAGCACTTCGCGCCTACAGTTTCCATTTTACCAACGCGCATTCCCGTGCTACCTAACACAAAAATGTTGTTACTTATCTACAGGGTGGAAACGCAAAAACCGCTCGTCACCTCCGTGATTTTATTTGATACGAGAAACACCGGTAATGTAAAACTTACAGTGGTTTAAAAATATTCCTTATATTTGTGGGAGTTGATGCGCCGGGGGACGGTGAATTTGGTTCAAATTAAAGTCTCGTTGATCTTCAAACACTTTTATTCTGCAAAACTTCTTAAGCGCCCTAACAAACTTACAAAAACGTGACCATCACCAATTGAAATCAGTCGCTACGCATGCGCTTCACCGTTCTAGTGTCTAAAGCCACCACCAGGCCCGATCAGGCGGCAGTTTCAAACCCGGTTACTACATATTATAAGACGACGACAATTCAATGTCGCATTTCACGAGTCAGAGAAACCTATAATTTATCATTGCGTATCTCTAAAAATCTATTTTGAAGACATTTTCTTTTCAGTGTAGTAAAGTAAACTACAAAGAATGTTCCATTTAGTTAATTCGGTCTATATCTCGGAAATGCAATATAGAATTAATTCGCTTCGTGCTTCATGTAGTATTTTTATTAGGTCTGTTCCAACAAGAGTCAGAGATTGGTTCCGAACCGTTCGAAATGTTTGGCCAGCTAAGTTCTAAATGTGTCTTCAGTGAATATATCGCAAGAATTAGTTGGATACACATTTCTGACGGTTCGGAACCAATCCCTGACTCTTGTTGGAACAGACTTATTATCAACATAATTTTCAGTATCATCCTCGTATGTCGCGTTAAAAACAATTATTTCTTGCAGGTAAATATAGTTTTATATGAGTGTAAACATTTAGTGTAATATATAGTATTATTATTTTCAGTTGCATTTTCTTAAGTATTTTGATAAAACTATAATGAGTATACAGGGTGTCCCAGAACTATTTTGACAAGCGCTATCTGGGATGTTATCCTGCATATTCTGTTGCAAAATAATTAGTTACAGGAATAATTCTTAATTACTTTCAGTTTTCCTTGTCATTATATAATTCCTGGTTAGACATTTTATTATTTTTATTAAAACAACTTGAAGATTATCACATAATATTTTTTAATAAAGCACAAAACAGCACATTATTTTGTATACAATTTTATGATTTCTGCATATCAAAAATAGGTATTTAAAAATAAAATACCTACCTCTACTACGATCTAAATTCAGTTTTTAATAAAATGTAATAATATGTACAGAGTGGATATCTACCTTATTTTAATATAATCATTATAAAATAAGGTATCCACTCAGTAGTCAGATACCTGTAATTACCTAAGTATTTTGCGATTGTGTAAATATAGATATATACAAATTTCAAATTAGAACGAGTTATTTGGGAAAAAAATCTGGAAATGTCGATTTATTCCTATATATTACGCATATTTTCTGTTTATAAATTAAATCTTCCAAATAAAAGTGATAATGTTTCTAACCCACACTGAAAAAAAACTGTATGCATATTTATTGAATAATTGTTATATTTTTATATATAAATTATGTTTGAAACAGTACCGGAATTTTATACTATTTTTATACAGTCAATTGTGTACTTATTGTGTATATTGTATTCAGTATTTCCTCGGTAACTCATTTCATTGTAAACTATATTATTTTATTATTTATATTTGTATGTACTGCGGTACTGCACTCTCCCGTTTTCAAATCGAACGGTGTCACGATATCGCTGTGTGTTGGTTGCGTCTAGACAAACACAATCTGTGCGCGAACTCACAAATCCAGTCAGAATCAGTGTTGCCAGATGGGAGGACATTACACTATAGGAAGGTTTTTTAACATAAAAGGGTACAAGGGTTTTTTGTGTTAAACAGATGGAATTTTTATCATCCCACAGACTCTCGCACGGCTTTACGTAAATGTTGATATAATTGAACAGAAAAAAAGAAAACAGTTTTTAAATTTTTGAACAAAATATTCTTAAGTTTTTAAATTTTAGCGGGAAATATTATTAGGACGTCTGTAACTTGTACATATACAGGGTGATTCAGAACTTATCCAAAAAAAAAATTCTGGATGTACAGGGGACCCTTACAAATACAATTTTGTAAAGAAAAAATCAAAAAGGTCAGTTCGAAATTGATTTAAAAATACACTTCTGCACGGCACTGGAAACTGGTCCACTGTAAAACCTGACCTCGCACAATGCGACCGGTATGGCGGCGTGATAAAAACGGACAAAAACTTTCGCAAGGAAAGAAATATGTAAATAGAATTTTATCGCACCTATTTTATATCGGCAAATTCAAATGCTTTTGCCTTTATTAATTATTAATAAAATTAATTTGTGTTTTTAAATAATAAAATCATTTGACATACCCGATGCTGCAACAGCAATTGTTCAAAATTTTATCCACTCACGTGTAAACACATTTGGGTCCGTCTTACTCACTTTCTACGAACTAACACAAATGATGTCTTGCTTCACCATAACACAAATACTTCACCATAATACAAATGTTGTCTTGCTTCACCATAAATTAAAACGATATCCATCAACTCTGAGTTGCTATACACGCAAACCATTTTTGACACTAACTACTAAAAAACTGTTGTAAACACCACAGATAACAGGTAAAAACTACCGCAACGACGGATTTCAGTATTAGGAGTCACATGGCTCTCCACACGTATTGCTAATGACGCTAGAGACTACAGTTGTCCAGCTATTTAGTGGTTGAATGTACTATAACTTCAATAATTTTTTTCTCGGAAACTATAAGGATTTTACAAAAAATTTTGTCTACGTTATTAACTCCATTTCTCATGCCGCATTTATTCCCAAATTTTTTTGGATAAGTTGTGAATCACCCTGTATATAACACTGGTTGCATAGATTGTGATATTAATATGATTTTGATATTACAGATATTTTATTTTTTTATATAATGGGAAATTGCAACATTAATATTATCAGAAATATGCAACAGATAACAATATTATAATTTTTTAAGGGATATTTTTCTATATATAGCCAGAGGGCAAATGAGGTCCCGCAAAGCGCCTACACCGGCCATGACGATGGACGGGACCCGCCTTAACGAGGATGTCCAGGCCTACAGAGATAGGGCAGGACAAAGAGGGATAGTCCCCCTCGGTCCCAAACAGGCCCGGATTGGGCCGGCGAGTTACCGAGTAAAACTCGGTGGGCCGGTCACTCCGGGGGCCGGTTAGCTCTAGTGTATACCACTCTTTAAGTTTTTAGTATAATCAAATAATATAATAATAATCAAGGTCAAAATTCAAAAATTGAAAGCACGAGAACTTGCCAAAACTGCGTTATTTGCTGTTTTTCGGTGCTGACAAAGTATAGGCTATATACGTTGGCATACTCCAACTTATATTGGGTATATAAGTATCTGTTGACACTTTCATGTACCCAAGTCAGATGCGAGACAACGTTCTCCAAATTAAAATATATTTTAAATAGATTAAGAAATTGCTTGTCGCAAGAGCACTTAGAGGCGTTTCTATTTATGTCTGTAGAAAAGGATATTCTTATAGATTTAGAAAATAATGAAATTATTGATGAGGTTGCTCAGAGAAGTTCCAGCCTTAAAAATTTATTATTATTTTAGTTAGGTACTAGGCATTTTTGTATTGAATCAACTTTATTTAGTATTTAGGTTGTTTCTTTTAGTTTAGTCTTTGTTTGTTTCTTGAAATTTTTATGGCATAACTGCTTATTAACACGTTAATAATTTCTTTAAGTGTTTTTTTTTTCGTTTTTATTTGCTATTAGTGGGCAGGGTTTACTTAAAAATCCGCTTTTATCCGATAAATGATCTCTCTCTAATGCTTTTTCCAAAAATTATCCTTGTGTAAGTCTATATATTTGTACAAATGGACTTTTTATTGAAATTCTAAGGTGCCAGGAGAAAGCGTGANCGGGGTTTACACAGACGAGCCGGCGAAGCAAGAAGAGCGCCAGAAGAAAGGGCCCTAGCCGGCGGGGCCCAGCCAGGACAAAAGGAGGTCCCACAAAGCGCCTACACCGGCCGCATTTGCGGTCGGGGTAGACGACGGATGGGGCCCACCTACGAAGGCTGTCCAGTCCTACACGAGATGAGGCAGGATAAAAAGGGATAATCCCCCTCAATCCCAAATCATTGAGGCCAATTTCTGGCCATGGAATAATGGCGCGCGGTATTGATATAGATTAAGTATTTTCAATTTCTCGGGAGTTCTTTTACTTAATAAACTGTTTACTTTACTTCAAGTTTTCTTGTTTTTATGTACCTATAAAAAAAAATAAAATTTAGATCATAAAAATTCTAGTTGATAGCCCAAAATAGAGCGGAATTAGAAAAGGCTCGGCTGTAGCGGAGAATAGCAGAATTTTGTAGTGACGTAACGATATTTGTAATTTCCTAGCTGGCAACAGTGCATATGCCTCCGGAAGGACAGCAGTGGCAACACTGGTTTTAATTGTGGTAAAATAAGCAACGCAAATTACGTTTTACACCTAGGTTTTACATATTTTCATTGTTTTATAGTTTTATATTTATGTTTGAGATACTGTGGAAATGGAAGGTGTTCAAGAAACATTGTGTAGATTTTGCCTTAAAACTATAACCGATGGACATTTCAAAGTGATAGACAACGATATTGAAGATATTCAAAGTTTTCTTTTGCTGAAACTGGTAAGTCAGTGGAAAATCAGTTTTTACTATCTCAATTCGTACACCTCTCAACAATCCCAACACGCGTATAACCACAAAAGTTATTTTCTATCATTTATTTTCTTCCTGTTTTGTTAGAGTTGCATATATTTCAGAAATTAGATGGTGAAAGCGTGGAGGTTATATGCCTTGCTTGCAAAAGAAAATTATATGCAGCATTGAAATTCAAGACAACATGTCTGGACACCGATTACACAATTATTCCATATTTGGATTGCAAGAAAGTGCTGCAGCTTGACATAAGGTTAGTGTATATGATGAAGGAAAAGAGCAGTAAGTTAATGGATATTTCTTACAGTCGGGAAATATGTCGATTGTGTATGCACCCAGTAGAAAATGAGTTTAGGTGCATACGTGAAGAGGAGCTCGAAGCTATTCAGAAATTGATTCCTGAGATGGTATAAATAATATTTAATACTTATATCACAATTTCAAAATATTACTTTGCAGAATATAAATATCATCAAAGATCCTGTTGTATGTAAGGAATGTTTTGATTCTCTGTGCACCCACAACAGTTTTCTAAGAGAAGTAGAAGAAAAAAGTGAAGGCATTTTTTACAGTCAAGCCACAGAAAGCCAAATAGATACGACATCATCTGATTTATGCGTGAAGTCTGAAAACCCCCGATGAAGAATTTGATATTAACGAGATGGAAATGTCGATTAAATCTGAAAGTGTGGACACAAAATCTGAAGATGAGGAAAGAAGGTAAGGGAAGACTATTTTAACATTAAATTAAAACGTAGCTTGGTGCCTGGTCGTGGTACTGTCACGATTTATACAATTAAATGGGTGCATAAATATATCGTTAAATTTTTAATGCATAATATTGGTATGTTATCAAAAAATAGAATTATATTTGCACGAATTGGAAAAATACCCACTCTCCTAAGTAAAGAATACTTATATATATTTTTGCAGATAACCATATAATTTCAGTTCTTATTTTATTTTTTCAAGTTTTTTCTTGTATTCTTGAAATTCTAAAGTTTTCACTTAATTATTTTCATTTTAATCATCATTAACATATTTATTTCATCATAAAATTGGAATAATGCCATGTTTTGACACCTATAAATGCATTTGACATTAAATATAACCCCTTAAAACTAAAACCTTGCTTTGGAAAATACCCTGTATATGCAATTTTTCAGTGACAGGCTACTGCAGAGCTCTGATAATGAACCATTCGAGAAGAGTGACTGTAGAGATGCAGAAGAAGATGGATGTAAACACGAGAACAAATCTGGGATCAAATATAAGATGAAAACCAAGCAGGAGCGCAATGTACTATACAGATGTGATAAATGTATTTACGAAACTGGGAGTGAGATCCATTTTAAAGCACACTATGTGAGACACGTGAAAGATTTGAAAGTGTACAAGTGCGAAAGGTGCGAGTATGAAACTAAAAATAAGAAATTACTTCCAAAGCATCAGTTGAGGCATAAAGATACTTCACAGGTCCCGATCTACAGGTGTAACGACTGCAATTTTAAAACTAAATGCCTCGGTGATATCAAACGACACCAACTGAAACATAAAGATTCACCGCAGGTTCTAATGTACAGGTGTAACAACTGCGATTACAAAGCTAAATACAAAATAGCTATCAAACAGCACCAACTGAAACATAAAGATCCTTCACGGGTTCAAATGCACAAGTGTAACAATTGCGATTACGAAGCTAAATATAAAATAGCTATTAAACGGCACCAATTGAAACATAAAGATCCTTCACACATTCAAATGTATAAGTGTAACGTCTGCGATTACAAAGCTAAATATAAAATAGCTATTAAACGGCACCAACTGAAACATAAAGATCCTTCACAGGTTCAAATGTACAAGTGTAACGACTGCGATTACGAAGCTAAATATAAAATAGCTATTAAACGGCACCAACTTAAACATAAACATCATTCACAGGTTCAAATGTACAAGTGTAACGACTGCGATTACGAAGCTAAATATAAAATAGCTATTAAACGGCACCAACTGAAACATAAACATCATTCACAGGTTCAAATGTATAGGCGTAACCACTGCGATCACAAAACTAAATACAAGAAGACTATCAAACGACACCAACTGAAATATAAAGATCCTTCACGGGTTTACATGTATAGGTGTAATGACTGTAGTTACAAAACTTTATACAGTAGTTATATGAAAAAGCACCAGCTGAAACATAAAGATCCTTCGCATGTTCAAATGTACAGGTGTAACGGCGGCAATTGTGCTTAGAAAAATATTTTTTTAAATACAAATATTCAGAGCATCTTAAATGTGTATATGTGTATTTTAAATATCAATACAGTTTATGTAGAACATGTAATTAGTTTTTTTTTTGGAAAAATTAGGAACAAAAAGTTGAATCTAAAATAGATATGCTCCCTTCCCGCTCTACTTTAAATAGTTGCAGTAATGTTTTAGTAGTGAAAATGAGTTCTAAGGAAGAGGTGTTTTTATTGGCGGAAAAACATATTTAAGGGGTGAAATACTCTCAAACTTTGCCCCCAAAAACAGTTTTTTCTAAATATCTGGGGTTCTAATCAATATTTTGGAAAAAAAGGAAATTACTACTTATAAAAAACAAATGTTTCACATGTGATTCCGTGTTTGGGGGTTGCTACCCTTTTTTATTTTAGAAAAACTTTAATTTTCAAACATTTTTTATATACAAAATTTATATATGCTCAAAAAGAATTAAAAATATAATTTATGTAAACAAATTGATAAAACTAAATTGACCTGTTTCGGGGTTTTTGTTAAAATCTCTTAAGGGGGTGAACAATCCTCTAGTACAAGAAATGTCTGTACGATTAGAATTACCATTATAAAATAAAGTTTTTACTTTTTCTTTAATCATTCGAATAATTTTTTCCATTAGCCTTAAAACGGATGCAAACTACCCCTCATGTTCACCCCCCAGGAACAGTATTTCCGTGATATCTCGCGTTCTAATCAATATTTTGGAATTAAACAAAAGTGGAAACTACTTCTTATAAAAAAAAACAGATGTTTCACCAGTGATTCCGCGATTGGGGGCTGCAAGCCTTATTTTGGAAAAAATGTATTTTTCAAACAAAATGAAAATTATTTCTATTGAACAAAAGGAATGATTCACAAGCAATCTTGTCTGTAATTTGTATTTTTAGTGAAAATTTATGAAAATAATAAGTATAATTTTACCATCTACAAACCGGGGGATGCAATCCCTAATGTTCAATGGACTGTGAATCGTCCTTTAGTAGAGGCCGTTTTTCATTTTGCTTAATCAAAAAAAATTTGATAGGGCCAATAGAGGACAGTGTCAACTTAACTTCGTTTTTATTTGAATGCTCGTTATTTTAATCTTTAAACATTATTAGGAAATCGTTGGGTATTGTCTGTTTTTTTAAATAGTTTTTAAAACAGAGTGACTAAAATACAGGGTGTCCCGAAATAAATGCAACAAAATTTGGTCAGAAATTCTTAAGAGAAATTTAAGGGACCCGTATTTTTTATTTTTGATAAGTGCGGCCCCCTTTCGGAGATATAGCCCCCTGAAACAAGCCCCTAAAAATTTAATTTTTTTTATATCTCAGAGCTCTATCGCACAAGAACCACCAAATTTGGTACACAGGGATTTTATGACATGTAGAATGCGATGCTGATAAGCTTTTTGGCAAGGGGCCCCCACAAGACACTTTTTCGGGGGCCCCCTTGCTTTTGGGGCCACCGAACTTTAGTTGCATATTTAATTTTTAAAAAAATTAGTAGCCCCTTAGAAACTCCAGGGAATTTAAAAACTTTTTTGTCTCTTAAAATTTTTTCGAAAAAAGCAGCGTTTTTCGAAAAAATGGCTAAATGTGATTGGATGCATATCGAGGTTCATATGAAATTTTAAAGTGTTAATCGTAGGTGGCTGGCATTCGCAATAAACAATCAATTTTATTCTGTGACAGTTGTCATTAACCATCATCGGGAGCTTATGGATACAGGATCAGTAGTTGTAAAAAATCACAATTTAAAGAAATTTAATTTTAATTTAAAGAAATCACAATTTAAACATTAACAATTAATAAGAAAATGTGAATATCAAAATAAGATACAATAAACTTGGAAATTAATAACAAAATTAATGGTACTTCATGATTAAATAATTTAATTCTAAAAAGTTTGTTAAAATCACACTGGTCAGTTCCGTAAAACGTGTTCAAAGTGAGAACCGTTTTGTTCAACACAAGCCTGCAAACGTGACACGAAATTTTGACGTATTTTCGTGTGAATGTTGGGAATCTGTCTAATTTCTTCAGCCGCAGCAAGGATTCGTTCATGTAATTGTTCCCGGGTTCTAATTGGTACGGCATAGACGCGATCCTTCATGGCCCCCCAGAAAAAAAAGTCCATGGCATTTAGATCGGGAGAACGGGGGGGAAAATTTCATATAAATCCCGGATTTAAGTTGTAACGTTGAAGAGCCCATAAGCTAAAATTTCTTCTTCGTGGCAAATCTTCTACTTTAAGTTCCTGGGCCTTTTGAAAGTGAAAAGGTTTCAACAGTTGTCGTTTGATAAAGCGGTGTATTCTTGTTCTGGGAATCTCAAGTTGAGATGACGCGCGTCTTATGCTTATTTCGGGATTTTCTTCAATTAAATTTAAGATAATTTCTTCCTGTTCGGGAGTTAATAAATAACTTCTCCCTGAATTAGGTTTTTTCACAACTACGGATCCTGTCTCCATTAGCTGCCGATGTACTCGTGCAAACATTGAATGGTATGGGAGTATGCGTGCAGGAAATCGCTCGGCGTACAATCTGCATGCGAGACGTGAATTTCCACGAGCCTCCCCGTAAATTAGGTGCATTTGTACCCTTTCTTGGACAGAAAATCTCACCATTTTTTCGGGAACAATGATTACTGACAACTAATGGTAACACTTTGACACTGGTTAATGACAACTGTCACAGAATAAAGTTGATTGTTTATTGGGAATGCCAGCCACCTACGATTAACACTTTAAAATTTCATATGAGCCTCGATATGCATCCAATTACATTTAACCATTTTTTCGAAAAACGCTGCTTTTTTCGAAAAAATTTTAAGAGACAAAACAGTTTTTAAATTCTCTGGAGTTTCTAAGGGGCTACTAATTTTTTTAAAAATTAAATATCCAACTAAAGTTCGGTGGCCCCAAAAGCAAGGGGACCCCGAAAAAGTATCTTGTGGGGGCCCCTTGCCAAAAAGCTTATCAGCATTGCATTCTACATGTCATAAAATCCATGTGTACCAAATTTAGTGGTTCTTGTGCGATAGAGCTCTGAGATATAAAAAAAAATAAATTTTTAGGGGCTTGTTTCAGGGGGCTATGTCTCCGAAAGGGGGCCGCACTTATCAAAAATAAAAAATACGGGTCCCTTAAATTTCTCTTAAGAATTTCTGACCAAATTTTGTTGCATTTATTTCGGGACACCCTGTATATGGATTTTCATTTTCATATCAATAACCAGTCCTATGTGTATAGTAATACCTATTTGTTTGAATCAATCATCAATCATTGAATTTTACTGTTTATTCAGCATCTACTTTTTTAGAAGATCGTTATTTGAAAATATTTGAATATTTGAAAATATTGTTTTAATAGTTAAGAAAATGAGTTTTATGGAAGAGGTATTTTTATTGGCTCTTCTATTTAAAGAGGAAGACAAGCGCCAAAGAAAAAAGCATGAAAGATTTTGGATTTATCCAATTAACAGAAGCAGAAAGTAGAGGGTGAATTTCAAACTTTATTAAAAAAAATTGTTATTGGACGAACAGTGATTTTTTCAGTACCTCCGCATGTCATCTGGAAAGTGCAATGAGCTACTAGAGATTATTCACAAAGACATTCAGTTGCAAAATAGAAGACGGTAAGACGATAGAAGAAGGTAATTTCTTTTAAATTCCGTGTAGTTACGTTGCCGATTTACTTTGATTTTAAATGATTCATAGAATTAGCATGGTACGTGATCATCAAAAACATTCGCACTAGACATTCTTGAGCTCGTCTTAATCGCATCGCTGTCTCCCGTGCAAGGGCGTTTACTTAAACTTTAATTTTGAAAATTCATACACCTTTTTTTTAAAAACAATTGTAATAAATTAATATATTTGTTTATAAAAGAAATTAAAAATATAAAATTTTATGTTAAAAGGTAGTACATTTCTATATCTTAAAAATTTTGCTCTGGAATTTTAAATTTAAAAAAAAATAAATTTTTGTCTATCGAAATCAGAATAAAAGTTTACAGTGCAACTAAAGCTATATAATGTAACATACCAATTTTATATAGGGGGAATGAAAGAAAGAACGGAAGAATAAAAACCTGGCTGAAAAATGTATTATGGTACAAAATCGTCTCAATGGCTTAACTAATGAGTATACACAGAGAGCTTAATTTTGACCACCATGAAGATTTTATTAATAAAGTGGTCGACAAATTTTCAAAGAATCCTAAGATTGTTTTACCTAATTTTCGTTGAATTTCTTTTTTTTATTATTCATATATCTTTTTATGTTTTTCTTGTTGGGGTTGATCTATTTTCACAATAATTTGTAAAATAGAGAGGATCATGGGCCTATGGTTTTTTGCTTTTTAAAATACCTACAAGCCGTCAAATAGTATTAATATAAGACACACTATGAATGAACAGCCTAAACTGAAACAAGTTGTCATAAAATGTCACTGTAAGAGATAGTAGCCAACACTTTCAGGCAGATGGTGAAAAATTACACTAAAAAACTTGCGTGTAGAAAATTTCAGTAAAATACACCTTTTTTGGAAAAGATTACAAAAATTACATTTTTTGCACTCATTTCTGCAACACCCTGTATACTTCAAGCTTCTGACAACAAAATATATTATCGAGACAAAATTTGAACAATGTCAAATCTGTATTAAGACAAACTTATCGAATGGAGAAAGTACATTTTTGTCAACTTTTTTTAGTAGAAACTAGAAAGCCTAGTCAATTCATTAATATTTCCGGTTACTTTTACAAAAAGTTTAAATGTGAATAACTGCATTATATCAGTTTAAGCAACGAATTGTCTTTTTGGGGCACATTTCTTCCGATTTGTTGACGTTGATCCTGCCCCCTGAACACTTCTCTTAAAACTATAGGCACCGTCAACATTTAGACGGACCCTATATACAAAGGACCCCTATATTAAGGACAACATTTATATATAGTGTTTTGAACATTTATCTAACTTAAGTTACGGAATTAAAATTATTGTTATTTGTGGCATTAAATAGATTGCTCTGAAATGCTCTGAATGTAGAGTAGAACGAGTATTACTTCTGCACATGAACACAGATGGAAAAAGTGAACATGTGAGGTCACAGTTTAGAAATCACAGAAACTTTTTTACTAGTCTCTTTGATTTTAAGATAATTCAATTATAATTTGAACGTCAAAGTATTTGTCGTATTAGTCAAATTTGATATGCCAACTTATTTTTTCGGAAAAATGGGCGGGGCATGTGTCTACTGATGCGATTCAGCTGTTTTCAGAAATAGCAAAACAGCACCATCTCTCGGTCGTTTACGTTCGAGAAAATAAATAACAAATTTTCATATTTTTCTCAAAACTTTTTACTGGGTTTTTATTTTCGAGTAAAATATAAATATTTATGAAATTTATGTAAAAATGTTTGTTACACATGTCTAGAAATCAGTTTGTAATACTATGTAATTATGTATATTTCAATAGTGATACATATACTTATTTAGTCCATAAATAGTCAAATAATATACAATGGTAACTCTGACAAAACAAACTGTATTTAATTTAACTTTTGTGATTGACATTTGCCAACTGTAGTTTCAATGAATGTAAACCTTTAAATTTAAGAACGCCTGCCACAAAAAGATGTAATTTGTTACTGAAACTGTTGTAATAAGTTCCGATCAAGGTTCTGATAGCGTAGCTTATAGAGTCAGTGCTCCTAAACCCAATTTTTTTCGTTAATTGCGAAAATAAGCTGTCAAAACCAGGAAGAAAATTGTAACAGTCTGCCCCATGACGTCACCAAATGTATTTCATAGTCTGTGGTAATACCAACGAACAAACCTATATTGTATGGCCGTGTTCTTTTATTCCTCGTTTTAATGTGATGAATTCCATCGATGTATTACGATTGGTCTGTTTAAAAAATTCTAATCTCTTATTGGCTCTACGGAATCCATCACATCGAAATGATGAATAAAAGAACACGGCCTATGTTTGGGTCACAGCATAATAAATATTTATTTATGCTGTGTTTAGGTTATGTAACAATTGGAATTGGAATTATTTTGTAAACACAGTGTCATAGATTACACAGCGGTTAAAGATGCAACCAAGAAGTTTTAACGACATAATTTGCAGTCTGTGTCTTAATGTTGTAAGTGAAAGAAATTGTGAAATAACTGAAGATGTAAGGAAAGTTCTAGAAGTAGTTTTGCCAAATCTGATATTGGTAAGATGAAGTTATTAATATTACTCTCATGTGTATGGGGTAATTCTGTAGCTAATTTTGATATCTTTAGTTACGAATATATTTCAGAATTTGGAGGGAGTAGATAAGTTTGGAATGTGCACAGCATGTTCTGTAAAATTAATCTCCGCCTTTAATTTTAAATCGACATGTATGGATACCGAGGGAATTATTGTGCCTTATGTTAATTCTAGTGATAAGTCAGTGGTTGATTTGAAGGAAATTTATAAAAAGGAGAAAGAAAATATTCAGCTAACCGATATACAAGAAAATCAGAAAATATGTCGATTGTGTATTCAATTGGTGACAGATGGCTTTGTATCGCTAAATACAGTGGATGTTGACATAATTAATACATATATACCACAAGTCGTAAGTAAATTTCAAATTACAACATCTCGCGCAAATTACGTTACGTTATTGCAACATTTAATTCTCTCTACATATTTAAAATTTCATTTACTTGTTTTTCTTCACTTTCTTAAAAAAACAATAAATATTTCACCAAAGATTAACATCCTTTCATTGCAGAACATCAGTGCTACCAAGAATCCTGTTATATGCGGACCATGTTTTGAATCGCTTCGTACTCATGGTGATTTTTTAAAAAATTGCCTTGGTGCACATGAAAAATATAAAAGTACAAATAAACAATCTTATATTAAAATAGAAGAAATTGAAGTAAAACTGGAAGATGGTCAAGATGTTCAGGAGAAATACAGAGACATTAAATTGGAAGAGTTTGAAATAAAACTGGAAGATGACGGGGATATGCTCGAGAAATATAAAAGCGTTAATACGCAGGCTCATATTAAATCTGAAGAAATTGACATAAAGATAGAAGATGATCGGGAGAGGTAAGAAAATTTCGATGAAATCTTAGAAATTTCAAATTCATTCCAGTAGCGTTTCTATTTTTTATAGAGGTATCTTCTTAAAAATGATATATAAAATAGAATTAAAAACACAGTTGTTTTAGTTGAAATAGAAAAAGCAAAGTTATTGTAATGTGATCTGCAATTGAAGTTTTATGGTTAATAAAGAGATCTTGTTTTATAAAAGTGAAATAATGCTTTGTGGAATTCGGAAACCTTATTGAAAATGATCTCTACTTTTAACAGCGCACAATTCTGTCAAAAAGAAAAATAATAGATCAGGCTTGTAATTTGCTTGAATTTAAATTATTCTTGACCATTGAATTGAATTAATTCAGTCAGAAACCTCAAATTAGTGCAAAAATTTTTGTAAAAAAACATTCTTTATCAATTGTTTCTGAATTCCGCGAAGCTTATTATCAAATAAATCAAATTTCTAATAACACGTTATATTTGTATTGCAAATGACTAAAAAAAAAATTTATTACGCAAAAACCGTTAGAAATACGAGCAATTTACAACATTGAATAAACTCAAGAATAACCTTTCCTTTCATGATAAAATCAAAGCAAATGCTGTAAAGTTACCTGTAAAAAAATATGAGCACGTTTATTTAGGGGTGGACATGAATCGTATGAAATTGTGCCATCTAGTGGTTTTCATCAATATTTCTAGGACTGTGAATTCATTTTGAGGGAACTTTTTTGTAAATTCAAGGCTTTATTGTGAAATATTGTGTACATTATTATTTTCCAAAATATTGTCCATCACTAGCCTCTACTTATTCCCATCTTTCTGGCAGCATACAGATTCCCTATCAAAAGAACAACTCATTTGATATTATCCACCAATCAATCCAATTTTTCATATCTTTGTAAGATTGGAAGCGCTGCTTAACCAGGCCGTGTTCTATGGATTGGAACAAGTAGTAATCAATGGAGCAATATCTGGTGAATATAGCGGGTGGGGTAAATAAAACATCTCATTTCAGCGTTTCTTTTTTTATTTATTTTCCATTAAGACAGTATACATGTATACGATTCGTCAAGCACTTAATCTAACAAAAAAAAAAATAGAAACTTCAATTTAAAAATCTAAAAACTGACACACTGGAAAAACATTTATCGAGCAAATATAGATTTAACTTTCGTTTAAAAATATTTACAGATAAACAGTATTTAACATTGTTTGATAAACGATTAAAACATTTTGGACCCAAGCAGCAAGGAGCAATCAGGGCTAGTTTTAGTTTGGCAAACTGTATTGAAGTCGCCACTTCTAAAACGTCGAAACCGATACTCACATGTTTTTATTAATAGAGTATGTTTACCGTAAATTTCCAGCAGCACTTGATGACTTACAGCATTACTTTTCTTTGAATTAAACAGGAAAAGTAAAACTTCCCACAAATGGTGTTTTGTTATCTCGTAATTGGACATCTTCGGAGCTGAGAAAAAAAATGTTGCTACACTTCAGCAAAATGACTAATAATAAAAAGTAAATCCTAATGACAGAGCATTGACATGAATGTAGTTACAAAAGTGTCCGATGCGATATACAGGGTGTTAAAAAAAGAGTGTAAAATATTTAAGGAGGTAATAGTATGAACCAAAATAAGCAGAAAAGTCTCAATAAATTTGGTCCGCAAAGTAACGGCTGCGGAGATATATATGGAATGTTTTATGTTTTTTAGCCCCTTTTTTTATTTTGCAAAAACGTTGTGTATTTTCTTATAATAGTTGGTTGATGTTTAGCGAAATAAACAGTACGTATTTGACAGTTGTTCTCAGTGCACAAGTTTTCTTTCGCTATGGCTGGTTACTCTAACGCAAAATTAACAGACATGCATTTCATGTATGGTCGTGCTAATGGAAACGCCACCGAAGCGCGACGTCTTTATGTTAACGTTTATCCAAATCGCCAGATTCCTTCACAACGCATGTTTGGAAGAATTCACCAAAGATTGCGTGATACTGGTTCCTTGAGCAAACAGTGCCATTTATCCAGAAGACCAAGGTCGGTATCCACTCCTAGAGCAGAAGAAGAAATTCTAGCACTGGTAGAGCAGAATCCAGGTACGAGTGTGCGGAGAATATCAGCCGAGGTAGGAATTAGTGGTCCTCTTGTTTGGAGAATCCTTCACGAGCAACTGCTTTATCCATACCATGTGCAACGAGTACATGCCTTAAATCCAATAAATGATCATCAAGCACGTTTGGTTTTTCGCCGCTGGTTTCTACGTCATGATGCTGAAGACCCTTGTTTTCTTGCAAACATTCTTTTTACTGATGAGGCCGGGTTCACAAGAAATGGAGTGTTTAATTTTCACAATACGCATATTTGGGCCGACGAAAATCCTCATGCTCTAATAGAATCTGGACATCAGGCACGTTTTTCATTAAACGTTTGGATGGGTATTGTTGGTGACAGGTTTCTAGGTCCTGGTTTTACCAAACCGATTAACAGGCGCTGCTTACCTCAACTTTCTGCAGAACACACTGTATGAGTTTTTGGAAGACATTCCTTTGAATCAGAGGCAACAAATGTGGTTCCAGCATGATGGTGCTCCAGCTCATTTTTCCATGGCCGTTAGAGAGCATTTACACCAAACTTTTCCACATAGATGGGTAGGAAGTGCCGGACCTGTTTTATGGCCTCCAAGATCGCCTGATCTGAACCCTCTAGATTTCTTTGTTTGGGGATATGTGAAGACATTAGTGTATGGTACTCTTGTAAATGGCCTGGAAGAGCTGCAGCTACGGATTAATCAAAAGTGTCAAGAAATCCAAACCAAGGAGGGTGTTTTCGAAAGAGTTCGAATATCGTTGAGACGAAGATGTCGTGCCTGCTTGGAAATGGACGGAGGGCACTTTGAACATCTTCTGTAACTTTGTTTTTTGTTTGTTAAAAGCTTCCTTTGTCGGTTTATTCCTAATAAAATAAAATGTTTGAAAAACGAATAGTGGTCCATATCTCCGCAACCGTTACTTTGCGGACTCATGTTTATTAAGACTTTTCTGCTTATTTTGGTTCATACTATTACCTCCTGAAATATTTTACACTCTTTTTTTAACACCCTGTAGTATAAGTTACGCCATCTATTGTAAATCCCTCAAAATTTATTCACAGTGTTAGTACGTATATGTGTGCTGTTGTAGATATCTATGGGATATTCATTAAGTTCACGAAATTTAAAATTTTGGTGCTTACAGTTTAGGGTAAAAAATAGTGAAAAAAGTTGTTGGTTTGAAAATAATTATTATGAATTAGTAGGAAATGTTGCTCTAGTTAAAGCGTATTTGTACAAAATCAAAATGTATATTGCTTAATTCAAATTTACCAAGTGTTATTTGTGTACTACAAGCTATTTGCTCTATGAAAACATAAGTTTCAATCTACTCTTAAAAATTTGAATAATTTCACAAAGCAAACGTGATTTTTTATCTTTGTCGTAAAATAAAATTTCAAAAGCAACATTTCATTATTTTAAATAATCAATCGAATGGCATAGAAAAAAATTGTTTTAGTGTTAAATCATAAAAATTAACGAAAAAATTGAAATTGTTATAACTTTTTTATTAAAAATTAAAAAATATATATTTTTCTCTGAAAAGAAAGATTACATTATTTAGAGTAGATTGAAAGAAAAATTATAAAAGTCATTCATTTTTCTGCTTATAATTTTTTTAAATTTCTGAAATCATTCCTTAACTTCTAGCTATCCTAACTCTGTTAATTTTAATACTACAAGAAAAAGTCATTTTTATGTAGAATTTTATGCTCTACAACTTTTATAAGAATTTTTTTTCTAGCTCTTACCCCTTTTGAGTTATCTTGAAACACCCCTTCATTTTATTTGTTTTCACATGTGTTAAATGGTCCTTTAAATCGCAATTTGGTCAACTTGCCTGAATTTTTGATATAAGTATTAGTATACATAGTGTTATTGATAAGTTTTGCCAAACTTTAATGGTATATTCTGCCGATGAAATGAATCAACTTTCGCCCTATACAAATTTTTGATAGGACACTTCCCTTCCTAGATACAGGGTGTTAAAAGTTTTAAATATTTATATTATTTTTCCTGTAACTTCACTGGCATAAAAGATTGAGTGATAAAGTTTGGGGGATGACATTTTTTTAGTAGGGACTATATTTTCATGTACAACTTATTCTAAAATACACTCCAGTGGCATAGTTATTAGGNAAAATTAACGATTAAAAAATTGAAATTGTTATAACTTTTTTATTAAAAATAAAAAAATATATATCTTTCTCTGAAAAGAAAGATTACATTATTTAGAGTAGATTGAAAGAAAAATTATAAAAGTCATTCATTTTTCTGCTTATGATTTTTTTAAATTTCTGAAATCATTCCTTAACTTCTAGCCATCCTAACTCTGTTAATTTTAATACTACAAGAAAAAGTCATTTTTATGTAGAATTTTATGCTCTACAACATTTATAAGAATTTTTTTTTCTACCCCTTTTGAGTTATCTTGAAAAACCCCTTCATTTTATTTGTTTTCACATGTGTTAAATGGTCCTTTAAATCGCAATTTGGTCAACTTGCCTGAATTTTTGATTTAAGTTAGTATACATGGTGTTATTGATAAGTTTTGCCAAACTTTAATGGTATATTCTGCCGATGAAATGAATCAACTTTCGCCCTATAGAAATTTTTGATAGGACACTTCCCTTCCTAGATACAGGGTGTTAAAAGTTTTAAATATTTATATTATTTTTCCTGTAACTTCACTGGCATAAAAGATTGAGTGATAAAGTTTGGGGGATGACATTTTTTTAGTAGGGACTATATTTTCATGTACAACTTATTCTAAAATACACTCCAGTGGCATAGTTATTGGGGGAGTAAGGGACCTTTTTTGAAAAAAAAAATCGTACGCCACTAGTTTTTTAAATAATTTTAAATGTTTTTAAAATATACAATCAATTTGTGGCAATAAAGTATTCTTGTAAAGTATTCGTAAAATTTACTGGTCTTCAGATAATTGGAAAATCAAATAAGTATTTTCTTATTTGATTTACCAATTGATTGTACATTTTAAAAACATTTAAAATTATTTAAAAAACCATTTTTAACCAAATTTTGAGCATTATTAAAACTCCTATTATAACCGTTCAGGAATGCATTTTACAGAAAAAAGTGCAGGAACTACTCTATTAACACTTCTGTGTATTTTAATTTCAAAACCTTAACTATTTTAACAAAAAAATCGAGATATCCACTGATTTTTTGAGCTTAGGGAAAAATCCTAACATGATGGAGCATTTCTTATGGCTCCCTTGTTTTCAGCCTGTCAAAATACAGATATCTAAATTTTTGTTTGCAGGGCATTTAACACTAACTTGTATGTACATCTTCGTATGACTGAACTAGTTTCAGCAAGACCTAATATATTTGTAAGCTTTGATTTTATACATGTCTTGCGGGAATGGAAAACCCCTAGAGAAGAGAGAATCCATTTCTTTAAATTTTTCACTTCATCATGATCATTTTTAAATTTTTCAGGGAGTCTTCTTCATATGAGTTAGATGTTGAAAACGTTAAAAAGGAAAATCGGCGCACTTCGGAGAGCACAGATATACTTAAATCTGAGACTGGATTTAACGAAAACTGTATGACCTCGATGTTATTCCACACTGTCCAAACATCAAACAGTGAAGTAACCAAGTTTCAGAAGTGTGAACCTTTGTTATGTACACGATTGTACCAATGTGATAAATGTGACTACAAATCTAAGCTTAAATCGAATCTGAAAAGGCATCAATTAATACACAAAAACCCTTCAACAGTGCAAACATACAAGTGTGATATATGTACCTATGAAACTAAACAAAAGTGTCATCTCAAAGTGCACGAGTTAACACACAAAGATTCTTCGGATGTCCAAATCTACACATGTGGTATATGTAGTTATAAAACTAAACAAAGGAGTCATTTGAAGAGGCATGAGTTAACTCATAAGGATCCTTCAGAAATCCAAATGCATGAATGTGATGTGTGTAATTTTGAAACTAAACTTAAAAGTGCTTTGAAAAGACATCAGTTATTGCACAAAGACCCTTTGGGAATTCAAATGTACAAATGTGATAATTGTGGTTTTGAAACTAAATATAAGGGAGCTCTGAAAGAGCATCAAATAGTACACAAAAATATTTCAAAAATCCAAATGTACAAATGTGATACTTGTGTCTATGAAACTAAACACAAAAAATATCTAAAAATTCATCAGTTAACTCACAAAGACCCTTCAAAAATACAAATGTACAAGTGTGACACCTGTAGTTTTGAAACTAAATATAAACGTGTTGTAAAAAGGCATCAGTTAACGCACAAAAAATCTTCAGATATCCGAATGTACAAATGTGATATTTGTATCTATCAAGCTAAATACAAGAAATATGTAAAAGATCATCAGTTAATGCACAAAGATCCTTCAGAGATCCAAATGTACAAATGTGATACTTGTATTTTTGAAACTAAGTTTAGAAGCAGTCTAAGATTGCATCAATTAACACACAAAGATTCTTCAGAAGCCCAAATGTACAAATGCGATAATTGTATTTATGAAACTAAATATAAGCAAGTTCTAGAAAGGCATCAGATAATGCATAAAAATTCTTCAGATATCCAAATGTACAAATGTGATATTTGTATCTATGAAACTAAACACAAAAAATACCTAAAAGATCATTAGTTAACACACAAAGACCCTTCAGAAGTCCAAATGTACAAGTGTGATAAGTGTACTTTTGAAACTAAGTTTCGAAGCAGTCTAAGATCGCATCAAATAGTACACAAAAACCCTTTGGAAATCCAAATGTTCAAGTGTGGTACATGTTATTATAGAACTAAACGTAAGAGTCATCTAAAAGTGCATCAGTTAAAGCATAAGAACTCTTAAGAAATTCAAGTACCTACAACTGTGATGTATGTCATTACAAAATTAATTTAAACAAACAGTCGATCTACAAAGATTTCTGAGAAACTCGAATGGACAAATGTGATAATTGTGCGATCCATATGATTGAACGATGGCAAGCGGCAGCTTGGGTTGTTTCACACAAAGCCAGTCAGTCACATTTGAAATTGCTGGATTTGATAGAACAGATTTCCGTTGACATAAAGCAGAGATGAGAAAATTGTCGAGTCCAGAACTAATTCATCGTGAATGTTGATATCCCTTCTTGTGAAATAACACTTCTGTAATTTGTATTTTGTTTCCGACTTTCCAAAATGTAGAATTTTCAAATTAAAAAATTTGGGCTCAACCGAAAGGTGTACCACTTTTTCATCTTCAACACAGGGTGAATTTAATTAGGAAATTATAAAATTTCTTCCTTTTTATTCGAAAATAAGTCATTTACGAGTTTTTATCTTTTTAATCTAAAATAAGCTTATCATAAAGTTGCGTAAATTGGAAATTACTTTAAAACTGTACTTTTTTCCCCTATTGTCAATGAATTGCCGTTTTTATTGCAACAACTCAAAATTTGTGACAATAATGACATTTTAAATATAAAATTGGAGATATTGATCATTTCTATTTTAAATACGAAACTACATTTTAGTTAATTTAATTTCATAGAAAAAAATTTGTATTCCCAATTTTATTTTTAAAATGTCTTAATAAACTTTTACAATTTTTGATTATACAAACCCGACACATAAATACCTACAAGTGAAAAATTGTTAAAAGATAACTACACTGCTCAAAATAATTAGAGGAACACTTATTTAAATCTGATTTTATTTCTTGTAGCTTTTTTGAATTGGCGCTGTTGTCTCAAGAGTGATTATGTAAATATGTTTTATTATCATAAATTTATTCGAACAAAATGTTAGTCTTTAAGATATGCATTATTAGATTTATACAGTATTACAAATAAAAAAGTTATTGAGATTTAAATAAGTGTTCCTCTAATTATTTTGAGCAGTGTAGTTTGTGTTTATTTGAACCAATAGTATAACTTGTTAGAATCTTTATATAATAAAACAGAAATTATAATAAAAAAAATTACATATGAGAATTATTTTTATACAGGGTGATTTACAAACCGTGCCAAAAGTGAAACCTCGTATTCTTTGGTGAATTTTAAGGGAAGTATTTCATTAAAGTTTTTATCCAGAACGCTTCGTTAAAGAGATACAGGATGTTAAACTTAAAAAAATGTTTTTAATTTTTTTTAAATAATTTAAAAACTAGTAAATGAAATAATTTGAAATGGGGCACATGTATGTATGTAAACATTTTCCAAAATCTGAGGCCTTTTCCTAAAATTTAGATGCTCCAGTGGTATACAGTGTATGAGATACAGGGTATCGGTGGCATATTTTTCTAAATAAAATAGTATGTATTCCACTGCTTTGCGGTAACAATCATGATATTTTCGTATTCGTCTTTCAATTTTCCACAAATTACTACTCACTTATGTTTTTTTGCAAAAAGCCTGATTTTTGGGTAAAACAACTAACAAACTGGAAATACACTTCGATATTCAAATATAATGTTTTTTAAAATTACATAGTGAGCTGCGATAGCAATTTTAACATTCTGAGCAGTTAGAAGAAAGAATAAATAATGCTTTTCATAAGATTCAAGCAACAATAAATTGCGAACAAATTACACTTTCATTATTAAAAAGATGTTGGGCCTGTGTTCTCGGAAATGGAGTTTTTTTTGAGCATTTACTTTGTTAAGTACGGTGTCATACTTTATCTTATTCTTATTTAAAAGAATTAAATTTAAATATGAGTTTTGACAACTGTGCCAGTGCCCAATTGTGCATGCGCTGTGATTAAAGCGCGCCGTTGCATGACATCACACTATTCCAGAGGCGGGGTATAAAAATTACTAAAAAAAAAAAAGGTTAAACAAAATAAAGTTTTCACAATAGAATTTGGAAGTTTAAACTATTGATACGTGTTTGTGAAGGTTAAAGGTAGTTCACTTAAAGTTACACCCTGTATATGTTAGTTTAAATTGGTGGATACATTATTCTACATTTTTTATGGTGTATGATTATTTCCAACTTGTACTCCATTGTTTTGTTTAGTTGTTTAATGTTGCCCTGTTATTTGGATTATTAATCTTGTTGTGTTTCCGGTTTCTTAAGTAAGTAATTGTAATTCTGTTAAAATATAAAATTTAAAAAAAAATAAAAAATATATAAACTAATTTTCAAATGTGCTTAAATTTATTATTTATTCCCTGAACATAAGAACAGATACTATACAGAAAATGGACAGAAGTAGAAAAATATTTTTAAAAGTCATAAAAGAAACCGAGAAAAGTGAAATACCATTTAACAATGTTTTTCATAGAAACACTATAAAAATGTGGTTTGGCTTTAATCTGCAGAATGAGCGTTGCCCAAAATGTTATTTTAAATAGTTATTAATTACTGTTTTTTAATAGATATTACTGGGGCATTTAGTACATAGAGAGTTATTTCCCGCAATATCAGTTAAGAATTTTTGTTATCAAAGAACATTGACTTCATTTGAAGGTATTTGAGGAAAAGTTTTTGAATTTACTCGAGTTAGCTTAATACCTTTTAAAAGAGGAAAGGTGTGAGAGCTTATAATAAAGAATATATTTTAAAAGTATATCTTTTTTATGTAGAGTTGCCCACTGAATCTAAAAATGAATCTCAAATTATTATTAGGTCATTGGTGTAGAAGTTCGGGTAAAAAAGTCCCTCTTTACTACCCATTCCTACCCCGCTGACCTACAAAAAGTTGTAAATTATGCAGATGTGTAAATGTTTTAACACTACACCAAATTTGAATCAATTTGTTATAAGCATACCAACAATTTCATAAAAGACATGATTTTAAAAACCGACCAATACGGCTCTGTATAGTGAAAACGGTGAGACTTAGACCCTTGCTTTATAAGGCAATTCTGAATTACTTATTGAGTTCTATTTGGGGTTAAAGTTTGATTCACTTGAACTGAAACACCCTGTAGACTGACTGATGAATTAGCGATAACTCATCGATTCTGTCAACTAAATCTAGCCATTTTGCTGGAAGTAGGTAATGGATTGTCTCTGGGTAATGGTAGATATAATCCCAAAAAAATGTAACGTTTCTACACCACTGATTTTTTTCTAACTTTCTGGACTATGAAATTTCTGTTATATTTGTTTTATAATTAAATTAAAACAAAGTAAAAGAAAATATTAAATGAGTAAAAGGAAGACCAAGGTATCCTGTTATAGACATGTTAGATCGTTATATCAAATGTCATATCACTTGATCATCCTAAAGTGTACTCTACGATCAAAAGATAGTTGTTGCTTTGAAAGATTTTAATTTTATGGCTGAGGACAATACCTAATTATTTTTTATAATTTCAACACTCCGTGGGTGAACGATATAAAAAAAAAACAGGAGTTTTAATTTCGTCGTTGAATCTATATCCCTGTGAATTTTTATATATGTACGCCATTAAAATATGTATAACACTTTCATAATAAAGTCTGGATAATAAGAAAGAACAATATAATGTAGGTGATGTAAAATGGCTCTACACAAATTTCTTCACTTTTTAATTTTTAATTACTTTATCAAAATGAACTAGTTTAGAGCAGTGTATATTTAGTGGTAACCATGGACCAACCGCAATATTTCCAGTCCATTTCGATATACTCTATGGGCCAAAGCTATGAAAGAAGAAGAAAATACTATGTGAGGATTGTGAGGTTATGGAATGATTATTTCTTTGTTTAAACTTTAGAATTTTAGATAAGAAAAGAAATGCACTCAGGAAACTTGAAAGAAACGTTTTGCCAGCTTTGCCTAAATATTATAAACGATAGAAGTTACCAATTAACAGAACAAGACATAAGAGAAGTCCTAAAAATTCTTTTACCAACTCTGGTAACGTCACCTTATTAATGTTATTATGACTATTTTTTTTTTGCCTATTATATAGTTTATTAATATATCTTTAATTACGAATCTGTTTCAGAATTTGGAGGAAACAGCTGAACATTTCATGTGTGAAGAATGTTCCATAAAATTACATGCCGCTTTTAATTTTAAATTGACGTGTATGGATACTGAAGATGTTATTTTTTCTCATATTAATGCCAGTAAAATGTCGGTGGTTGATTTAGAAGAAGTTTATTTAAAGGAGAAGGGAAATATTCAGTTGGCTGAAATATTGGAAAATCAAAGAATTTGTCGATTATGTATACATTTGATAACTTACGGATTTGCATCATTAAATGAAATTGATATTGACATAATTGGAATATATATACCACAAGTTGTAAGTATCTCGGAGTGTATAGTTCCTATGTACTTTTAATGTTTTTAATATTAAGTAAAACTTTAAACATGAGCGTTGACTGAACATTCTTGATCTGTGGAACTGATTTTATAAATCAGCAAATTGAGCAGTTCTGCCAATGTGCAGGTATTTATATATGCCTGAAGGTAAAAAAAAGTATGGGGATAAAAGTGGGAAATTTATATTTCAAATATTTAATCCACAATCCATCCAAAATCATCTTGCATTTTGCGTAACAGTCCTTGAAAACTGCAGTTATAAGATTGCAATGTTAACTAGTCGATGGTGGTGAACATTAGCCAAATTCCACTATTTTAAATTTTGACCATTCAACAAGGTGTGTTTTGTATTTATCTAGTCCTAAGATCTTAATCATTATTACAGTATCAGAACGGGAGAAGTTAAAATGTATTTACTTTATAATTACATATCATTTGATTGTCAGTCATAATGTCCCAATATAACCACAATAGAATACAAATCAGTAAGTGCATACACTTTTGTAAATAGATTTTAAGAAGGTGACCTTGAGCAAATTCATTGTACTATAAATTTTCTATATTTCAAATCCATTTACTTTTGCCAGATTTTGAGTCAATTTATATACTTATTTTTCTGATAATATTTTAGTATACTTTGCTGGTAATAAAATAAGTAAAAAATTCTGTAAGATACGAAATCCGCTAACTAAATTGATATTTATAAGAATAATTTTTCAACTAATTTTTTATTTTCTACATACAGGGTGTTAGTAAATAAGTGCTACAAATTTCAGGGTGTTATTCTACATGAGAAAATAATGGCAGTTTGCTTATAAACGTATGTCCGCAAATGATTCGTTTTCCGAGATACGGGGTGTCAAAGTTTTTCTTAAAAACTGACGATTTAATTTATTGCTCTGAAACCGGTCGAGATGTGCAAATGAAATTTGGTGGGTTTTAAGAGGTAGTTATTGCGCATTTTTTGACACGCAATTAAGAATTTTATGTTCATCATTGGCGCGCGTACGGGTAATAATCTCAATTTTTTTAAAGAAAAAAATGGTACGCCACTGAGATATTACAAATTAAAAATCATTTTTGAATTCCTCGTTCAATTTGTGACAAAAAATCTCTCTTGCCTTTTCTTCGTATGGGGCGCCGTTTTGATGCAAAAAAATAAAACATCTTAACGCGTATTTTTTATTTCTTTAATACATTACCTAGTAGGCTACTGTCAACATTTGTCTGTTAAATACGAATATTTTTAAGAAATGTCAAATTAGCGTTTCGTCATTATTAATTTATTAAGCTTTTAGTTTGCTATAACATTAGTGTTAATAAGTAATTAATTTTTCTTTTATCGAAAAGAATGGAAAATTTTACAAATGCGGAATTGTCAGACATGCATTTTGTCTATGGTCGAAGTAATGGAAATGGTCGGCAAGCTCGACGATTGTATGCTGAGTTGTATCCAGGACGTAGGGTACCTCATCACACAATATTTGCTCGTCTTCATCAACGTTTGCGCGAAAATGGTTCATTTAAGAAACAAACGGTTGACTGTGGGCGCCCTCGAGAAGTACGAACTGTGCAACTAGAAGAAGCAGTTCTCGAGTTAATTGCGGAGTCACCTGAAACAAGTACTCGAAAAATTGCCAACATATTGAATGTAAGCAACTTCACTGTATTTAAAATTCTTAAAGAACAGCAATTGTATCCGTTTCATATTGAACGTGTGCAAGCTCTACTACCTAGAGACTTTTTTCCGCGCCTATTTTTTTGCCAATGGATTAATCATCAAATCGCTCAAATTCCTAATTTTTTAAATGCCGTTTTGTTTACTGACGAGGCTACTTTTGGACGACAGTGTATACGAAATTTCCATAACAATCACTTATGGGCTGAGGAAAACCCCCATGGAATCTTTGAAGCTCATTTTCAGCATCAGTTTTCCGTAAATGTATGGCTTGGGGTAATTGATGATCATTTAATCGGTCCATATTTCCTCCCACAACGACTAACAGGCGAATCTTATCTTAACTTCCTACAAAAAGAGTTACCTGTTCTTCTTGAAGAAATTCCTCTACAGCTGAGACAACACCTATGGTACATGCATGATGATGCACCAGCCCATTTTAGCATTAATGTACGTAATCACTTAGACACTGTATATCCGAATCGTTGGATAGGTAGGGGAGGTACGGAACATTGGCCTGCTCGATCGTCGGATTTAAATCCTCTTGATTTTTGCATTTGGGGTTTTCTTAAGCCATTAGTTTATTCCACTCCCGTTGAAAATGTTGATGACCTGAGGAATCGAATTATAGTCGGCTGTGAGACAATAAGAAATATTCCAGGAATATTTGCGCGAATACGACAATCAATGAGGCAAAAAGTTGAATTTTGTGTCACGTCTGAGAGAGGTCATTTTGAACATTTGTTGTAGCTTTTGCGCCTTTTCAAAATTTTATTAGTGTTATTTTCTGTTATTGTTCTGGTTTAATGTTATTGTATTAGATAGTTCTTGATAATGTATTAAAGAAATAAAAAATACGCGTTAAGATGTTTTATTTTTTTGCATCAAAACGGCGCCCCATACGAAGAAAAGGCAAGAGAGATTTTTTGTCACAAATTGAACGAGGAATTCAAAAATGATTTTTAATTTGTAATATCTCAGTGGCGTACCATTTTTTTCTTTAAAAAAATTGAGATTATTACCCGTACGCGCGCCAATGATGAACATAAAATTCTTAATTGCGTGTCAAAAAATGCGCAATAACTACCTCTTAAAACCCACCAAATTTCATTTGCACATCTCGACCGGTTTCAGAGCAATAAATTAAATCGTCAGTTTTTAAGAAAAACTTTGACACCCCGTATCTCGGAAAACGAATCATTTGCGGACATACGTTTATAAGCAAACTGCCATTATTTTCTCATGTAGAATCACCCCCTGAAATTTGTCGCACTTATTTACTAACACCCTGCATAATGTCATCAGCAAGTGTTAATAATCTCAAGAAATTGACACAACTCATTTTTATTGTAGAACCTCAATCTTACCAATAACCCTGTTATATGCGGGTCATGTTTTGATTCACTTTATACACATGGCAATTTTTTAAAGAAATGCCTTGATGCACAGGAAAAATACAAAAGTGCTGATAAAAAATGTAATATTAAATCTGAAGAGACTGAAATAAAACTGGAAGAAGGTAGTCAAGATGGGCAAGAGAAATTTAAAAGTATTGATAAACTGTTTTATGTTAAATCTGAAGATATTGAAATAAAGTTAGAGGAAGACGATAGGTAAGAATGGTGTCTTTTTTTAATAAATTTCTCAAAACAAATATTTTTCAGTAATTCTTCATATAACTTGGACGATGGAATAATTGAAATCAAAAAGAGGCACATTTCAGAAGATGTAGAAGAAATAAGGGAGGAATATAAATGTGAGACAGGATTTAACGATGACTGCACAGTGTCGATGTTAGTTCACAATGTTGAAATACCCAAAGGCCACATGTCTAGATTGCAGCAACCTGAACTTTCATTAGATACACAATTATACCATGATTACAAGTTTAAACAGAATCTGGAAGAGCATATGTCGGTACACAAAAGTATTTTAGACGTGGGAAAGTACAAGTGTGATACGTGTAGTTTTGAGACTAAACGTAACGAAAATTTGAAAAGGCATCAGCTATTACACAAAGACCCTTTGGAGATTGAAATGTACAATTGTGATATGTGCAGTTTTGAAACTAGACACAAGGGCTGCCTGAAGACGCATCAATTAATGCATGAAGCTTCTTCACAAATCCAAATGTACAAGTGTGATACTTGTACTTACAAAACTAAATATAACAGCAACCTACATAAGCACCAGTTGATACACAAAGATTCTACAGAAATCCAAATGTATACGTGTGATACATGTAGTTTTAAAACTAAATATAAGTGTGCTCTAAACAAGCATCTGGTAACGCACAAGGACCCCTCAGAAATGCAAATGTACAAGTGTGATATGTGTAGTTATGAAACTAAACTTAAAGGTCATTTGAAAGCACATCAGTTAGTGCACAAAAATTCTACAGAGGTCCGAGTGTACAAGTGTGATACGTGTAGTTTTGAAACTAGATATAAGGGCTCTCTGAAGACGCATCAATTAACACACAAAAATTCTCCAAAGATCCGAATGTACAAGTGTCATCTCTGCAGTTTTCAAAGTAGATATAAAAACTGTCTGAATGCGCATCTATATCTGCATATGAAATCTTCAGAAACCCAAATGTACAAATGCGACTCTTGTATTTATGAAACTAAAGAAAAGAATGATCTGAACGCGCATAAGTTAATGCATAAAGACTCTTCGGAAATGCAAATGTACAATAGTGATTCTTGTACCTATGAAACTGAACATCAGCATCATCTAAAACGTGATCAAGTAATACACAAAGATCCTTCAGAAATCCAAGTGTATAAATGTGAGTTATGAAAAGAATTTGAAAATCCTCAATTAATTCATGGGAACCCTTCTGCAACATGACTGATGATAAACACTATGGTATATGTCGTCTGTCAATACATAAGAAAGCGTCCTGATAATTGACACCTTTCATAATTTTATAACTATACAGGGTGTATCATAATTAATATCGCAAATTAAAACAGCTGTAAGTATGAAAGTTGTAAAGCATACAATTCTACATAAAAATGCCCTCTTTACTTTTTCTTGTATTATTAAAATTAACAGAGTTATAGAGGCTAGAAGTTAAGGGAAGATTTCAGAAATTTAAAAAAATCATAAGTAGAAAAATTAATGAATTTTGTAATTTTATTTCAATCTAAAAAATGTAAACTTTCTTTTCAGAGAAATAGATGTATTTTTTAATTTTTAATAAAAAAATTATAACAATTTCAAATTTGTTGTTCACCCCCCTAAACAGAGATTTTCATGAAAACCTCGAAACAGGTCAATTTAATTTTGGCAATTTGTTTACATAAATCATATTTTTAATTCTTTTTCAGTAAATATGATTTTTTTATAAATAAAAAATATAGTTTTTCTGAAATAAAAAATAAGGGTAGCGACCCCCAAACATGGAGTAACTTGAGAAATATTTGTTTTTTATCATAAGTAATTTCCATTTTGTTTCATTTCAAAATATTGATTAGAACCCCAGAAATTTTGAAAAAACTGTTTTGGGGAGCGGACTTTTAGGGTGTATTTCACGTTTTTCCGCCGATAAAAAAAATACGTCTACATTTTTTAGAGTAGATTGGAAAAAAATTACAAAATTCATTCGTTTTTCTGCTTATGATTTTATAAAATTTCTGAAATTTTCCCTTAACTTCTAGCCTCCCTAACTCTGTTAATTTTAATAGTTCAAAAAAAAGTCAAGATGCCATTTTTATGTAGAATTGTATGCTTTACAACTTTTATAAGAAACTTTTTTTTCTAGCCCTTGCCCCTTTTGAGTTATCTTAAAAAGCTCCTTTGTTTTATCTCTTTTCCCCCTTGGCCGGGGGTTGAACAAAAAATTAGTGTCACTTATTGTTATAATATAGCTCAAACTAACTCATATCAAAAATTCGACAAGTTGACCAAAATTTCAATTTAAAGGTTTATTTAATTGGACTAATAATGGACATTGTTTCTTTGCTTAGCGATTAGGGAATCTTGTCTGGTAAATGAGAGGATTAGATAAGATTATGTAAAAGTAATTATGTAATATAAGCAAACATTTTTCCAATTGTTATAAACTAAACATGTTTTAAGTAATACTTAAGTAGAACGATAAAATTAAAATTTCTCACAAAAATAAAAATTTCTGTTTCATTTTGCATTGAGCATTTTTACTTTTTAGCCCACACATTTGAATTATTAAATTATTAATATAAATTATGAATATCATGAAATTGAATTACAAGACATGTAACCAATCANAATATGATTTTTTTATAAATAAAAAATATAGTTTTTCTAAAATAAAAAATAAGAGTAGCAACCCCCAAACACGGATTCACTTGAGAAATATTTGTTTTTTATCATAAGTAATTTCCATTTTGTTTCATTTCAAAATATTGATTAGAACTCCAGAAATTTTGAAAAAACTGTTTTGGGGAGCGGATTTTGAGGGTGTATTTCACCCCGTAAATATGTTTTTCCGCGAAAAAAAAAATACGTTTCTCTTTACATTTTTTAGAGTAGATTGGAAAAAAAATTACAAAATTCATTCGTTTTTCTGCTTGCTATAATTTTTTAAAATTTCTGAAATCTTCCCTAAACTTCTAGCCTTCCTAACTCTGTTAATTTTAATAGTTCAAAAAAAAGTCAAGATGCCATTTTTATGTAGAATTGTAACTTTACAACTTTTATAAGAAACTTTTTTTTCTAACCCTTGCCCCTTTTGAGTTATCTTGAAAAGTTCCTTTGTTTTATCTCTTTTCACCCTTGGCCGGGGGTTGAACAAAAAATTAGTGTCACTTATTGTTATAATATACCTCAAACTAACTCATATAAAAAATTCAGGCAAGTTGACCAAAATTTCGATTTAAAGGCTTATTTAATTGGACTAATAATGGACATTGTTTCTTTGCTTAGCGATTAGGGAATCTTGTCTGGTAAATGAGTGGATTAGATAAGATTATGTAAAAGTAATTATGTAATATAAGCAAACATTTTTCCAATTGTTATAAACTAAACATGTTTTAAGTAATACTTAAGTAGAACGATAAAATTAAAATTTCTCACAAAAATAAAAATTCTGTTTCATTTTGCATTGAGCATTTTTACTTTTTAGCCCACACATTTGAATTATTAAATTATTAATATAAATTATGAATATCATGAAATTGAATTACAAGACATGTAACCAATCATACAGTTCATTGTTTAAATAATAATTTTTGTAAATTTGTAAGAAAAATGATGCTGATATTATGATTGACTAACATTTTGATACTTTGATTATTTAAAATAAACCAATAAAGTATGTCTTTCGTGCTGTTTGAGTAGTTAACTTTAACGGAAGAAATTATAGAAAAATGCACCTATTCACCCTATGGTGTCCTCTTCTAGTACAGCATCGATTTAAGGTAGTAAAATCAAAATAATTTTTCAGCTTGACATATGATATTATAACACTAATAAGAAATATAATATAGATTATCTTGACAAAACTTTCTTATTGGTCCATTTCCCTGATATGAGTGTAACCTTGTAACGATTTTGATTTAGGTACACTTTTGCACGGAGTCCACACTGAACACAACTTTCGTGTTTGATTTTCATTTTGAATGCACACCGTGCTAGTTGAATGTGTGCACTGAATTCGGTAGGAATGCAAATTTTCTTGTATTAAGAAAAATAGTTGAATCGTGGAGTGCAAGTCTTAACTTGCATTCTTAAATGGCCATAGCAGAGGATTTTTTAAATGTTATCTTTAAAACATAATTTTTATTTACCCGTTAAAAACGTGCGTCATTTATTAACTATTAAATTTATTTATAATTATGGTAATCAATTTAGAAGGGGAACTTTTTGTATGATTTTCTAATAACTAATATGAAACTGTTTGTTTTTCAAAAACTATTTCGATTTTTTTTTAATAATATGTATTTAGGTATAATCTTTCCGATTTCAGTTGAAGAACCAAGAACTTGACAGTATGTACCAGGCTCGGTCACTACGCAACAACTCGGCATTGAAATATTTGAAAAACTTGTTCCCAATTCCCATATTTATTTAGCCGTACCCATATACAGGTCTGGTTTGGTACATTTTGAATTGGAACAAAACGAAATTTACCATAAATATAATAAAATTGTTTGAGGACATAAATAATTAAAATATGTT